TTTTGAACAAGATGAAATTGACTTTAATATTTCATTTGATGAAATTGCACTAATCATAAAAACTCCAGAGTCATGATGGTTGGAGATCATTTATCCTTAACAAACACTTCCTCCTAACTGCTATTGCATCAGGCCAACATGAAAATAATAAAAACATCTCTTATTATCAAATAGAAATAACAATATATTCTACAAGATGTCATAAAATATAAGACAACATTAGAAGTAATGAATATATAAATAAAGCAACATATGTATATGTTTGACATGTCCGTGACCTAATTATTATTAAGCATTTTAATACTTTTTTTCTGCCCAAATTCTTAATTAGCACACGAGAGTAAACAAATATTATCTTTTTTTATTTTTTATTTTTGGATTTAATGAATGCTAGTTTGACCTCAATGGGCTTTGTTTCAAAGAAGTTAGAAAGTGGACCAAGCAGCAGAGTTTGGGCCCAATACCAACTCCTGACAACCATATTTTGACAATCTTACAAAATTCCTCAAAATTAGGACAATCTTAGATTATTACGTATTTTTTTCCTTACAGTAATCCTGTTATGACGCAATTAACCTAAGAAAGGTATAGCGTGTTTCTTCTTTTAAAGCAGAAGAGGGCAAAGTAATTTTGTGTTGATTTTTTCTAAATGGAAGCTTTCTTTTTTGTCACGTATAAAAAAAGGAATAAATCAATCAATCAAATCCTTATCGTAATTGACAAATCTCACAAAATTCCTCAAAATTAGGACAGCTTTAGCTTATTACAAACCTTTATATATTTTTATTTTTTTTATGGTAATCATATTTATCATGCAATTAACCCATGAATTTCTTTCTTTTTTTTTTAAAGAAAAAAAAGATAAAGTGATTTTGTGTTGATTTTTTTTTCTAAATGGAAGTTCTCTTCTTGTGCATACATAAAAGGAATAAATAAATCAATCAAATTCTAATTGTATTTGACAAATCTCACAAAATTCCTCAAAATTAGGACAACTTTAGCTCATTACAAACCTTTATTTTTATTTTTCTACAGTAATCATATTTATCACGCAATTAACCTATGAATTTCTTTTTTCAAAAAGAAAAAAAAAGATGAAGTAATTTTGTTTTGATTTTTTTTTTCTAAATGGAAGTTCTCTTCTTGTGCATATATAAAAGGAATAAATAAATCAATCAAATTCTAAATGTATTTGACAAATCTCACAAAATTCCTCAAAATTAGGACAACTTTAGCTCATTACAAACCTTTATTTTTATTTTTTTTACAGTAATCATATTCATCATGCAATTAACCTATTAATTTCTTTTTTAAAAAAAAAGATAAAGAAAAAAAGATAAAGTGATTTTGTGTTGATTTTTTTTTTTTCTAAATGGAAGTTCTCTTCTTTTGCATAAAAAAGGAATAAATTAATGAATTAAATTCTAATTGTATTTCACAAATCTTACAAATTCTAATTTTACAAAGTGTTTCTTATTACTTGTTATTCCTGAAATATTTAAACGTATTGTTGTCGATGACTGTTTGGTCAATAACGGAAAAGCATTAGCTCCTGGTGAAACATTCTCCTTTAAATATACCAACACCAATCCATATCCCATATCCTCTCTTAGTTGTTTCCGTCACATGTTAAATCATTGGTTAAATGTAGCTTCTCTCTTTTAAAAAGATTGTCATTTTTTTACTTTTTGATACATAATAAATGCAATTTGATGCTGCTAATAAAAAATATTGATAAAGAAAAAAAGGACTTTTTTAAAAAAAAATTATAATTAAACATGTCCTAATTATTAAGTAATTTTGATAAGTTCAATGCTTGGTTTTGAGGAGTGTTTATGTACATAAATAAAATTATATATGGATGTGTTTGACATGTGAAATAGAAAATTAAAAAAAATATATGATAATTTAACATAATCAAATCACCTTTTACCTAATTATTATTAAGCATCTTAAGACTTTTTTTTTTTTCCTTCCTGCCAATTTTTTAATTAACACAAGAGACTAAACACATATTATCATTCTTTTATTTTGGATTTAGTCAATACTCGTTTGATCTCAATGGGATTTGTTTCAAAGATGTAAGAACATGCATGATGGATCAAGCAGCTGAAATTGGACCAAAATCATCTCCATTATGGGGAAAAAAATTAATTAATTAGGTAAGAATAATGAAGATTTTCAAAATTTAATTTAATTAATTAGGTCAAAATTTAATTATTTGGGCTAAAATCATCTCCAACGGCAACATACATTTGAAAAGATTTCCGACAACTGTACTTACCAAATCGGACAACATCCCTCAAAATTAGGATTACCTTAATTAGATTATTACATACCTTTTTTAATGTTTTTTTTACAGCAATCTCTTTATCATGCAATTAACCTAGGGTAAATTATAAACAAGTCCCTCTAGTTTGGAGAAACGAATTAATTAGTATCTCTTATTTTAAAAAACTAAATATTCAGTTTCTATATTTCATGTAACTTAATTCTTTTTGTTCATGTTCAATTGTTTTTTAAGAAATAGAAAAAAAAAGGTAAAAAATATGAAAAAATTGATGAGAAAAGATGACATTTTTTAACTAAAATAATATTAAATTAAACATAATTAATACTAATTAATAACTAAATAATTAATTTTTGAAAAAAAAAACAAAACTAATTAATTCATTTTTCGAAAATAAAAGGACTAATTTATAAGTTACTCATTTAACGTAAAAGAAGGTACAAGATCAGAATGACAAAGTTTCCTTTTTTAAGACCTTGATGCCGCATCATGCGCTATATAAAGGCATGTATAGACATCTTTGGTATCCATATAATAAGGTTTTAGCTCTTGCCTACGTTGTACTTAGCACTGAAGATGAGAATTTCTGTTCTTTTTGTGGTCTCAACGACAATTGCTATGTTCTTGCTTTCATCTCATGAAAGTATGTTACCGTACGGTGAGTTTAGAAAAAGACGAAGTCCATGATAATTATCTATTATCAAGTGATCTATGCGATGTATTTCAATTGATTTTTCTTCTTCTTTATATATATATATATATATATATATATATATATCTGCAGTGAAAGGATCAGCTATAGAACAGGAAAAATGTTTGAAGAATGAAATTTCTATTGACCAAGGCTCTTCTGGTGCTCTTTCAAGTGGGATCCCAACATTTTTTGTGAGAATCACAAACACAAATGCAAAAGTACCGATCGCTAATATCCATCTCAAGTGTGGCGGATTTAGTTCTGCGATACTCGTTAATCCTAAAATATTCAAACGTATTGGTGTCGACGATTGTTTGGTCTACAATGGAAAAGCATTGGCTTCCGGTGAAACACTCTCCTTCAGATATGTCAGCACCAAGTTATATTCGTTTTCAGTTGTCTCTGTCACATGTTAAATCATCGATTAAATTCACTTGCACTCTTTTAGAAAGATTGTCATACTTGACTTTTTATGCGTATTAATAGTACCATTAATTGATACCGTATGTCATTATTTTTTTTATACTTTTTGATAACATCCTATTTTTAATTCTAGGTTCCTTTAAAAAATAATTTAATTAGGAGTATTATAGTACAATATATTATTTAAATATTTTGATCAAACGGTAATCGAAAGGTAAAGCCTTCAAAATTACATCATAGAAAAAAAATTGTTAAAAAATATCTAGAATATACAAAAAAGAAAAAAAAATCACATCTAGAATCATGCAAAAGGAAAAAAAAATTGAGCCTATATGAAAATATTTTTATCATTTTTAATTATTTATGAATGTGATTTTCTTTTAATCTATTTCTCGTGGATTATAAAGCAAGTATTGTTAATTATTTTTTAAATATTTTAGAATTTTTTATTTCATGTCTATTTCAATGTACATTATAATCCAAATTCTAAAGAATTAACGTGATAGAATATAAAACAATGTCAGAAATAATGAGTACATGATTAAACATAATCAAATCTTAATCCCCCCTACTCCGTACAACATTTCTTTTAATAATGAATCGAGGAGAAAAAAAGCTATTTGTTTGGATTTTTTGAGTATTAATATTTCTTTCTCTCTTCTTCTTCTTCTTTTTCTTTTTTAGTCATCCTGTTTACCATGTAGTTATTGAGTAAATTATAAATTAACCCTTCTAGTTTTGAAAAATAAATTAATCGAGTGTCTCTTGCGTAAAAAAAATTAATTATTTAGTCTTTATATTTTTAAGTTTTCTTACAAACTCAATACTTTTCAATTTACTTTGATTTTGAAATGACTCAAAGTTTAGAAAGAATTAAAACTATCGGACCTTTTGTCGTATGTTATATTATTCGTTAAATATAGCTTTTCTCTTTTAAAAAGATTGTATTTTTATACTTTTGATACATAATAAATGCAATTTTGTGCTACAATTAAAAAATATTGATAAAGAAAAAAAGAACATCTTTTTTAAAAATGATAATTAAACATGTCCTACTAATATTTTTTTAGTAAGATTTCTAAATTCAACCATCGAATTAATGATGTAACTTGTATATAATTATTTTTTATTTTTAGAATGCTCTTACAAGCAAAACAAAAAGAAGGTTTTTATATGCAAATTATAACCTTGTAAGTGCAAGGTGCTCTGTCGATTAATTTCAATAGTTTAATTTGAAAATTTTATTGAAATGATAAATTAAAAACTTAATGTATATATACTTAAAGATAAAATTGATTCAATTAGAAATTTAAAGATAAATTAAAAAATTACTCTATTATATAAACACATATTGAGTCATTAATTTTTTTTTATTGTAAAAATGACACTCTTTTATAGGGAACTTAAGTTTTTTATTAAGGAATTCTAACAAAAAGCCTCAATTGAGGATCAAAATTATTTAGGTATAAAATCTATACAAATTTTTGTTTTGGGGCAAAATTAGAATTATTCGAATAATTGGAGATATTTTTTAGAATTTCCCTTCTTTGTTTAATCATATTTGCTTTCTTAATTGTTTCAAGTTTAACAACTTCACACAAGGAAACGCCTGCTTTCTTTTATTGCTTCTTTAATTGCTGACATGACAGACTCTGATCCTTCACTAATTCGCAACACAACTGCCCCCAACTTCTTAATTGACATGGTTACGTGTCTGATTCAGAGTAAATTATAAATTAGTTTTTTTTTTATTTTAAGAAATGAATAATCAGTATTCTTTTTTTAAAAAAATTAATTATTTAGTTTAATACCTAGTCTTGGTTAAGTTTAATTTAATATTTATTTTATTTTGAAAAATATCTAGTTTCTCATCAATTATTCATAATATATATTTTTTGTTCTTTGAGAAAAAAAGACAAAAAAAAAAAAAAACTAAATTAACAAAAAAATTATCAATAAGGCAAAGTCATATACCTACTTCGATTCGAGAAGGCCAACAGGCAAAAAGCCTACCCTAACAGACCTTTTAGAAGGAGCGGGCTAGTGAAACGCGAGTAAATTATAAATTATTTTCTATAATTTTAAAAAATAAATTAACTATTCATTTTTATTTTAAAAATTAACTTTTTTAGTTTTTTACTCGGTATTGACTATACTTAGTTTAATATAAATTTATTAAAAAATATATTTTTTTCTCATCAATCATTTGATAATATCTATATTTTTACTTAAAAAAATAATTTAACTTTAAAAAACATAAAATGGAAAAAAAAAATTTTTTTGAAATAAAAAAATACTAATTAATTCGTTTTTTCAAAACTATAGAGATTGATTTATAATTTATTCAACAAAACACAAATTCACGTCCGACCAAATTGAAAGACAAGCACTCCATTAGAAAAAACTAGTTGGTTGCTCGCGTTACGTTGCGGGTTCGGTAGAACAAAATTCATTTTAAAATTTTAAAATTTTTAATTATAATTTTTATTTAATTAATTTTTTCTCATGTTTTTCATAAATTTTCTGCTTAAAAAAAACATAATTCATTTTTTTTATGGATTGATTTCAAAATAAAAAATTATAATAATTTTAACCGAAATGTTAATTAAGAATTAAAAAAACTTTAAAACTATATTTCTTATAATATTGTATTCTAAAAAACAAAGTTATAATTAATGGATAGACTTGTATAAAAACCAACAAATGAATTTTTTTTATTTAATGCCGATGAGAAGATTAATTTTTAAAATTATCTATGCAACGTTGTAGATAGATAGAACAAAATTATTTTAAATTTTTATTTTTTTCATTAAAGTCGGATAGAAAAAAAAATCAAAAGTTAGGGATTGAAGTAGAAAAAAAAGAGTAGAGGTTGGGCACCTAAATAGAAAAAAAATAAATCAATAATTAGACATTGAAAATATAGTTTTCTCACACCAAATGTTTATCTACTTGTACTCTCATCTATCATTTTCTTATTGTAAATAAATTTCATGCATAACTTGTACTTTCGTAATATATATATAGTATCTCAAAACTTTTTTTTAGATATTGAAAGTCATATAATTTTAAATTCTAAGAATATTAGCAATTACATGCATGCATATTTTCTTATTATTATGCTAATTGCACAAACAATTTTAACCATGCATTCACTTCTTAGCTTAATTCATATTTTACGTATTACCTCTATCATTATCATCATCGTTACTAAAAGTATTTCATTTTAAATCTCCAAATCAAAAAAATTGATTATTAAATTTATTCATCTTGATTCTATCTTATCTCGACTCTACCGTAAAAAGTTTGACAAGTTATTGGTTGCTAAAAAGTTACGCCACCTATTATTTATTGGCGATCTTCTCCTTAGGCAAAAGAAGCATTTTTTTTTTAAAAAAAATTCTTCATTGACCTACCATTTGTTACACAAACGACAATCATAATTAAATCTTATATTTCTTGTATTTTTTTGAATATACTCTTTATTGGACTTTATATATTTTTGAACTATACGACATAATGTTAAATTTGTCTAGACAACTAAAGAGATTTAGAATTTTTTAAAAGTAATTTTTAACTGATACAAAATAGTAAAAAATTACCTTTGATAAGTAAAAAAACACCACGAGTATGATATGAAAATCACCTATTATTTATTGGTCGATCTTCTCCTTAGACGGAAGAAGCAATTTTTTTTTTTTTTTTTTCTTCATTGACCAACCATTTGTTCCGCAAATGAAAATCATAATTGTATCTTATATTTCTTTTATTTTTTTTTAGATTTACTCTTAATTGGACTTTATATATTTTTAAACTAAATGACAAAATATTAAATTTGTCTAGAATGCTAAAGAGGTTTATAATTTTTTAACCGATACGAAGTATTAAAAAATTACCTTTGATAAGTGAAAAAACACCATGAGCGAGATATGAAAAATATCCATTAGAAATTGTTGGACTGATTTTACAATCTTGAGACAATAAATTTCTTGAAAAAATTGCCTTTTTTGTACCCAACCTTTAATTTTTTCTATTTTAATGCTTAATTTTTTATTTTTTTCTATTTGAATGTCCATAACCACCTTAGAGCATGAGGTTTTATTATGTCCGGAGTTAATTATCAAGTGACAACTCTCGTTAAACATGTCAGTAAAATTGAATCATAAGTGAAGTGCGGCACGAAAATAAATAAAAAATCAAAACTTGGACAACAAATAATTAAAAATCAATAATTGGATTAAAAAAAAAATTAAAGGTTAGACATCAAAAAGCCTTTCTCTCATCTATAATATACACAATTGTGAACAACGAATAAAAAAATTGATAAAGCGATTTGAATGACTGCGATGTTTGGTTTGCTGAGATAGCATGGATTGCGAAAAAAAAAAGCTTTTTTTTTTTTAAAAAAAAATTATTTTAATATTTCATTTGATGAGATTTTACCAATCATGAAAACTTGAGAGCCATGATTGTTGGAGACGATTTATCCTTAGCAAACACTTCCTTCTAGGTGCTAATGTATCATGCCGACATGAAAATAATAAAAATATCTCTTATTATTGAATAGAAATAACGATATATCTTACGAGATGTAAAAAAATAAAAAATAACGTTAGAAGTAATGAGTATATAAATAAAACCACTCATGGATTATTTGACATGTAAAAATGATAATTAAACAAAGCCAAATCACCCTTTACCTAATTATTACTAAGCATTTTAATACCCTTTTTTTCTGCCCAAATTTTTAATTAACACACGAGAGTAAACACATACCTTTTTGGACTTAGTGAATGCTAGTTTGACCTCAATGGGGTTTGTTTCAAAGAAGTTAGAACATGGACCAAGCAGCAGAGTTTGGGCCCAAAATCAACTCCTGACAACCAGATTTGACAAATCTTACAAAATTCCTCAAAATTAGGAAAATCTTAGATTAGTACATACCTTTTTTTTTTTTTTTCTTTCCTTACAGCAATCCTGTTATCTTGCAATTAACCTAAGAAAGGCATAAAGTGTTTCATTTTTTAAAGCAAAAGAGGGCAAAGTAATTTTGTGTTGATTTTTTTGGCTAAATGGAAGGGTTTTTTTTTTTTTTAAAGGAATAAATCAATCAATCAAATCCTAATTGTATTTGACAAAATCTCACAAAATTCCTCAGAAAATTAGGAAAAATTTAGCTTATTAAAAACGTTTATTTATTTTTATTTTTTACAGTAATCACATTTATCACGCAATTAACCCATGAATTTCTCTTCTCAGAAAGAAAAAAAGAAGACAAAGTAATTTTGTGTTGATTTTTTTTTTCTAAATGGAAGTTCTCTTCTTGTGCACGTACAAAAGGAATAAATAAATCAATCAAATTCCATCTAATTGTATTTGACAAATCTTACAAAATTCCTCAAAATCAGGACAACTTTAGCTTATTACAAACAATTTTTTTTTTCAGTAATCGTATTTGTCATGCAAAAATAACCTTTGAATTTCTTTTTTCTTTTTTTTTTCTAAATGGAAGTTCTCTTCTTGTGCATATATAAAAGGAATAAATAAATCAATCAAATTCTAATTGTATTTGACAAATCTTACAAAATTCCTCAAAATTAGGACAATCTTAGATTATTACATGCTTTCTTTTACAGCAATGCTGTTTATCATGCAATTAACCCAGGAAAGGTATAACGTGTTTCTTTTTGGTGTTTTTTTTTAAGCAAAAGAGGGCAAAGTAATTTTTTGTTGTTTTTTTTTCCCCCTAAATGGAAGGTTTCTTTTTGGTGCATGCATAAAAAAGGAATAAATAAATGAATTAAATTCTAATTGTATTTCACAAATCTTCCAAATTCTAATTGTATAACGTGTTTCTTAAGGTTTTTTTTTTCCCCTCTCTAAATGGAAGTTCTCTTCTTATGCATGTATAAAAGGAATAAAAATATCAATCAAATTCTAATTTTATTTGACAAATCTTACAAATTTCCTAAAAATCAGGACAACCTTAGAACAAACACTATATAAAGGCATAGACATCTCTACTGTCCATATCATAAAGTTTTAGCTCTTGCCTGGGTTGTTAATTAGCATTTAAGATGAAAATTTTCGCTCTTTTTGTGGTCTCAATGGTTATCGGTCTGCTCTTGCTTTCTTCTCATGAAGGTATGTTTTATGAGAAAACAATTTCTTTTAAGATTTTATGTTTTAAGCATTGGTCAAAGATTTTTTTTTTCTTTCTAATTTTATTGTACAATATTTGAGTCAATTATTTCTTAAGTTGAAACATACACTCTATTTCAATTGATTTTTTTTTTTTTTTTATACAGTGAAAGGATCAATTACAGGCCCTGAAAAATGTTCGAAGGATGATATTTCTGTTGAGCAAGGTTCTTCCGGGACTCTTCCAAATGGAATCCCATCGTTTTTAGTGAGAATCACAAACACAAATGCCCAAGTATCTATAGCTAATATCCATCTCAGCTGTGGTGAATTTAGTTCTGTGCTACTTGTTCTTCCTGAAATATTTAAGCGTATTGCTGTGGATGACTGTCTGGTCAATGATGGAAGAGCCTTGGCTCCTGGTGAAACACTCTCCTTCAAATATGCCAACACCAAGCTATACCCTCTCGCAGTTGTTTCCATCACATGTTAAATTATTGATTAGATATAGCTTTTTTTTTAAAAAAAAAATTGTCATTTTTTTTACTTTTGATGCATAATAAATGCAATTTTGTGCTGCTAATAAAAATATTAATAAAAAAAGGACAATTAAACGTGTCCTAATTATTAAGTAATTTCGATAAGTTCGATGCTTGGTTTTAAGGAGTGTTTATGTACATAAATAAAATTATATATGGATGCGTTTGACATGTGAAATAGAAAAAAAAAATTGATAATTTAACATAATCAAATCACCTTTGACCTAATTATTATTAAGCATTTTCAGACTTTTTTTTTTTTCCTTCCTGCCAATTTTTCAATTAACACAAAAGACTAAACACATATTATCATTATTTTATTTTGGATTTAGTCAATGCTGGTTTGATCTCAATGGGATTTGTTTCCAAGAAGAAAGAGCATGCATGGAATGGATCAAGCAGCTGAAATTGGGCCAAAATCATATCCATTATGGGAAAAAATTAATTAATTAGGTAAGAATCATGAAGATTTCCAAAATTTAATTTAATTGATCAGGTCAAAATTTAATTATTTGGGCTAAAATCATCTCTACATACATTTGACAAGATTTCCAACAACTGAATTTAAAAAATGTGACAAAATCCCTCAAAATTTGGATCACCTTAATTAGATTATTACATACCTTAAGGACTAATTGATAATTTACTCAATTAACCTAAAGAAGGTAAAAGATCAGAATGAAGAAGTTTCCTTTTTTAAGTCCTTGACCACGCATCATACACTATATAAAGGCATGGATAGACATCTCTGGTATCCATATAATCAGGTTTTAGCTCTTGCCTACGTTGTACTTAGCATTGAAGGTGAGAATTTCTGTTCTTTTTGTGGTCTCAACGACAATTGCTATGTTCTTGCTTTCTTCTCATGAAGGTATGTTACCGTACGGAGAGTTTAGAAAAAGACGAAGTCCATGATAATTATCTATTTCAATTGATTTTTCTTCTTCCTCTTCTGGCACTCTTCCAAGTGGGATCCTAACATTTTTTGTGAGAATCACAAACACAAATGAACAAGTACCAATCGCTAATATTCATCTTAGTTGTGGTGGATTTAGTCCTACGATAAATATTCAAATGTATTGCTCTGGATGATTGTCTGGTCAATAATGGAAAAGAATTGGTTCTCCTTCTGATATGTCAACACCAAGTTATATTTGTTTTCAGTTATCTTTGTCACATGTTGAATCATCGATTAAATTCATTTTCAATCTTTTAAAAAGATTGTCATATTTGACCTTTGATACATATTAATAATGTCATTAATTGATATATTATGTCATTAATTTTTATCGATACTTTTCAATAACATCCCATTTTTAGTTATAGGTTCCTTAAAAATACAATTTAATTAGGAGTATTATAGTAAAATACATGATTTAAATATTTTGATCAAACGATAATTGAAAGTTAAAGTCTTCAAAATTACATCACAAAAAACATTGTTAAATAATACTCTAGAATATACAAAGGGAGAGAATAATTGAGCCTGCATGGAAATATTCATTTTTAATGATTTTTGAATGTGATTTTTAAAACTAATTCTCTTAGATTGTACAAGAAGTATTGTTAATTATTCTTCAAATATTTTAAAAGAATTGAGCCCATATGGAAATATATTTAGAGAAATAGATTTTTGATTTTTGAATGTGATTTTTTTTTTATCTACTTCTCTTGGATTATAAAATAAGTATTGTTAATTATTCTTTAAATATTTTAAAAGTTCTCATTTGTGTCTATTTCAATGTGCATTAAAATCCAAATTCTAAAGAATTAACGTGATAAAATATACAACAATTTCAGAAATAATGAGTACATGATTAAACATGATCAAATCTTAATCCCCCTTGACTCCGTATAATATTTCTTTTAATAAAGAGTCGAGGAGAAAAAAAGTTATTTGTTTGGATTTTTTTCTTCATTTTTTTTTCAGTTATCCTGTTTACCGTAGAGTTATTGAGTAAATTATAAATTAGTCCTTTTAGTTTCGAGAAATAAATTAATTAGTGTCTCTTGTTTTGGAAAAAATAATTATTTAGTCTTTATATCTTTAAATTTTCTTAAAAACTTAATACTTTTCAATTTATTTTAAGAAATAGAAAATATAAAAAAAGTAAAAATACCTTACAGGACTAAATAATTAGTTTTAAAATGGAAAGGAGTATTCAATTTATTCAAAAAATCAAGGGACTAAATTATAATTTGCTCTGCAATAACCCAGACAAAGATGCAGCCTAGAATGATGCATTTTCCTTCTTTAAAGACCCTAACAAAGATTGTATATATTCAAGATAAGAATTTCTGTTCTTTTTTATTTTATTTCAACACATATTCAAAATTCATAGCAAAACTAGTTTGTTAGTATTTGAATATTAGTATTTGAATCCGTGATCTCTTACAAGAAACAACTATCGCTAAACTATAAGCTCTTTGTTACAATTTCTGTTCTTTTTATTGTCTCTTTTGACAATTGGTCTGCTCTTGCTTTCTTCTCACGAAGGTATGTTACTTGAGGGAAGAAAAACCTCTTTTAAGGTCTAATTTTCTAAGACTATAATTAATCAAGTAATTCAAAACAAATTAACAATTTCAATTGAATTCATTGTTCTTTTTTTTTTTTGTCACAAAAGATCATGTTTTCTTAGGATTTTTTTTTTCCTAACAAAGACAAACTTTTATTTATTGCAAACCTTTTTATAGCAAATTATGTACGGGACATCCTTTAAGTATAAAGGCATAGACTTTTTTTTTTTTTTGGAAGAAACTATTTATTTTTCTATTTATATTTGTTTCAAAATATTTGCACTATAAACTTTAAATAGGATGGTAAATTACAAAGATCACACTTAAAATGAACTAAATATTCCTTAATTTCCTTTACCCTGTCCCAGAAGTTTTATCATCCACATTAACTACAAAAGTAACAAACCAAGTAGTTATTCCTTTGTTTGACATAGCTTAATCGTGTGTTAGAAACCATGTCTCCGGGCTGCAGCAGCTACCTTGCAATCATCGAGCTGTCGCAATGCCTCCTGAAATCTCTTGGCCTGCATAAATTATCAAGGTCTGACTGGCATTTGATGGTTGATTGAGTGAATTGGGAAAAATCTCTCTGCATAAATAGACACTGCCATATTAGAAACAATAGGAAAAATCACAAGGATGAATAGTTCAGAATACAACATCGACTTTGCAAACCGAAGCTAGCTCAAATACACAATGAGTTTTGGAACCAATCTTACATTGACATGGTGTGTACTGGTTTCACATTTCTGAGCAGAAATAGCTACCAACTTTTTATCCACAAAGAATAAATCCCATGATCTTTCACCCTGTAATGCACATGATGTGATGCAGTGTTAAACGAATAACTTCGACTAAATCAGATGATACACGAGACCAAGAAGGTCTCGTTTTTACAGATTTTCATAAACACCTCATAGAGGAAGACACATGGTATGAACTACTACTTATCCATCCCTGAAAGATTTCAAAACAACAGCTGTGGCCACCAAAAGCATGAAGTTCCATATATCTAACAAATGGTATGGTAAAAGCTTCCGATATCAAAAAGGAAAAGGCTAGAGATAATGGCCTAGCTAGATAGGAAGATGTTTTATTGCTTTTGAAAGCATCCTGGAGAGGGGTGAAGAGAGGGGCAGAAGTTTCGAGAGCATCCTCCCTTGTGTAGCCCAAGCATTAGCTAGAAATAGTACAAATAAAAAAATATTAGCTTACATGTGTACATCATCAGCATTGATTTCAGGAAAGAGGTTAATGAAAAAGCGAAATCCATCTGGGCTTATATCCCTGCATAGTAAACCTGCCAATAATTTTCAATTATGAAGTTAAAAATCAACTATAAACTCAGACATATTATCAAATGCTTTGGAAGAAAATTATAAAGAACAGCACCTTTGCTCTCGGCAGTTAGAAGATGCTCCTTGGCCATAGCTGGAGCAATACCCAATGTCATGGCAGCATCACTGGCAGCTATTCCAGACCGCAGGGCTTCAGGCTTTGATACAAGATTTTTTATTCTAGCAAAAACCTAAAATTGACCAGACTAGTTAGGCATGATGATGCAGTATGAAGTAGTTCTGATTTAGAATTTCCAGCACATGCTAATAGAGGACTGATATGACACAATCCAGAAATTATTAAACCAATTCAGACATAATTTTGTTCATTCCAATTTATATTCCCTTTAGTTTCCCCCATTATAAACACTATTGGCTCTTGGGACCTCTTTGTTAGCAAGTCTTATGATAAAAATTAGCTAAAATCATATTCAATTTACACAACTTTTGTAAATTCAAAACAAAATTTCCAAACATCATACAGGACAAGTAGCTACCAAAGAAACAAATGCAACTGCAAAACGAGCCTCGAGTTCATCCTGTTGCTTCCACCCAAAATAATTAAATTATATCAAAGCCAAATTGTAATATGATTCCTTAACATGAAAGTAAAAGAGATCACCTCCTCATCACTATGGGACTTATTCTGGATGACCATCACTCCACTATCAAATTTCCGAAGCATTACTGGACTGTCAAACAAATTACAATCTGATAAATGACTCTAACATCCCAAAGATAAAATCTAATGATAGACGAATTAATCTCCATCTTCTGGATCTCAAAACAAACAACCATAATGCCAGATTAGTTGAAGATAGTATCATACATACACATCAAACTTCTCCCAAAGAGAACAGGCTTGATGAAGATCCTCAGGTGAGATCAATTCTATGTAGAACACGTACAAAAAAGAAAGAGGGGTCTATTAGCATCAGTGAGAGCTGATAAGGAATCCAAAGTTCAATATTGATTGGCTTAATACTCAGTAAAACAAGGAATGCTTATGACATCAAACAAACCTGTGCCCCGAGCACGATTGAAGAGGCAATAGATATCTATAAGATTGATCATGCCTCCAGCTTTCTCTAGGGGAATTCTGACAAAATCTGCCAACTAAGTAACGACAACAGAGAAAAGTTGAGATTTTCTTCTTTAAGGGAAGAAAATTGAGCAAAAAAAGGATCCATTTAAAATGAGAAATATACTAAGCCAACAAAAGCAAGTAATATTAAGAAGATCCATCTAAATGTCTCTTATCAAAAAATTAGCATTGGGAAACACATACAGAGTCAACGAAACAGGAGGCAAATGAAACAGACCTGACGGGACAGTTGTTGATGATACATGGCACCTGCAGACTCTTTTGTCACTGGGGATATGATACCAACACTCAACAGCCAATCTTGAATCTCTTCTTTGGAACCCATTTCTTCATCATTCCCAGAACCACTTTGAGAACTCGAGCCAGACAAAAGCTTCTGCCTCATCTTCTCTGCTAGCATGACCATCTCTTTAGCCTTGCTCTGTAGATTTACAACACCACAGAACATAAAGCAGCAACCAAAATCAGATTGATAAACAATGACAATGTAACTCAACACATTATACAGAGGTCAAAACCTAACTATTGCAGTCCTGTTACAAAGCCAATGGTTAAATAGCCCGATAAAATAACAGTAAACATCTCCCACAAGCTATTAACCTTTTGAAAATAACGAAAAAGAGAGCGATGAAGCAATAACAATTTGGCTTTAACACATTAGACACCAGTCAAAACCAAAAGTATTGCTTCCATTTCTTACATAATCTAACAAATGCAAGGGCATATCCTGAGTGCCGAGTTTCAATGACTAGTCCATTAATCTATTCTTAGATAACCCAATTATTACAACTAAACTTCTCCTAGAAGCTATTCTTGGAAACAACATATGACAGAAACAACCATGAAAGAATTCAAAGTTCATTTCTTGTATATCCTCAGCATACAAAAGCCCCATGCACACATTGTTCGTATCAAGCAAAAAGTACTAATCCAAATCAATAACAGCAATTGAAACTAAACATCGTCTACAAGCAATAAACTTTCCGAAAACAACAATTACCATAAGAGCATTCAAGTCTTGAAAAGCATCTTGCAAGCTCTTATCAGTACTTTCCCACATCTCCTGCTCTTTCCTCAATATCCCAGCCACACCCACCAGCCTCACTGACCCATCACTCGAATATAACCCACCAGCCGAACCCGACCCAGAACCCGTAGCAGACCCCGAACCCGACCCACGACCACCATCAATACCAATCTCCCAAGCCCTTCCTCTCCAGCAATCCCAAAACTTCGTAAAAAACCCATCAATATCTCCCTTCCCTCTAATTACTAAAGTCACCACAACGCTCCTCGAATGCGAAGACACTTGAAACCGAATCCGAGGCGAGTGAAACATTGACTTGATCGACTTTTTTGGTGAAAATATATGAGTTACAGAATTCAAAGGAATTGATACTGGACTTGAACTGTCTGTGGCGACATTGGAAGGAAGCCAAAGGACGCGGTGTGTGGTGAGGATGAGGAGGCCTGATTTTAATGGAGGGAAGTCACGGGAATTGGTGGTGGTAGCGGGTTCGGTTTCAAGGTCTACGGAGGAGAGGAGGTGACATTCTACTTCGTTTTGGTGGAGGACTGGAAGGCCACTACTGGTCACGGAGGCTGGTTCGAAGAGGTTGGCGGCGGCGGTGGACATGGCGGTGGATTTTGTGTCGTTTGAGAAGTTTTGTCTGTTTTTTTCAAGTCATGTTCGTTAAGATTTAGGTACAAGGTAATTTTAAAAGGCAATTATTAATTAGTCCCTATTTATTTAAAGGAATTAATTAGTCCCTGTAGTATGAGAAATAGTTTGAATTGAGGCCCATCAAGGGACGTTATTATAATTTTTTTTTATGAATTTTATGAAATTGTAGGAAATCCTTAAACTCATTTTTTTCTGATTAATGTTATACCCTTATGGTTTCTCTCTTATATATACATACATACATATACATATACATATATATATATATATATATATATATATATATATATATATATATATATATAACTGATTTATTGTAAGCGGAAAGTTCAAGCAATACAGTAAATTATGAATTAGTTCTTCCAGTTTTGATAAACAAAATAATTAGTCCCTTTTGTTTCTAAACTTAATTATTTAGTTCCAACATTTTTAATTTTTTAATTTAACTCTTTTTGTTTATTTTTAATTTATTTTGATTTTTTGTTTTTAAAAATGTAGAAAGAAAAAAAACAATAAAAAAACAATTAATGAGAAAAAATGACATTTTTGGAAGTAAGTTTATGTTAAATTAAATATGGTCAATACTGTTTAATAAATAAAATAATTATTTTTTAAAAAATGGAGGACTAATTAATTCATTTTTAAAAAATAAAAGAATTAATTTATAATTTACTAAAAAGATACTATTCTATTCTTTGAGAAGCTAAAAATCAATCCTCAACTTATTTTTTGACAAAACGCTACCACTAGTAGGTTAGTGGCTTCTGGCTAGCCTACGAACTCTGGAACATTAACCCGCTTTCCTTGTTAAAACTTAAACCCTAATACCCTCTTTCTTCTTGCTTGCTAAATTGTGTAAAAATCTCTGGAACTTGCAAAGTAGCAGTCTTGATGCACAAAGATGAAACCTTTTTTCAATTCCCGTCGTCCTAAACATTACAAGCAAAAGGGCAACACTGCTCCTCATAATCAACAGGTACGAAACCCTTCTCTCTCTGATAAGTTTGTATGTTAAAAGGTTTTTTCTATGTTCTAATTTAGAGCTTTTTTTTTGTTTTTTCTTCTTGTTTGTTGAATTTATTAGGGTTTTTCAACGAACCCTTCTTTAGCAAATTCAATGCCAATGCAACCTCAACTGGGTTTAGTCAATCCTCAAATTCCAATTCCTTTCAATAATGCAAATACCCTTTTAAGCAATGGACCAGCTATGCCTAATATGCCACCGTTAATCCCTCAACAACCTGGTTTATTGAGTGGACCTAATGATCTGGCTATCCTTCAGTTACAAAATCAAGTTAGCAAGTTGAATACTTTAAAGATGTTGATGAATCAAGTAAATCAATTGCAAGGAGAGTTGTTTGGTCCTGGTTTCTCCAATTTTCCCCAACTCAATCAAAATATGGGTTTGTTACAAAATCCAATGCAGAATGTGATGAACCCTGCTATGCCTATGCAAATGCCAATAACTTCTCAAGTTGGTTCCTTCAATGGCCCTTCAAGTAGCCACCAAACCGTAGGTGGTCATAGTCCAAACTTTTTTGTAAATCAACCATTTGGAGTCGAGCAACAAGTTAATCCGAACCAGCAAAATTTTGTAATGCCGACAACTGGTGCAAATGGATCGAAGCTATTGCCTGTTACAAATCAGCAAGTGCAAGGGAACTCGTCTGCATCACAGCAAAGTCAGAACTTTGTAATGCCTATGCCCCCAGTGGGTGCAAATGGATCAAATCCATTGCCTATTGCAACTCAACAGGTGGAAGGGAACTCGCCTGCATCACAGCAAAGTGAGAAATTTGTAATCCCTACAATGGCTGCAAATGGATCAAAGCCATTGCCCTTTGCAACTCAGCAAGTGCAAGGGAACCCATCTGCATCTCAGCAAAGTCAGAACTTGCAATCCTCTGCTTACAATAGGTGGCAGGTAACTACATTTCAGTTGTGATTAAAAGCCAGCATTGTTGTGTCTTTGTTGTTTTTAACTTGGACGATGTCTTTCTGGGTTCATATGATTTATGCAATCCATTTAATCATAGTTTGTTTTATACAATTTTCCATGCTTTAGTGTGCTATCATTCATGATAACCGACATGTTTTTCTAAGTTGCTTCACTCCCTTGTTTAGTGAGGTTGACTCCCAGGCAATTTAATTGTTTGGCTTTTGTTGTATATGGCATCTGTTCCCAAATCTTTTTGTGGTTTTGTCTATACTTTTTTCTTCCTTTTTTCTTACCTCTCCAAAATGCTTATCGTGCATACCAAACTGATTGCTTTCCGACAACTGGTGGTGAAGTTAAGTGTTTTGTTCTTGTTGTAGGGCAATCCTGCTAAAAATGGCCAGGGTAGTACTCCAAATTCCAAATGGGGAAACTTTTCTGGAAAAAACTTCAAAAATAATCCAAAGAGAGAGCAATTTCAATCAGGGTGTGTATTGGAAATTTTGGTTTCTAAGTACTACTACTATATGGAGCATTGTCTTGTAATTATCTTAAATTCATTTTCTGCAGATATCAGAAATCCGAGTTCCATCGCATGGATAATGGAAAGAGAAAGCTTGGGTTTTCTAATGAACACAGTGAAAAAGGTTTGTAATCTTAGACCTTACTATAAGATTACCTCTTCTTCGTGTGCCGTAATGGAAATAGTTGGTTTAAATTTTGTGCTCAAAAAATATAATAGGGCATGGCAATGAGAGGGCAGCAAAATTTGGTCGCTCTGATCCTACAAATCAAGCTACCGAAAAGAAAAGGTAATGTTTGCTTGATCTGTCCCTTAAATATTACTTATCAATTTGAGAAAGAGTTATATTAGGGTGATCTCAATTGTGATTCAAGCTAGCAGGCGGGTGGGGTGTTGATGTAGAATAGGCTGCTTGTTTGACCCCTTCTGTTCAAGGTGACGCTCAACATAATTGCAGGGTGACTTGAAACATGAATTTGGTCTGTCTTTGCTTTAGCTTACTTGGACAATAGTATCTGAGATGAGAAGAAGTAAATAGTTACAGGATTCTGTCAAATAACAAAGAAAAAACTGCATTTTCCATTTATGCCTTTTCTCTGAAGTTGCTTAGTTCACCCTAAGGTTGTGTGCTGAATTACCATTCGTATGATGTATTATCTGCCTCTTTCTGCTTGCACAATATCCACTTCTGCACTACTGATTTCTGTTTGGACTTTTTTTTATTTGGTGTTTGTTCAACTCTGTACGCTTTTTTCTGAAGTTGCTTAATTCATCCAAGATTGTGTACTGCATACACCATTCTTATGATGTATTGACTGCCTCTTTCTGCTTGCACAATATCCACTTTTGCACTACTAACTTCTGCTTGGACTTTTTTGGTTTGTGTGTTCAACTGAATCAACTCTGTACATTTGCAAAACCTAGCAGAACTCTTATTTACACGGAACAAGAAATCAAACAATGGCGTGAATCACGTAGGAAGCACTTCCCAACAAAAACCAACATAATGAAGGTTCGATCCTGTTCTGTACCATTCTGCTGCCTTTAATCTATTATCTAAAATAATTGAGCCGATCATGAACTTGACACCTGCAGAAGCAGAATGAAAAGCTAATGGACTCTGAGGTCATTGATAAAGAGGCCAACTTTCGTCGCCAGGTACACCTTTTTTTGGTTGTTTCTATTGTATTGTATATTTGGTACATAAAATTGAAGACAAGACCTTTATCTCATACTTTCAACTCAAGTGCCACTTGACAAGACCATGTTTGTATAACGTGGTCTTCTAAATGCACAGTCGCTTTTCTCCGGCTAAGCATATATGTCAATGAGCAATGGCATCTTATAACATTTTATTACACATCATAGATTTCTTCCTTGTCCGAAACTATTGCGTTTTATATAATTTTCTGTCTCCTTTTGCTTTTGCTAATTAATATTTTTGAAATGTTTGGATGTCCATCTGCCATGCTTTACAGTAAATGCTTTCTATTTTCCAGCTTTATGCTCTCATGGAAAGTAATCTTCTTTAAGTGTCAAAATGAGAATTAGGTGCTAAATGATTACCCAGAAATTTGATGATAAGTTGGTGTGAAGAGTTCAATTGGAGTGGTTAGGAGAATACTAAGGCTCTCACTAAGGTTATAGTGATGATCATAATATCTTAGGGTGCCTACTATATTTGCAATGCACAGAAACTGGTGATTATATCATTCATCAGTAGAAAGCTCATTGTATAATGGGGGTGAGGAAGAATGGGTTTCTATAGGTATTTGGATTAAAAATCTGCTTCAATAACGCCAGCAATAATTGGGCAAGTGGTACAATATGCTTATCAAAAGTATTCATTTTCTTTATATAAAGAAAGGTTTGGTCATTTTTTCATAAGGCGATGTGAATCTACTGAACATTCTTACGCTACAACATGCTTCAACTTTTGGTAATTTGTTGGACATCTTTCATGCAGCAACTCAAGGAGATTTTGGCAAAGCAGGCTGAGCTAGGAGTTGAAGTTGCAGAAATACCACCAGACTACCTGTTAGATTCAGAGAAGTTAGGAGTTGAAGTTGCCGAAATACCACCACACCATCTGTTGGATTCAGAGAAACAAGAGCATGGAAGGGAAGATAACAGAAGGTCCTCCACTAAGAAGGGGAGATTCTGGAACAAGCATGATAGAAGAGGAAGACATAACAAAAAAGGTCGGTCAGCCAAGCAGCTCGGATCAGAAAATGAGGATAGGAAGCCATCACTGTTGGAGAAGCTTCTGAGTGCAGATATAAGGAGAGAGAAGCGCCATTTGTTGCAGGTTTTTAGGTTCATGGTGGCAAACTCTTTCTTCAAGGATTGGCCAGATAAGCCTTTGAGATTTCCTTCGGTAGTGGTTAAAGAAGATGGTTATAAGGATGAGCCGGTGGAAGAAAAATCCTCTCTTGTCGGGGAAGAAGTTTCTGAAGTTAGAAACAACACAACAGCTGAAAATTTTGGTGATGGAGATGACGACGACGACGAACACGATGCTCAAGTGGAACCAGGGAATGGTTTTGTCAGGGAAAAAGTTGTTATTGTTAACCAAGTTGATAGGATTGAAGAGGGAGAAATCGTTGACTAAGATTGTAAACAAACTCCCTGTCTGCACCTTTTGTTAATTGTGCCAAGCATTATAATCCCTACTCCGGTACTCTGCCTCAACCCTTCCTTCAAGATTTGTAATATAATCTGTGCCCTTTTTATTATTAATTATATTCAGTTTTGCATTAAAGTCTGTCGACAAAATGGATTTGGGGTCATGAAGAGAAATAACATTTTGAATGATATGGATTCTGACAGCCATTCATGGTGAATAGGTATAACTACAGTACAATTAGAATCATGAAAAGCTCATATATATATTTTGATTCATACATTGTTTAGCCATGCCGAACCCTCCAACTTTATTTTCCTTAAGCCTCACAAACCTAAAGAAGTCCTTCACTGCTTAGTCAAATCCTGCACATCACAAAAACAACAAAATAAATCAAATCCCTGAAGAATAACTTTAGCTATATATTCTCAAAGAGCACAGAAAGAGAACTTACTTGCTACAATCGACTTTAGGGTCACTAGGAATGGTGATTTTGAGTTTGCAAAGCTTGGGAAGTTGCTTCACTCTTTCAGGTTTAACAGGATAAGACTTCATTGCTGACACAAAACATTCACAAAGATGCTTGCGATCAAGACTAGAACTAGCAGCTAACTTGTCCAGTTTTTGTGCACCTGCACAACAGCCATCACTTGGTGTGGGTGGCAAATTGCCTAGGAAGAAAGGAATGCAAGGGGTTAAAGTAGCTGTTGCCTCTTCACATGATATTGTGGCATTGACAATTGCAGCACCTAAACTCAACCACAAAATCACTAACCCTAAAGCCCATTTTGCCCCATCAAGTTTTTTCACCATCTTTCCTTTCAGATCTCTACTATTTTTAACCCTTGCTGTTGCCTATTGGTGTACTATAAAATGAACAAGTTTATGCTTCTTTATATAGGAGAAAATATCAGGTGAATCCACTCACATAAATCATGTGGGATCCATCTTAAAATAATCTAATTATTTATGTATGAAATAAGGAGGCAATTAGTGCATTTTTCCTTAAATTCAACCGTTTTCCTTCTATTTTGAGACAGTCTTACCTCAAAAGCATCCATTTTTATCACAAGTATTAAAAGCTCACATGGACTAGTTGTTGAATTACTCACTCCTTTTCAGCTTAGCTTAAATTTTGAAACTCTCAAGAGGGTTTGATTTGTAAAGATATTGATTCCAAAATGAAAACCACCACATCATAATAAAAACCATCAATGGAGTGAATTATAAATTAGTCCCTCTAGATTCGAGAAAAGAATTAATTAGCCCTCATTTTGTTTTAAAAACTAATTATTTAGTTTTTATATTTTACTTTTTTTTTTTTTTGTAATTTAATCATTTTCATTCCTTTTCAATTTATTATGATTTTTTGTTTTAAAAAAATAGAAAAAAAAACATGAAACGATTGATAAGAAAAGATTATATTTTTCAGGAAGAAGCATAGCATCCATAAGTTTTTGACGTGTTTCTAATTGCTAGAGAACTATATTTGCACATTAGAATTGATAAAATTGCTAAAGAACTACACTTGCATATTAAAAATGACAAAAACTCGACGGATAGATTAAATTTTAAATGAAAATAATTGGAGATACATTTAATCTAAAATTGAAATTTCTGCTAGGAGATTTGGATGTATGTGTTGGGTGTGTGAGTTATATATATTAGAAAAAAAAATCTAAAATTGAATTTCAGAAATTAATTTTGAAATGAATTAAAGTTTGGAAAGGATTTCAACTGTTATACCTTCTTTTTTTTTTTTTTTACTCAAACAAATATCCATGACAATAGGTTTAAGCTGAAAATTTCTTAAATAAATTCTTGGATTAACAGAAAACGAGTGACATATTTATTCCTCAAGTTTTATTACATTATTTTTGGTCAGTACACTATTTCTCCTTGCCTACCCCTCCAACTTTATTCTCTTTGAAAAATGTCACCATCCAAAAGAAGTTCTTCACTATCCAATCAAAACCTGCACATCACAAAAAAAAAAAAAAAAAATCAAATCCCTCAAGAACTTGCATATAGTTGCACTTTAGCTTGCTATATTAAATTTCAGTTAAATTATAAAATAACTTACTAAACTTAAACGAAAAAAAAATTACCTCATGAACTAAAAAAACCCTTTATTTTGCCCCTTCCGTTAGGGTTTCTATGAGAAACTGATGGAAAAACTCCCAAAAATCCTCCTAAATTCTATCTTTTTCTCAACCAACTTAAGAAAACATGTTTAATTATAGAGAAAAGAGAAGAACTGAGAGGATTTCTAAAGATCTTTTCTCAAATTTTCAATCAAATCCAAAAAGAATGGACCAATTCAAGACATTGTATCGTTTGCAGAGCAAAAACAAAAGTTTTTTTTGGCTTACGAAAGTTTTTTTTTTCGTTCAGGTATTTTACAATTTAACCTTAATTTTCTAAAAGAGCACAGAAAGAGAAATTACTTGCTGCAATCGACGTCAGGGTTATCAGGAAGGGTGACTTGGAGTTGGCAAAGCTTGGGAAGTTGTTGAACTTTTTGAGGGTTGGCAGGGTAAGACTTCACAGCTGACACAAAACATTCACAGAGACTCTTGCGATCGACAGGAGAGGTAGCAGCTAGCTTGTCCAACTTTTGTGCACCTGCACAGCAAGCATCGCTTGGTGTTGGTGGCAAACCCAGCAAGAAAGGAAGGCAAGGAGTCAAAGTTGCCAATGCATCTAGACACGATATGGTGGCATCGGCAATTTCAGCACCTAAACTCAACACCAAAAGCATTAACCCTAGAGCACATTTAGCGCTTTCCATGTTTTTCACCATCTTTGCTTTCAGATATTCTCTACTTTTGTTAACCTTAGCTATTGGATGTTGGTGTACGTAGTATAAAATCTACAAGGTTATGCTTCATTTATATAGGAGAAAATGGATTGGGATCTCTTGGGGTTTTCTAAATTGTTTAGATTAATTTGACCGATTTTGATTAGTGTACGATAGAAATAGAAATAACTAAATTTCTCAGTATTTTGTTTTTCTTACGTAATTTTAATCATTGAATGAGATTTGGAACATGAGAGGATTCAAAATTAAGAGAAAGATCAAAACAATAAATTTTGAAGTCAACAAGACTCCCAAAAAAGAAAGATATCGATCGTCGAGAAATTACATGCACAAATCTAAGAATTATTTTCATAGTGAATCTCATGACATATCTAATAATTTGTCCAAAAATAAAATCAAAATAAATAATAAAATTATAAAACTACTATAAAAGAAACACACAGACAAAATAAAATAAAAATAAACATCAAATTTCAAGCAATAACCATAAATAAGATTCAAGAAACCCGATAAGAATCAGAAAACTTAATCTTTAAAAAAAAAAACATGAAATAATGAATACAAAATCAATGCTGAAAAGTATTGAAAACAAAAGGTCACTGTAGAAACAATATCAAAACTCACGTGGACCAATTGCTGATGCATTAGCTTTTTTTTTTTTAGCCAAACTTTAATTTTGAAACTCTCCAAATTAAGGCCTTGATTTGTAAAGATATTGGTTCCAAAATGAAAACCAGTTGCTCCTGCATGTGGGCTATCATCTATGCAATTAACTGCTTAGGAATCCATGTCTGTCAATGCACTAATTGAAATATATATATATATTGTAAATGTAATTATAACGATATGGCATATGGATAATTGTATGGATCAATGGATTTATTAGTGTTGATCATTACAAAAGATGATGATACGACATTAACTTCAACAAATAGAACCGAATAATCCTAAAAAAAAAAAATAGTATAAAAGAAATGTTTGACCCTTACCAATGGATTAGTGTTTTTGAATTACTTTGTTATTATTTTCCATTGCTTTGCAAGTCTAATTAATACCAAAGGGTTGGTTGAGTCACGAGTGCAAATTAAAAATGGATATCAGTAGTTAGAATTTGAAGCTTTTTTTTTATTCGAAATTAAAAATATTTTTGAATTAACTTGAGGTTAAATAACATGAAAGGAAGATAGATTTATAGTAACAATTCTTAAATAAATGGCAATAAAAAGGCAACAAATTAACTTGGTGCCATTTTGTATTGCAAAATTCTTTAATAATTAATGAGAGAAAGGTAGAGGAAGAGAATATGCATAAACACATAGCACACACCCAAATGATACATCAGAACTCAAATTGCATGTAGGATGTGTATCCAAGTGCATCAAGATGAGCAGCCATGGCCTTGTTCATGCCTGGTGGACCGCATCTCAAGATCTGTAATTTCAATAAATTGTAGCCCAATCAGAGAGTTATTTTCATCCAAGAGGCATAATTTGCAATCAATCAATAAATAAAAAAGTCACCATTTTTTTCTTTTTTCTTTAGGTTAATTGGTTATAAAACATTTTAACTTTTGGTCAATAGAAAAAAAATCATTTTTTTTTATCTGCAATTAAGTCATTCGTTCCATTGACCAATCTTTGACGACCTTGAATACGAAAGAGAGGCACGTGAGCTGCTAAAACAACAGCATTTATCTTGGAAGAGACACTCTAGGACGTGTGAGTTATTGAAAGAATATGCACATATTCTTTCATATGCGTTCAATGTCGTTTGAGATCGATTGACGAGATAAAAAGGCTTACTTACGGGTCCAAGAAACATATTCAAGAAAAAAACATAACCTGAATGTCTGAGGCAGGAGCCGGGCAATAATTTTGAATAATTTCTTTAGAGACATAACCAACACCACCATTCCATGCTTCAGGAGGCTGGTAAAAATATTGGAAGAGTTGATAATCAATACCAAGAATATATATATATATATAGAGAGAGAGAGAGAGAGAGAGAAAGAGAGGGGGTTATTGGAGTGTTTTCATATTGGTTTCGCATCAATCGAGATTAATTTTATCATTTTTTAAACTAAGTTAGCGCTAGAACAATCTTAATTTTTGGTTAATTACCAAACTTCTTCTTAGACCAAATTAGCCGAAGTTTGGTATTATTAAATAATAATTATAACTAATTATTATGGATAATTGAAATTGAACTTTAATTTTAGGCAAATTGAGACAACTTTCTTACCTCTAGACCACATCCTTTAGTGATAATTATATAGTTGTGAGATGAAAATATGTAAACCCTAAACCCACCTGACTGAGGACATAATAAACTTTGAAACGATTGGGGAATTTGCTAGCAAAGGCATCTAATTCTTCCTGCACAACATCCAACAATTAAGAATTCGTTATGTATATATAATGAGCTAATTGGCCCCGACTTTTTTTTAACCTCAAGTCATTTAAAATTTGGTTTCTCGACTTCTAATTTTAGATAAGATTTTATTTCAATTATTTAACATTTAAATTGAGTTTTTCTATTAGGTTTTCATGTATTCTATTGGTGAAAATATACTTGACTTGTATGTGATTTATTTTTTAGCTTCTCCAATGGTTAAAAATATGCAAATACTCATGGATGCTTTTTTTTTTTTTTTTGTCTCCTAAAACTTGTTTTTCTTTTCTAAAATGTTCTTTAATTACTTACTTTTTAGCCATTACGAGAAAAGAAACAAGTTTTTGAAAGGAAAAGTAAAGTCTATATAAGATTAGATATGTTTTTATTTCTTTAGAAATTATATTTATACGCTAGAATTGATAAAAACCTAATAAAAAATCTAATTTTAAATAAAAAATAATTGAAAGAAGATCTAATCCGAAAATAAAAGGTTAAAAAACCGAGTCTTAAATAAATTAAAATTGAAAAAAGATTTGAACCGTTTATTTTATTAAAAAAAATACATTTATGTAATGTAATATAAAAACAAAAGTGAAATGCAAAAGTTACCTTCAAAAGAATGTCCTCAACTGTGGTATTGGCATAAATAAGATGCACACAGGTTTTATCTTTTGGGTTCTCTAATATGGCTCTAGTAAGCTGGAGCCAGAAAACGATAGAAATTAATTCATTCATATCAGGAAAACTAAAATTTCACACAAAGAATGAATTTTTTTGAAGGTTTTTCAATCATGTATGAACCTGGAAAATTGGGGTGATGCCAGAACCTCCAGCAATCATTCCGAACGCTCTAGCTTGGCCAGGTTTGTAATTGAATCGTCCCTTCAAGCATCGAAAACACAAGAGATTAAGTTCAATTGTTCAAAAAAATATTGTTGGAAATAATATTAATTAATATTTTTTTGGTAAAATGTTTTAAGAAGTTAATTGTTCTTGCATCCTTCGTAATGATGAGCAATTGATGCAGAAAAGTGAGTGTTTATGGTACCTGAGGTCCCTTTACTGCAAGATATTCCCCTTCACACATCTCCCTGAAATGGTGTGACATCCTTCCTTTTGGATACATCTACTTAATAGAAAACATTTAAGGAATTAAATCATACATAAATATTAGGATTAATAGATAAATCTATTCTTTTATAATAACATAATTCTCCAATCTATCTTTATATTTTTTATTGAATCAATTTTATCGTTAAATATACGTTAAGTTTTCAATCTATAATATTGTCAAGATTTTTAAGTCAAATTATTAAAATTATTAATGTGATTTCAATAACTAATTATAATTCTCAAAATATCCTTACAAGCCAGTCAAATAAAAAGATTTTATGTGCAAATTGTGTGATTAATTTTAGTAGTTTAGTCTAAAAATCTTACTAGATTGATAGATTAGACACTTAATGTATATTCAACGGTAAAATTGATTCAATTAGAGCTATAAAACATATTAAAGAATTACTAACCCGGATTATATTAATTTCATAGTTTAAAAAATTGGATGGAGGATATATTTACTTTTACAACTAGTTCAAAGTAGCCAACATCAGAATCCAAAGTAATTGGTGTATATGGTCTTGTAACTTCTTGACCTTCACCATCCTTTCCCCTATTCAAAAAAATAAAAATAAAAATTATATATATATATAAATTAATTAATTTCGAAATTAATGTTAGACATGGAAAATGCCAAGTTAATTAACATTTGTGAACCTGCAAACAACATGCTTTCCAACAGGAAGACCCAACACTGCTTTAGGTGTAGGAAGAGAGAATCTAAACTTTGCAACATTTGGGCTAATTGGAGTCTTCTTGACCAGCTTGAATTCTTTGAATTTCTTAGGGTCTAAGCAGCCTAAGAGAAAGAAAAGAAAAAATACATATACATTAGCAGCAATGGCAAAAATAATGGATGGTACCAGGCCTAAAACTCAACCAGAAGTTGCAAAACCAGACCTTTGGATTTTTTGCTGAGAAGACGGTAACAAGCAGCAGCAATGGCGACTAAAAATATGGCAATGGCAATGCCAAGAAGTTCAGAATGGGGTATTGCCATAAACATTTTGGTAAGGAATAGAAGCAAGAACGTGTAGATATATTTGTATTAGCTAGCTAGAAGCACCATCTTATATATATATCCTTTGCTTGCTCTTCTCATCTTTCTCATTCCCTTCATTGATTTAAGAACTGGGAAGGAATAAAGGAAAGAGTATAAAGGTGAAAAAAAAGAAAGATATTATGAGTAAATATTAAATAGCCATGAAATACTAAAAGGTTAAGTTGTGCAAATTTCTCGTGAATTTTAAGCATTTGAGAATCTATTTTTTAACTTTTAATTTCAGATTAGACTTTTTTTTCGATTATTTCTCATTTAAAATTAAATTATTATGTTAATTTTTTTTTTTATCAATTCTATGGAATTATATGTAATTTTTACGTAGTTGACTTTTTCACTTTTCTAATAGTTAAAAATATATATAAATTATTTTGGTTTTACTCTCAAAACTTGCTTACATTTTAGTATTTAGGACAGGAAAATAAGTTTTTAAAAGAAAAATAAAAGATCTATAAGTTTTAAAATGTTTTTAACAATTGATAGATTGGATTTAATTTCAAATAAAAAATAGTTAGAAGAAAATTTAACTTGAAATTGAAGAATAAAAAACTCATTCTCAAATGAATTAAAATTTAGAAAAAAATTAGACTATTTAGTCGTATTAAAAATATTGTAACATTTTTAAAAACTAGGGTCATAAATGCAAAATTCTTATATTTTAATTGTTCTTGTTCAATGCTCTTTTGTACTTTAAGCCCATTTATAAAATCTAGGTCAGGCCTTGAAATCTTAAGGCCCATATTCTTAGCCCAGGTTTTGCTTTGAAATCTTAAGGCCCATATTCTTAGCCCAGGTTTTGCTTTGAAATCTTAAGGCCCATATAATCATATTTTTAATACGACTATTTAGCCGTATTAAAAATATTGTAATATGATTAAAAACTAGTGTCATAAATGTAAAATTAATGGTTTGCCTCCAATGCTCTTTCGTCCTTTAAGCCCATTTATAAAATCTAGGCGAGGCTTTGAAATCTTAGGGCCCATATCCGTAGCCCAGGCCTGGAAATCTTTGAAAATCTTAAGGCCCATATCTTTAGCCCCATGTTTCCTTGATGGAATCCAAATAATTTTGTTAAAAATAAATACATATATAAATTACGTTATTTTGGGTTTAGAAAAATAACATATAGAGTAAATTATAAATTAGTCCCTCTTTTTGCATGAATAAATCAATTAGTTCACTTAATTTTAAAATCTAATTATTTAATCTTTTTAACCAATATTGATCACTATTAATTTAATATTTTTTTTATTTTAATTGATCACTATTAATTTAATATTTTTTATTTTATAAAATTATATTCTCATCCATCTTTCCATAATTTTTACTTTTTTTATTTCTTAAAAAAATAAAAAAGATTAAATAATTAGATTTAAAAACCTATAAGACTAATTAATTCACTTCTTGGACTAACATAAGATATGATTAATCATGTCTTCAATGCGAGATAGAGATATCAGGAAAAAAAAAAATCCCCTCCAATTAGCTTTTGTAATCAAATGCCTAACAAAATTATTTTTTCCCTTAATTTTAAGAAATGTATTAATACAAAGATAAACAATCTTTTTGGGATGAATGAAGCAATAAAGCTGTGACTTATGGGTTGCTGACGTGGCTCGTGCTAGTCTCTGTGTTGGGCCGGTGGGCCGTGGTTGCTGGCCTGGATAGTCGATCAAGAGCTGAAAAATGGGCCGATAGGCAATTGGTTGGGCCTGCGGTTCGTGCACAAAACGAATGGCAATTGGAAAATTACGTTACTTTTTCAATCTCTCTCAATTAGGAGTGAACTGAATTTAATTAAGTCGGCAATTAGAATCACAATAAAAACCATAAATTTATGGATCGAACGTTGCATGTTCGCATAACGTTTCTCTCTCTAAAACCAATTAAATTTAGCATATGAAATTGCATGACCAAAACACACACACACACACACACACACACACACACACACACAATATATATATATATATATATATATATATATATATATATATAATTCTACAATAAAAATATTCTCAAATCAAATTATACATCAATTAAAACTATTTTTTTTTTACGGATGATTTTAAGATCACACTATTCACATTATGCATTCAACAAAATTTCATAAATTTTTTGTTGATACCGACTCAAGATTTAAATCTAAAAAATCACAAATAACCATTTCATAAATAATTAAATAATAATAAGATGTTAATATGAAATTCATGTATTGTCACGTAGAATATGATAGCATGCAACGAGAACGAGAGAATGGTACTAATATAGTAAGATCATGAAAATTTACTCCAAGCAATGCTAGTATGAGAATGAGAGAATGGTACTAATATAGTAATATGATGAAAATTTACAATGCTAGTTTTTTGTTTAATCATATATGAAATGTTAAAATGTTGGAGGAAACTAATAAATATTGCTATCTATCTTTGAAGCCTAGCTATATCACTAATTAATATGCAAAAGATGGGCATATAAGGTTCAAAGGTTATGTTTTTCTAGAGCGGGCGCAAAGTATACCTATTGTTTTATCATCGATGAAAACAGCAACACGCTTTTTTTAATCGGACTTAGAAGCGTCAATACTAGTTTCAGTTCATAGCTGATTTTAAAACTAAAGTAATGTTAACTTTTTTGAGTTTTTGGTTTTAATGGTAAATGTATCCTTTCGGCCAGTGCGAGGAAATTCCAAATATTTGTATGGTTACTTACTCTCCTGACACGTTCGGAAGGAAGTCTTGGAGGAGTATATAGAAGGCAGGGGAGTAAAAAAGAACTATTAACTCTTACTTGATCCCTTTTGTTTTCACTTCTGCCCTTCTTTGTTGTACAATGTGCATACTGTAATGTCCTTTTATTAATTATGGCTTCAATATTAGTCTGACAAGTTGTACTGGTTATGATCTGTTCAAAGCTATAATCGTTTCTGTGAACGTCCAGAATGTCAGTTCCCAAATTCACTGATTTCCCTTTATTCTATCTGAATCGACAGTGTCACTGATTTCCCATTATTCTGTCTGAATCGACAGAACACTGGCTTGTTAACATTGGTGTCCTATATGCCCACACAATAACTGTCTTCTTGATTCTTGCGTTGTTACGTAGAATGCATGGAACCATGTCAAACCTGAAGTCTCTCCAAGACCCTTTTTGTCTCGTTGCTGTTAGATTGTTGTTTTCTACCAAGTTTGCTAACATTTCATTTTTACTAATCCAATTCTCTATTTTCACAAAAATAAATAGAAAATGCCAGGCTTTAAGAAAACAGCGTGTGAGAGAGAAAAAAAGAGAGAATATGTTGAAAATGTCTCCCTCTTCCCTGCGCACTCCCAATTAACAATGAGAAAACAAGGATGTAAGTATCCAGAATTTAAAAAATGAATTTTACACGTTTTTTTTTATTAAGATTTAAAATTTTTTTTTTGTATTCAATTGAAGAATTCTATTATTGTGTTATTGTTATTTCAGACCTTAATATGCCATATAAGCACATGTAGCATATAAGCTTTGTTGGCAACTAAAAGCAAAAGAACCCAAAAAAAAAACAAAAGTATCTTATGTACATTTCATTGAGCCAAACCACACAACATTAATTTGATAAGCATGAGCATTGCGCAATCCGCATTGTCGATTCATGCTACCTTACTGAGCCATTAGACCCTGATCAACTTTCAAGGGCTTCAATCTCATACTTGACTTCTTCCAGGTGTTCATTTATGGTGGTCACAGCATCCTGTACGCCTCTGATAGCTTCCTTGAGAGCATTATCATACTCAGCATCAGCTTCTGCCTCTTCAGTTCCAGCAGCTTCAGTTATTTCATGAAGGTGCACACACTCATGCTCCATTGGTTTTGGAAATCTGCAGTTTTCATGGTTGACAAGACGTTCTGATGGCCGACCAGCTTTCTTTAACAGCTGAATGGTTGCTGTCTTTAGGAGAAAGCAAAGGAAACAATGTAAAATGTTATCAAACAAACGAAGAAGGTAATTGGGGAATAGAACTTCCATACGTGTCAAATAATTTAAGATCTGTTGACAAAAGTTTTGGGGGCATACAGTTGTATTTATGGCAGATAACAAACAAGAAACTCAATTTCCCTGACACTAGATTGAATACTATTGACTCAGCAATCAACACAACCAATGACTTGACATAATCAAAATCAATAAAAAAGAAGACATAAATTAAAATCATAGCATGTACCAAGTGTAACTTCTGCTTTTCTTGTGTTTGAATGGCTCTGAGAAGGTTTGCCAGATCGAGTCGGTCATAGTCAGGGTTTAGAAATAAAGACTCCATTTCAATGACCTGCGCTCAAGTAGAATAAGAAAAAACAATTAATACACATGAAGTTCCAGCGAGGAAAAAGAAAAAGAAGGGATCGTTTGCTAACTTGTTTGGAGCAGTCATTGAACTCTACTGTGATCTCGCTGCAAAGCTGCTGGTAACCTAGTTCCCCTCCAGAGACCATATATTCAGCAAAACCCCTGTAAAACAAGCATCAGAATTTTTCCTACTAGTTCAGTCATGCATAAGCAGAACACAACACAACTTACTCCATAATCCTATCAGATCAAAAGACAAATGGGAAACTTGTGTCCAATTTCTAATGGCACATTCATTCATTTCTCATAAAAAGACCAATCAGGCCCTTATGATGTGATCCGGATATTGAATCCAGGAATGGGTCCTTATGCACAAACGAAGCCATATAAATTCCCAAGAAGCAAGTTGCTTTGTCCCGTGAAGGATTGCTTGGACAGGCAACAAGGATCAAACTTTTTAGTGATAAACAAGGATTGAAATCGACAAGTATAATGGATGGTGCACCAGTAAACTCTGGAAAGCCAAAACAATGATACTGACCCCACATGGCATAAGTAGAAATAGAATTTTTTTATTTTTTTTAAAAAAAAGAACCTATGAGCTAGACATGCTCAATGCGTTAAATATACCAGATTGTGACGCAGTAGAAGCTGAAACAGAAAATATGGAGTAGATTTTAATCAAATATATACCTAACAAACTAGTTGAATGTAAGCAACATAAAAGAAAACAATCAGACAAGGAAGATTAACCTAAAATCACATTGGGGATCCCAAGGGATCATAAAAATTCAATCTTTATGTTCCTCCATCTTAATTCCTTATCTGAAACCAATTAACATTCCAGAAAGAACACGACGTCTCTTACCAAGTAAAGAAGTCAAACCCAAAATCAAAATAGGGCTATTGGTGATCACTCTAAAAATTCAATTATTTAGTTCCTCAATCTCAATCCTCTAACTGAAACCCTATTAAAACCCCAAAAGAAACAACCTTTTGAAGCAAATAAGGAGACAGACCTAAGATCACAACTGGGTTACCTCTAAAATTCAAATATTTTTTAGCTCCTGAATTCATTGATTGAAACAAATTAAAACCAACAAAAAAAAAAAAAATCAATTATTTAGTTCCTCAATCTCAATCCTTTAACTGAAACCCGTATAAAACCCCAAAAGAAACAACCTTTTGAAGCAAATAAGAAAGACAGACTTAATATCACAACAGGTTTACCTCTAAAATTCAATATTTTTTAGCTCCTGAATTCATTGATTCAAACAAATCAAACCCCCCTCCCCCCGCCCCCCACCCCCCACCAAAAAAAAAAAAAAAAAATTCTCCAATAAAATCCTTAAGAAAACTGTCGACATTATTGTTTCCATCTTTACATTCACCAATTTAAACAGCTCGAATGAATTGCTTTTTCAAGAAAATGAAATGAGAGAGAGAGAGAGAGTACTGTTTGAGCTTGGCATAAGCTTGGGCTCTCCTTTGCTGGATTTCAAGGAATCTGCGGAGTAAAAGAAGGGTATTGGAGGATTTTCTGCTGCTGCTTGCTTCTTCAGCTTCAGTCTCCGTTGCCTCTGCATCTGCTAACGAAACCTTTTTGAAATCTTCCATGATTTCTTGCTTTTTCTTGTCCATCAATGTTTCTCTCTATATTTTTTTTCTTTTTATTAAATTTCCTTCCTTCTTTTCTTCGTATAAAAAAGGCAATGCATTATATTTTCAATCCTACAAATTTTATCAATATTTTACTTAGGCTCCTACAGTTTAAAGTTTTGAATTGCATTGCTCCAGTGCTCTTTAGTCTTTGCCTTATTATTTTATTAGGTGGAGGCACATTGCAGGACTTTTTTGTAAATACAAAGAGTTTGATGGGCAAAATAAAAAGCTTATATCACGACAGTTAACGTAAGAAGAAATTGTGACCCATTTATGTATAAAAATTTGAATGGATGTGCGTTATCTGTCTTCTAATCTATCTTTCCCCTTACCAAGTGTCTAAAATATAATTGGTGCAATTTTTATTTTTATCAAATATATAAATTTTAATTTTTTTAATTTGAATATAAAACATTTTTCATCTAATTTCTATTAATTACTTTATTATTTGATGCCGTATTTTATTCTTTTCTTCTTGAAGAAAACTTTTCCTCCCAAATTATTGTCATTTTTTTAAAAAAAATAAAAGGTCAAAATTATAATTTAGTGGTATGAAGCAAAGAAGACATTGTCAAATAACGAAGCAATTAATAAAAATTAAATTGAAAAATAATTAATTTACAATTTTAAAAAAATTAACATACTCAACCAAAAAAAAAAAAATTATACTTGATTGAAAAACATTAGAGATTGATACTGATTATATCCCAACCTTATTTTAAGGAATAAAAACTAGTTTTGATATAAAAACTAAAGGAAGAATTCCGCTTCAAAAGTCTAAAGTTTGCACAGGAATATGCCTCAGCACATTGAGATCTGTCGTCATTTGCACAGCCTTTAATTTCCTGAATCATATTCTCTCAATTATTCCATAGATTTACTGGCAGTCTAGTTGGTAGTCCCATCATGAATTCGTCTAGCTAAATGTCTAAAAAATCTTGGATATGCTTTGGAATTGGAACAAAATCAATGAAATTTCAACAGGGTTCAACATGAGCCAGACAACTAGTTTACACTTTCCACAGCTATCAACATGGAGCAGAAGCAGAATTTGTTGACATAACCATTGTATCATGAGGCCGCACAATAGGGAGCTCCAAAAATCGCAATGATCTAAGGAGGTTTTGATCAGTGAGCCAGAAAGTTAACAATGATCACAAGCTAACATGCGAGCTCCGACACCTTTCAACCTACATTACCTAGTGTAATCTAATAATAAACTGCACTAAGCCAAGTTTTACAAAAGGCATTTACAAGTGATCCCCAGCATTTATTAGAGTGATGCCTCAGATACAAGTTCAGGCACAGGTGCTGATTCCTCTAACTCAGAATCTGTGGCAGAGATCAAGGAAGCTGACTGAATCTTGCCAGCGTGCTCCAACCGCATCAAAATAACTCCCCTGGAGAGAGATGAGAGAGAGAGAGAGTGAATTTGACAGCAAACACTAATAAATCTACAACACAAGATTATCTAGCTAATCCAACATTATAGAAGTCTAAGTAGCCAATGAAGCATTTGTAGGATTAACTTGGCTCGGTTTTCAGTTATAAACTCAACCTTTAAATCATAATCATTATCCCTCAAAATTCAATGAAGGTACTTCACTATTTTGTTGCTGAAAGCAAAATGGATAGTTTTCATATCCAGAATATGTTGCAAACCTACCTAGCAAGAACCTCTAAGGTTTGGACTATCAACAGTCAACTCTCTATCCCAAGGCAGTAAGATACAAGACCTTTTTATTTTTATATTTTGGTTTCTTTTGGAAGAGAAATTCATGAAGCTGAATGTATAAATATGCTGCTAGCAATGCAAAATTGATGTTGCAGGTGCATGGAAGAATGTATTCTACTAGAACCCATGGACAGACAAAGACATTCTTGCTTTGAACAAATGAGCTTAGAAAATACTTCGATATAAAAAAATATACATACTTTGCAAAGCGGGATTGTATAGAAATATCCCTAACTTTAATTCGATTGACAGTGCCACTTTGGCTTACGAGAACCACTTGCTCATCACTTTCACCATCTTCTATAAGTGAGAAAGAAGGGAGAGACATTAGCACAAAAATCAATAAAGAGCAAGCATAATCAACAGTATTTTAAAAGCATCTACCCCAAACCATTATATAACAATACCTGTCAATGAAAAACCAACCGCAAAGACAGCTGCCAAGCGATCTTCCTCAGAGAACTTAAAAACAAGAGTAGAGTAAATGTCAGCTATAGAACAAAACTACAAGGCAGAGAACTCATTTATGTCTAGATTAAATGGTATTAAAAGTTAAAACAATAGTATAATAGTCATGATACCTTATAACCAATTAATCCAACCCTGTTCAAACGTGATTGCTTGAAGCTACTGAGGGGAACCCGCTTTCCATGACCATTCTCAGTCACAAACAACAACCACGGACCAGTGCCCTTGTTGCTGTTGTGAAAAAAAATAATGAGAAAATCTTTGAACTGACAAAGAATCAAATGTTCTATGTTTGAACCTTTTGCAAACGAAATGATATGGTGTTTATTAGATGCTACACAAAGCAAACATAGAGAATGCCCAAGCAATTACTTCTCAGAATCTTTTGATGCCATCTCCAAGTCTTTCTGCAGGGAAGCTGGTTTTATATCCATACTTGCTATTTTGTCACCTTCTCTTAGCCTCATGGCCACTCCACCCCTTGTGTTTCTACCTAGTGCTCGAATCTGGGTTCAGAAAAATGGAGGTCAATAGGATAATAATAAGACTTTGGTAAAAAGGAAAAAACTTTATACTGCAACTGATTGTGCACGAGCTCATAGCTTGAGGCTCATTGCAGAGTATTGGTAAAGATCAAATGAGTTAGGCTATAGGCCAGTCCTCTACAGAAAGTTAATGCATCTCAATGAGCAGAAAGCAAATGTCTTAATTAAGCCGTGATCCAAACAACTTAGGGTCTGCTAGACAATAAAACGTTTGATCACTCATAAACTACTTGTAGCAGAAATTTACAGAACATCAATCTGGTAACTTGTTCATGTGCATGCTTGAACATTTTCTTAATTGCAGACTATTTTGAGGCAACAGAGTGGATAGAAATGTCCCTCCAATGGAAGTAATACCAGTAATAAGCATGGCAGATAATATCGTAAAACTACGAATCTGAAATTGGAATTAATTCATCTCAATTGACTAAAAGCAGAAGAAACATTTGTCATGTCGGCATAGAATGATTCATTTCACAACACTATTGATTCTCAATCTCAATCAATTTCAAGCCTTTTCTATTTCCACCTGCTTCCTTCAATTCTTCAAAATAATTTCTCCAATGGTGCACTTTAATTTCCAGTTGCCTTTGGCAACAAACAGAAGGAAAGAGAGAAGACGAAATACAATGAAGGAGAAACAAGGTTATTTATTTGCCACTATCAAAAGCTATAAAAGCTTTGTTCATATGGCTTGAACATCATTAATTGTAACAGATAGAAAGCATCAGATAACTTACATTCTCACAGGAAGTCAGGATGACCATTCCATGTTGTGAAGCCATGGCCACAAGATCATCATTTGTGCAACAGCGGACCCATTTTAGTTCATCACCAGGAACCTGGCAAGTTAACATTTTAAATCTAAGAACATACTTTCGTCAGAATTGGATGAAAATAGAATGCTAGAGCAGAATACAAGAGGACAAACCAACTGAATTGCTATGATTCCAGTTGAACGTATGGCTGAGAAAGAGTTCAAAGATACTTTCTTGATGTAGCCATTGACAGTAAGCATCAGTAGGAACTGATCTTCAGCAAACTCACTCACAGGAATAATGGAAGTTATTCTTTCACCGTCAGATAAAGATAAGATCTGTCTCCACCATGAAAGAGATACAAGCTTGAGACATTAGAGAAATGCATTAATAAGCAAAGGAGCAAAAACAGTTATTACCTGGACCAGTGGTGTGCCAGCAGCAGCTCTGGTGCATTCAGGGATTTTATACGCAGGAGCTGAGTATACTATTCCCTTATCACTGCAGATGCAAAGTGGAACATCGATTCATGAAACAAGATTTATGGGGCCGGGCCTACGCCAACTACATAGGACCAACATCTGGCCGTACAAGCTGGGAGTTCCTGGCTGAAAAAATTACCTAATAAATAATAAAAGGATAGAACATAGGAGAAGTACGTGAAATATAGCACACGGTCATGTGCACGACAGACTATGAAGTCAGACATTGCATCTCTATCTCTCAGCTTCCCAACAGATTTACCAATTGTTCCACGATTTTGAAGATTAAATGTGTTGGGCTTCATCCGCTTAAGATAGCCTTTTTCACTAAGTGCCTGAAAATTATAGGCATAGCAAATAGAAATTAGTTGGATACTTCATTTTAACAGGGAAAAAAAATCGCTAAGACATCAGAATATTAAAATTAATAAAGCCAATTACCAGGAGCATTTCTTCATTTGGAATAACATCTATATCTTCAAGTTGACCGCTATCAGAGTCCTCCAACATTGAACGCCTTGGATTGGAAAACTTATTTTTGAGCTCCACTGCTTCTTGTTCAATTAACTGAAACACGAAATAGGATAAGAGAATTGGGAGATCAGTCAACTTAATAGCAAATAACTTGGTATAAACAAAAAGAAAGCATCTAAATATTTCAGGTCTTTTAGTTACAAAATATCTAAAAGATCAATTACTGGAATTGTTACCTGCAATATATTTTCCTTGCTTGACAGTAGTACCTCTAGCTTAGTTATTTGTTCCATCAATGTTTTACTTTCATCAACAAACTTTTTCCCCTGCACAATCAGAATTATATCTGCTTCATATGATATTGTTTGAAGAATTGTACCTGTATGAAATCTCATAGAAAAACAGAATATAACTAAAGGCACGGTAGCCACCTCAAGAAGGGTAAGCCTTCTTAGGCTTATGTCCAAAATAGCTTCAGCTTGTTTTCCAGACAGATTGAATTCTGCATTCCAAAATACGAACAATAAGCAAAATGAAGTAAAGTTTCTTCATGACCGTAAAAAGCATGGATACTTGCAATTATCGCAAAGTCTAGAAAAGCTTCTTCTCTTAGGTTAAGAGAGGACAAGCAATTCTGCTACGAGACTCAGTGCAAGTTAGAAGCTCAGAAAAGCAAAATATGCATAGAAACTTAAAAACTAGAGTTGCTTAGCTATGCTACCAAGATTCCTCATGCTATTATGCATGAGGTCATGTCCATCCCTAAATATGTTATGTACTCATAACTGCTGTTTATTTTAGCCTTTTAGCTTATTTTCATGATTAGAAAATAAGCAATTCCATGTAACTGAACACCTTCATTCTCATTTTCTTGAGGGACAAAAATAAGGGTTCTAAAAGCCTTTATCCCATTCATCTCTGGGTATACCAGCATGAAAGACCAAACAACACCAAAAAAATCAGAAATGATTGCATCAGCAAGATAAATATAAAAAGTAAAGGAAACTTACCATTCCTTAGACCAGCAGATGCAATTGCATTGCTTGAAGATTTCCTAATTATGTCAACCACTCTATCCAAATTATGAAGCCCCACCACGATGCCCTTGGAACCCAAATAACAACCATTAGTCAGTATGAAATGGAAACTTTACAAAATAAGCAGGCATCTCATGCAAGTGGTCAACCCACTCACTTTAATGTTGCTATCATATGAAAATAAGAACCAAGCTCAATTTATAAACATTTGAAAAAATTGGACCAAACACACATGCAAGCCTGGTTATACATGTGTGCACAAATGGAGGACAATCGGGATAAAGGGAGAGAGAAAAAAAGGTTGGAATAGCATGGAACAGCCACAGGGCCTTTTCATTTCGTCAAGTAAACTAAGAATTACCTTAACATACCTCGACAATATGTCTTCTATCCTGTGCTTGAGAAAGCTTGAACCTGGCACGCCGTTCAACAACAGAGCATCTGAAGTCTAAGAATGCCTGCCAAACAAAAGAAAGATGGAAAGCTCTTCAGTTTCCAGCTATTCTATGATATCAACAATACTTCAGCTTACAAAACGAAAAACTCCAGAAAAAGAAAAATAGAACTACACAAAATACAATGATGTGTTCTAATTTAAGAAGAAATTGATAAAACAAAATGTTTAAGTAGTCACCTGAAGCAACTCTTTCAGACCCATCTGTTTAGGGTGTCCATCAAGAATGCTGTGATACAGAGCAATTGATGGAATATGTATTAGGACACAATATTAGGCCAGAAAGTTTATTGAATAAAGTGTGTAAGGGGAATGGTAAATTAGGCTAGAAGTGCAAAATCTTCAGCAGGAGACAACTTAACTATATATTAATGCTAAAACCAGTCAAGAATAGCATCTCACAATATACCGAAGGATAGATATCTCTTGAAAATATAATGCAACTGGCATTGGTGTAAATTTCAGAAATGTTTCAATATACCACTTAATTTTCAGAAAATAATATTCCCACACTGAATCAGCAATAAATTCTTTCCTCCTTGCATATTTTTTTTGCAAGAAAGCAAAAATATGGGAGTTTGAGTTTTGCACATAAGAGTGTGCAATTATAGTAATGGGTTTACTGTATTCACAAATATTACCAGCAGAATCTTTCCACTACTCCAGGCAAAAGCAGAAAGTTATAAAGGTTAATATCCATATCATGGTCATCTGGGTCATTTACTTGTACATGAATATAGCATAATGAGAAAAAAGATGAGCTTATCTGCAACTATTAACAAGAGGGGCAAAAACAGAAGTAAAAAAAAAAACCTATGTTCACGACTTTCCTTTTGGTTTGTCTCCAACTACAGTTGCCAGGTCATCATCTTCAGGATCCTTCTAATACAGCATGGGCTCATACGCCTATCATGTCACTTTAAAAGTTGTATTAGTATTTCAACCGTAAAGTGTAAGAATTCCAACCTTTTTGTTAATTACGTTGCTCTAAGAGGTCCTATTTAATGGCATTTTTTTTGCTTTATTTCTCCTAATTTTCTTTTTAATTTGTGATCTTTCTATATGGCCTTATTCCCAATTTGTTTTAGAACTTCCATAGGCCCTAAAATAGAAAGTTTTCAGAAGTTGTTGCTTCTCATCATTTCAAATGATGACCACTGCTATACCATCACCATCCAGTTGACAAGTTTTTTCATCAACTACAAAATAAGGATCATAAAATATAGTAAAATGAGTAAAACTTCCAAAAAGAAGGGAAAAGAAAGCTAAGAGTACATGAAGGCTAAACATTTAAAACTGAAATAATTCACAAACCACAACATGAAAAGCAATATCAAATTTGCTAAATCAGAGCTAAATGCAGCAAAATACTGAATCTTGACTCTCTATTTAGATTCTGGATTCTGATATAATACTTACCCAACCATGTTGCAGCAAAAACTAGACTGAAGAGGAGTAAGACGATAAAGATTATTTAAAACGATTGAAGGATCTGCCCCCTTTTCAGCTGTGTGGTGGAGTGAAATAAATTAGTCAAAGCGTGAGCAATAGAGGAATGTTGTGTATGAAAAGTTTATTGCTTTACTTCAAAAACTGAATTTCCCATACCTCAATCACTATTCGCATGCCAGAACGATCACTTTCATCACGGATATCACTAATGCCATCCAAACTCTGCAAAAAAGAAAGGAAATAAAATTTTAGTTACCACAACAAAACTAACACACTTGTGTGATAAATTGAATCACTTTTGGCAAGTGAAAATCAACTTGCATCCTCAATAATCATATGTTATGAGATCATATAAACCAAGCTGGACAAAGATAAAATATTATTATATACAGAGATCAACTTGGTAAGTCTCTTATTTTATATTCTTTTCTCACAATACCTTATCCTCCACAAGTTCAGCAATCTTTTCCACCAGCGATGCTTTGTTGGTTTGATAAGGAATCTATTTCAATGGGAAAACACTAGACAGGTCTTAAAAATTTGAAAACCAGTATGTTCAACCAGTACCAAATATAACGAACCAAACATATAACCTCTTTTATGATAACAGCATTTCGCTTTGTTTTCGAGTCAAGCAATTCAACATCTGTTTTTCCTCTGACTACGATACGTCCTTGCCCAGATCGGTATGCATCTAAGATCCTTGATCAAATATACAGATGTTAAAACTCATAAATAAACATACATAACCATGCTTAATTGGGGAAAGTAAACACGAAATAAAAATTTAACATACCCAAGATTTCCCATGATAATTCCTCCAGTTGGAAAGTCAGGTCCAGGCATGTATTCTAACAACTCTTGCAACTGTCAGGGGAAAAAATGCAACACGTAACAAAGCCTTCTCTTTCTCAGATGAGGACATGAGACACACACAAAAATATGCAAAGGAACCACACAACTCTAAGATGATATGCTTCATCATTACATGTGTGTCCAAACGAAGTAAGAGGTGCAAAAAAAATCAGCAAGGCATATATTTACTTGGCAGTCCAATCCTTCAAAATATCCAACTTTTTCGAAAAAACATCAAGACTAGAAAACCTCAGCTTGTTTGCAGTCTGGATGGCAAACAGCTAATTGTACAGGGAAAGATGATAGAGATACGGGACTCCTTGATATTACTTTAGATAGCAATGCCTGCATATACCACCTGAAGTCTGTTACTTTGGATAGTCCAAGTTAGCTTTAGTGTATCTAAGCAAGCCCCTTTGAAGGGCTGGGCAACTGAGGGAATTGGGTTGACTCAATTCTTGAAATGAAATGATAAAAACATGAATGAGAAGTGTTTTTATTTTGAAAATCAGAGGACTATACAGCTAGGAAACACTAAAAAAATCCTTCTTAGAAAAAGCACCCTTCCTTAACAAGCATGAAGTCAGAAGGTAAACCCTGTCTTCATGGTCCATCAAATTCTACCAAAATATTTTAGACATTAATTGCAAAAAGATCCAACTACCCACATAAAAATCGACAAAGCAACGGATATTGTTGGCATTCACAAGGAAAAAAATTCCAAGTGTTCCTAAGCAGTCTCAACTAGCAAACCAAAGAGCTGGGAGTTAGGGCACTTACAGTAGCTTCTGGATTGTGAATTAGGGCACATAACACATCCACCACCTCTCCAAGATTATGAGGAGGAATTCTGGTTGCCATGCCAACCTGAAGAACATGAAATGATGTTACATTGAATTACTTGAGCTATTAAATAAACTAAGAGGGTGAAAAATAAGTTTGAAAACAAGCACACATGTACAAAAATCACTCTTTAAGGAAAATGAAAAGAAAAACATTAAAATTACCGCAATTCCAGAAGAACCATTCAACAATAAAGTTGGAAGCCGAGTAGGCAGAAGCGAGGGTTCCTTTTGGGAATTGTCAAAGTTAGGGACAAAATCAACCTGCAAGAAATGCAATAAAATGATTCAACATGATGTTGTGGACAGATTAAAACATGGTAACTATGTGCAAACATACAATAGAGAATAGCACTTACTGTATCTTGTTCGAGATCAGCCAAAAGAATTGCCTCTGTAAGTCCCTGCAAGAATTGTACACAAAAGCAACTGACTATACTTCAAGGTGGTTGTTTCTTTAAGCATATTAACAAACCAAAACATGGACATGAGAAATAATGAAACACTCAGATTGTGCTACCAATGCATGCAAGCAACTAGAACAAACATATGAGATGTAATGTACCAAAAATGCATGCTTTGATTAAGATTGTGCCACTAATGCATGCAAGCAACTAGAACAAACATACGAGGAGTAATGTACCAAAAATGCATGCTTTGATCACAGGATAAGACAAGTGAACTTATGTAGTACATAATAAAATAAGAAAATGAGGCAGCATGCTAACAGCTCAAATGTAGCAAAAGTGCTGAGAACACACAATGAAATACAAGACCTTCTGTGCACGAATACACTTAAACATCAGACATAAATGAAACCAAACCATGTCAAACTTCAAAACGCAAATAAATATAAATTGATGTACATGTGCTAAAATGAAAATTAAGTTCTAAAACATACATCCAGCCTGCACTCTGTATAACGCATGGCAGCAGGAGGATCCGCGTCAACCGAACCAAAATTCCCATGCCCTTGAATAAGAGGACATCTCAACGAGAAATCCTGAACAATGAAAACCATTATAACTTAATAAAATTCAAGTGATTTGGAAATAAAACAAGAAGCTACAGCAATCAAAAAGCAAAGAAAAAGGCATAAAAAAAATTCATTTACCTGAGCCATTCGAACTAGCGCATCATAGACAGCAGTATCTCCATGTGGATGAAACTTTCCCAAAACCTACAAAAAATGAAGCCCAATTAAGCATGTGAACCCTACAATAACGCAAAAACAAAACAATCACAAGTTCATGACACCTTGTTGTTAAAAAAAAAATCAAATTTGAGAGATTTATTTAACAACTAACCTCACCAACAACTCTAGCACATTTTTTAAATGGCTTTTTTGAAGAAAGCCCCAATTCATGCATTGCAAATCTACAAATTCAAAGAACAAAAAAACCAAAAATCGAAAACAAATAAAGGCCAACACTTGAAAATAACAAAATAAAAGAAAAGACAAAAAGGGGCCCTTACAGAATCCTCCGATGAACGGGCTTTAGGCCATCTCGAACATCGGGCAAGGCTCTACCCAGCAAAACAGACATAGCATAAGCCATGTAAGCTTCAGTAGCTTCTTTATGAAGCTCCGATTGAACAACCCTCCCATTTCCACCGCCAGGACTACCCCCATTCGGGTCCTTCACTAACAAGCTCCCATTCTCACTATCGTCGGTGGGACTTTCATCACGGAGACGAGATTGCACGGCAGGGCGGGGGCGGGGGGAGGAGGAGAGGAAGCGGAGGTCGGAGTGAGAGTGTTGGCGGAGGAGGAAAGAGAAGGAACGGCTGGGAGGAAGAGGGAGACGGTGGAGAAGGGAGGAGGAGAGACGGAGAGTTGAGGAGAAAGACATGAAATTGTAAGAATTAGGGTTTGGGATTGTAAGAGCAGAGGGGTTCATGCCATGGAAGTAGAGGAAAGATTGGGAAAGAAAATGAAGGGTTTAGTTTTTCTTTTTTTTCTCTTGGGTTTTTTTAGGGTTTTAGGATGTTTTTGTCTGTCCGAATGCATTGGGGATTATGCATAGGTTGTACTTTTGGTGGGTTCTTGCGCGCCAAGTGATTTTTGGATTAGATTATTCTTTCGTCCCTAATGTACAGTTTATTTGTAATTTAGTCCTTTAGTTTTGAAAACCTTAAACCTACAACATCTCTAGAGGTTAAATTATAAGATACTCGCTGAACTTTAACAAAAGAGCAAATACCCTCCTGAACAAAAAAATATTTAATTTTATCCCCCAAACAATATGATTTTTTCATTTGATCTTTTCTCTAGGGTTTTGATGAAAAATTGATGAAAATATTCTTAACGAATCTTCTAATTCCTCTCTTCTTTGCATCTACGGTCACAAAACAATATATATATATATATATATTTCTTTCTCCTTTCTTCCTTACAGTTCAAAGCTTGAAAGTCGTATGAGAAAAGAAAAATCAAATAAGGTACAATGAATCTCTACAAAAAAAATCTAAATTGAAAATATCAATTGAATATATTCCTCAAAATCTCAATGTCAAAATTTGTTTTTAAAAAAAAAGTCAAAAGACACTTGACGAGGGTTGTTGCAGCATATGATGTTCAAAGATGGTAGAAAGTGACAAAAAATAAGAAGTTGCTATTGTCAATCACCGATGATAATAGAAGAAAAACCCTAGCTCACGGTGGATAAAAATCATCATTTATGGTGGTGAGAAAAATAGAAGTCGTTGATGCTATCAACCATTGTCGAAACTTCTAATGTGTCATAAAATAATTGTAAAGTTAATTGACATCCACAATAATGATTTTAGACTTGTGTGTGTTGATCTTTGAATGTGAAGGTTCGACGATGATTGGAGTTCGAAGGTTTTTTTTTTCAATCATTTGCATGCAAGAGGAAGGGAAATTGGGAGGATTTTTGTGACATTTTTGTCAGGTTTTCATCATAATCCTAGAGAAATGGTAAAATAATAAAAAAAAATCATATCACTTAGGAGGTAAATTTAAAGATTCTTTTGTTTAGGAATTTTTTTTTTTTTACTAAATTTGAGAAGTAATTTACAATTTAGCTATGTGATGACTTGTGTTTTATTACAAAAATTGTTGGTTTTTTTCTTGATCTTGAATGTAACCAATAATATAAATTATTATATAAAAAACCACAGCGAGGATTTGAAAATAATAATAAATTGACATTATAAAAATACGAAGGTCAAGAAGAGTAAAGAGTAATACTTATAGATTTTCAACCAGATAGGACTGAGTAATAATTAAATTAAAATGTCAGGAACGAAAGAAAATAACAATTCACTCTTGTCTTTTCTTTTGGGTACTATTTTCTATTTGTCCTTCGATAATTGCTTTGGTTTTTTCAAAGAAAAGACTATTGGGCCTCAAGTTAAAAAATGATGGGCTTGCTGTTCTGTTTTGATAAGGCTCAGTCATGGGCTGCTTCGAAATTCACATCTAACCCCACTTCTTCTTCGGGTAAATTATAAATTAGTCCTTCTCTATGGAGAAATAAATTAATTAGTTTTACTTGTTTTAAAAATTAATTATTCAGTTTATTAATTGGTATTAATCACCCTTAATTTAATATTATTTTATTTTTAAAAATATTTTTTTTCATAATCATTCCATTTTGTTTACTTATTTTTCCTTTTCTCTGTTTCTTAAACCAAAAAATCAAAATAAATTTAAAAAAAAAACAAAAAAAAGTTACAAAAAATATAAAAAAATAAAAAAATTGTTTTGAAATAAAAGATACTAATTATTTTTTTCTCCAAACTAAAAAAATTAATTTTTAATTTACTCCTCCTTTTTCTTTTTTTCATTTAAATTGGTATTTTTTAATAGAATTTTATTAATTTTTTTTTCATAATCATTCCATTTTGTTTACTTATTTTTTCTTTTCTCTGTTTCTTAAAACAAAAAATCAAAATAAATTTAAAAGGAACAAAAAAAAAACAAAAAAATGTAAAAAATAAAAAATTTGTTTTGAAATAAAAGATTATAATTAATTTGTTTCTCCAAACTAAAAAAAAACTAATTTATAATTTACTCCTCCTCTTTCTTTTTTTCATTTAAAATGGTATTTTTTTAATAGAATTTTATGTGCTCTGTGTTCGCCTTCGGTTATTAAGAAAACACACTTTTTATTACAAAATTCTTTTAAATATAGCTCCGATGAAAGGATAGCATCATTAAAAAAAAATACCACGTTAAAAATATAATAGTGAATTCACATCATGAATCTAAATGTACTATCTTTTAAAGTTAAGTTTAATTAGTATATAAATATAGTTTTTACGTTATTATTTACGATTTAGAATTTAAAAAATTATTTTTTTATAAACATATTAAAACTCCAACAAATAGACATATAGTGTAAAAATTAGCAAAAAAATATCATTTTTTCTTATCATGTAGACAAAAAAAGAAAATTTCCAAAGGTATTAGCCTAACTCGAAGAATGTAAAAGATTTCTAAGCATTTTTTTTTCTAAATATATCAAAGGTGCATTTTAAGATGAAATACTGTAGTTTGTACATTTGATATGCCCTATAATTCCATAAAATCCAAACTCAAGGAAAAGGAGGGGGAGGGGGGGGGGGGGGACCATGGCTCTAATTTCATGCCTCTCACAGCGTCGTCCAAAATCCAACATTGTACCAAACGACACCGGACAGCATGGGACCAAACCGAACAGCCAGTCGCTGTCTCATCTGCAAATATAACCCCCAAAAACTTTGCGTCTTAGGCACATGTCCCATACCCAATCATTATCAAGAATATCATCTCCCACCAAACCAACCCTCAAAAAAAAAAAAAAAAAAACGGACGCAAGACAGTCTTTTTCATTTGTTTCAATCTTACATTGAAAAGGTTAAAACGTTGTTGCCCACTTCAGAATGGCGGTGGCAGCCTTTAAATCCACATCAAGAAGAGCAACCACAAGTACAGCAACATCAGATAAAGAAACCTCAATAAAGCAGCAAACTTTAGAAAGAAAAGCAGCACCTTCAAGAAGATCAAGAAGTGTCAGCGCAGTCTCAAGATCCCATCTCGTTGATACTTCAACAACAACAAGAGCAGCAGAAGCAACAGCAGCAACAGATTTCTTGATTAAGAGAGACAACCCACTTTACTGGAGCAATGTTTCTCCACCCGATAAAGAAGTCAATGAAATCGTGGTTGATAAGGAAGAATTTAAGAGTCCACCCACCACAAAGCCAAATGATGTTGTTGATAGTCGGAGAGGGAGATCTGTGTCAAGAAAGGCTGATGTTGGAAGAAATGTTTCTGGGATTGGTAGAAGTTTGTCAAGGGGTCCTGTGTCTAGAGGGAGGTCTGTGTCTCGGGGTCCTCTCTCTAGAGGCCATTTCGTGAATTCCGAGGTTTGGCTTTTGTTGATGTTGTATGAAAGTTTTTTTTTAATTGATTCGCAATTCAAGAATAGCGAAGAAAGATTAGTTATTTCCTGCGAAAGGCTGCTTTTTTATTGATCTAATTCAAGAATACCGACAATGTTGAAGTTATTTGTTGTGAAAGGTTGGTTTTTTGTTGATTCAGTTCGATAGAAGGCATGCTTTGTTTATTTTAGTTGTTATTTTTTGACAGAGTGATGCTGAAAAAGAAGGGAGTTCGTTGATGAAGTATAGAAATCGGAGTGGTAGTTTGAGTGATGTCTCAAATGCTAGAAGAAGTAGTGATTTAGGGAGGAGGAGTTATGATAGTAAAGTTGAGAAGCGATCAGATGGATCTGCTGCAGATTTGGTATTGTCTCAAGAAATGTTTTTCTATTTTTGGCATTGATAAAGTAAGATGTGAATGAAGCTGTTTAGTTAATGATGTTTCCTTTTTTGTTTGTTTCTTCTTTCTAGCCTTCTTTGCCCATTAGGAGTTGGGAAGATGGAGGTTTGGGAAGCTCATTTTCAGAAGCAGAAGAGAGAACTATTAAAGCAGTTTGTGAACAAATGCAGGTGAGGTTTGAATGGTGTTATGTTTAAATGGTTCGGAGATGAGTGATTTGTAGTTACTTATGTGCTATGGTGTTGAATGGTTAATGAATGAGATTGAATGCTGACTTTAATGTGAAAGGTTCTGAAACATCAAAGGACGAGATACATGATCCTAATATAGTTTTGGTTATGACCTCATGTTGCAGTCATTCCAAGGGGATAATATGGGAGATGACACCTCTGGTCGTATATATGAAACTGTTCGATCTGAAGTTAGACGTGCCATTGCTGACATCCAAAATGAATTAGAAAGTGTAAGTTCCCATCGGTCTTGGGTGATAAAGGTTCAGTTACGAAATTATTTCTTTCATTAGTAAAAGCCAAAGCAACGAGTTAATTGTGATCTTTATATGGTTTTCTGTAGTTCTTATCCGAAGACTGCAGAGAATATGATTGTATGGTTTTCATGCAGGATGGCCCTTTTTAAAAAAATTTCTTTGATGTCTATTATAATGCTTTACTAGTTTTGAATTCTTGACTTTAGTTTTGCCAACTAGTGTTGGCACGTACAGCCTTAGTTACCTGCCCTAAAAACCTGGAACATGACATATTGCCTTGACTCATTGGATCAGTAGGTTGGATATTCGATGCAAGGATGTTAAAGTTCAGAAGCATCAGCTGGATTTTATGGTTCCCTTGATCTATTTTCTTTTCCCTTTTCTTTTTCTTTTTTCAGTAAAATACGTTATAGGCTGTGTTCACACTCCCATGTCTTCTTTTGCTGTGCCTACATGGCTATAGTCTGTCACTTGCTCTAATTGCTGGTTGCACGTTTGATTGCAGTCTTCATATTTTATTGATTGCTTCCATGTTTTATGCATGATTCACTCTGAAATTTATTTTGAGTTCAGACTATCCGGAGGAGTAAGACAACTGCTATTGCAATGGCCAATGTGACTGATATTCCTCCTGATCTAGTCAACCCAAGTGCAGTTGAATTAGTTCTGGACATCAGAAGAGAATATGCCAATAAGCTTGAGCAGGTAAGTTTTGCTCACTTTCAGCCGAGATTGTGATTGAAAAGTTGGGTTAACCAGGGTACATTATAATGCTCGCGGCCTTTTGACATTTGCTTGAGTTGAGATGGGGATAGATAGATTCTGGTTTCAAATTTTACAAGTCAAGTGAAGGAAAATTTGACATGCATAGTTGATACTTGTGTTTTCGATGTGATTTGTAGCCACTGTACTACTGAGCAGACTAAGGTTTTCTTCAAAGAAAATTTGCGATTGCTTTAACCTGTTGAAATAAAAAAAATGGTTGGTGCCAATTCCTCCTCCTGCTGCCTCGTAAAGAACATTTATAAGCTCAAAAAGGGGAGGGATGGGGCTGGGAGAGGTTCTAGACTCAAATGTTAGAAATGATGATGACTGGAGGGGGTGGGGGTTGCTCTTGTTTCCTAGTTTTGATAAATAGGCATTGAGATCCATAATCTCTATGATGTCATATCTGAGGTGCTTTATGCTTATCCATATCTCGTCTTTTATTTAGTCGGATCAGACACTTATGAATCAGATCTCTTTTTAACTTGCAGTCCCAGGAACGGGCGAGGAAGCTTCGAGCAGACCTGGCTGTTGAGGAACACCGTGGTTTAGAGCTTAGTAGAATCCTGAAGGAAATGCTTCCAGATCCAAAGATGTTGAACGTGCAGAAACCTCGTGTTGGAAGAAAGGTAATTCCTTCTCTCTCTTTGTGTGTGTGTGTGTGTGTTTTTTTTTTTTTGCATGGGATGCTTTCATGCAAGTATATTCACACTAAATGCATTAAAAACACATTTAATATTAATGTAGAGCAGAAGGAGAAAACAGTTAAATGCGTTTAGTTAGGGACGGTATCCCACACATCCAATCAGTATCCTTCTGAATCCGAGCTTATATGTAAAACGTGTAGCTTAATTATGCAGGCTTTAAGCAAAGAAACTTAATATAATATATATCTTGTCTGGTTGTGATGCTCTCGCTCTCTATATACAACCCCTTCCCCCCCGCCCCGCGGACCCTGAAGACCTTTGGCTCAGAGGTGGTTTTGATAATGATTTCAACTATGTTTTTACTATTCTGTTCATTCACATTAGGGTTCAGCCTCCATATGCTTAGCATTTGGGGACTTTCAATGTCATTAACATATGGATGAGTGTTTTAACTATGCTTTTTGTTTGTTCTTGTATGGTGACAGTCCAGCATTGAAAGAAGGAAGGTGTCAAAACGGTTAACAGATGAAGCCATGGCTTATTTTGATGAATGTGTGTCGCTGTCAACATTTGATAGCTCTGATTTCTCATCACCAGAGGATCCACCATTCAGCTTAGTTGGTGCTGCCTCCTCTATTGGTGATCATGCATCCTTTTCCCAAGCAAGTTCTAACACTGCAGCCAACTGCTATCCTAATAGTTTCGCTACCAATAAACAGGTTTTTGCCTAACAAACATTCTTATCTGTTGTTTTTATTCTGAAGAAATACAGTTGGCTAAATTATTGATTTTATTTTCAAAATTACTGATGCCATCTCATTTTAAACTTAAATCCTTTTCCTCATGTAGGTGGTTGTTCTTCCTGTCTTGTTCTTTGCTTTGTCTGTTTTATTCTTTTTTCTTCTAGGGGGAAAAAGAAACTGTAAGCCAGTGAGGCTGAAGTCCTAAAGGAGAAATATAAGCATTTGAACACTTCATGCAGCATTATATTGGAGAAACAAAAGTATAATCTCAGTCTAATGATAGATTATTTTTATGCTTTCAGGAATTGGTCGGGACAGATAGCCACAGTGCATTAATGCTGTCAACCCCTGGCTGCAATACGAAGACGCCTCTAGATGAAGTCTGTCTAAACAGCTCGGAAACACCATACAGTCGGAGGTTTTCTTTTACTCGCAACCCAAATGATACCATCGAACTTAAGCAAGATATTAGGAAGTATGTCAAAAGCTTCGAGAAAGCAATGGAGAAAACTGACTTCAATTTGAAGATTTTAAGATCAAACCATTTCAATCTGGATGAATATAATTTGCAGGCCTCGAGGCAAAACTTTCTATTTGACACAGTCTTCCTTAAGAACAGAACTCAGTCCGGAAGTATGTTACTATGTGATGGAGGCATGGGAGTTTCGTTTTCACCTTTTGCCTCTGTAATCTAGTTAGATTTCCAGATATTTACTCTGACCATCTGGAATGTAGAGAGAACTTCTGTATGCAATTTGTGCTGTTTTGCTGTCTTGTATAAGTGTGTCAAGAATGTCTATAAAGAATGGAAAATAGGAACTTTGCTGCATTTGTTGCAGAGTGAAACTTTCAATAGGGTTACAGATATGGGATTTATGAGGAAAGGCTGAGAGCCTGAGACCTCCGTTTAGGGGTTCTTAAACAAGTTTGTTGTATACAATCATTCAAGTTTCTCTTGAGCATGCATTTTCTAATTGAATTTTGATTTTTTTTTTAATTTGGTAATCAGCTTCAAGCCGACAATGATTAGTTGTGGTGATCCAAGAGGACACGCAATCCTTCATAAACGTTTAAGAATGGAGCCATATGGGGTTCGCAATCCATGTGACAATAGTTCCTAAATCAATCCACGAGAAAACGATTTCTATTCAGGCATAAGAGCCATGTGAATTGCATGGAGAACCAACGGTACTTGATTTGTTTTATAATTTCATGTTTTAAAAAATGAGTTATTTATAAATTAGTACTTTTATTTTTGAGAAATAAATAAATTAATACCTATTGTTTCAAGAACTAATTATTTAATTAGGATTGATTTCGTTTAATTTAATATTTTTTTATTTAACAAAACGTCATCTTTTTCGTGTTAATGGCTCCATTTTTTTTTAAAAAAAAACAATTTTTTCATTTTTGGCATTTCAACAGCACAGAACTTGACTTTGGACACCGAAAAAGCCATATTCTTTGTTTGTTCCTTCTGCCTCGCTGTCATTAATTATTGCTATGTGGACCATACAATCCTTGCTCTGGTTCTTCTTCCAGTGGCTCTCTTGTAATATGAAGAATGTGTAAGGGCATTAACTTAACTTAAACCCCTGCAGACATGTCCTCACACGTCCCTTGTTATCAAGTGAGTCACAGACCACACACAACCAAAGTAACTGACGCAGGAAACCAACCCATCAGCAACAAGGGAAAAAAAAACTGATATATTTCTTTCGTTTTTTCCCTCGTGTATCCCTATTGATCATATTCATAATGAAAACTATAAAATTTAATTACTTTCGTTTCGAATTTAAACTCTATATATTGATAAAAAATTTATTTAAAAATTAATTGGTTTATCATTTATTAAAATAATATAAAACATATCTTAAGACCTCATTTATCAATTTAAATTTTGGATGAAATTATCTTTTAACATGATATCGAGTCTTAATTAATAAATGATAACGAGTTGAAATCTTATTCCCTTCATTAAAGAATAATATAAATAATATTTTAGAGTCTCGTCTTCTCTTTTGGATGAGATAGTCATTTGAGACCACTGAACCAATAATTAGTTTGAAACAAATTATATTAATCTTTCTATTTTTAAAAAACAAATGAATGATTTTTAAAATTTTTTTTGTAAGTCAATCATTTTCATTCATTTCAATTTATTTTGATTTTTTGTTTTATAAAAGAGAAAATACAAAAAAAAAGAATTTGATGATAAAAAATGATTTTTTTTAAAATGCAGTAATAATTAATTTTTGAAAAAAATATGAATTTAATTTATTTCTCGAACTAAAGGGACTAATTTATAATTTAATAGCCAGAGAGGAGAGATTCTCTCAAAAACAAACTTCTTAGAAGAAAGACAGAAAAAATCTTATTGGCAGCATGGCTGCACGTACTAGCCAAGTGTTAGCCATTAAACTTAACTCGAGGAGGTTAATTAACCCAACTCAAAATAGATTTAACCCAAGATATGGTTAAAGTTAAACCTCAAGAATGGTCAATTGTTCACCTTGGTTTTAAACTCTTGTGTTATTTTAATACCTTTCACTTCCATTTCATCTTTTCCATTGTCTCTCCTCGTTTTGGTTAACCACTTTTGGTTACCAAAATACACACTTCTTCCTATTTCCAAAGTCATAGAATCTAAACAAACAGTAGGAAAACAAGAGAGACCAAAACATAGCTTAAGAAAGCTAAAACAGGCAGGCCAGACCCATCTGGCTATCTGTTTTTGTTTCTGACAAGAAGTCTTTAAGCTTGTAATCTCCTCGCATTGCTAAAAAAACGAAGAAGTAAATGAAGAGGTCACCTGCTTCATCTTGCTCCTCCTCTTCATCGTCATCATCTTCTTGTGTTGCCATTCAGAAACCGAAGGCAAAACGCTGTAGAAAAAATCAAAAGAACAATCAAGGTAAATCCCAGAATGCTGCTGCTGCTAATAGTCCTAATTCTGGCAAAAGAAGTTCCATTTATAGAGGAGTGACCAGGTACCAATATCGTGCTTATTTCTTGAAAAGTTTGAGTCTTTTTCTTGTGGGGTTTGGAGAATTTGCATGTCTGACATCTTTGCTGATTGATCAAGGGCAGACACAGATGGACGGGAAGGTTTGAAGCTCATCTTTGGGATAAGAGTTCATGGAACAACATTCAAAACAAGAAGGGAAAACAAGGTGAATTTTGCTTAATTTATTTATTAAAGATTAACAAAAACCCAGGAGATCTATAATAATCTTTCTTTATATTTTTACTTAAATATTGTTTATTTATTTTTAATCTTTTTTTCTCTTCTGACCATGTTTTATTCTTTATAACCATCCCTGTCACTGTAACGTTCGCATACACAACTCTGTCTGCTGGGCAGTTTATTTGGGTTAGTTAATTCCAATCAATGATCTCAATCCAATTTTTTATTTTTATAATTTTTTCTTAAAAAAAGATTATGGGTGCTAATCATTTGTAAAATGTAGGTGCCTATGACAATGAGGAAGCAGCTGCACATACCTATGATCTTGCTGCCCTAAAGTACTGGGGGACAGAGACAACCTTGAATTTTCCGGTATCATATGTCCTTTCTTTGACTTTGTTTTCAAGAATCGACCTTTACACGAAGCATGCCTATGATATGTACTTCTGTTGGTATTTTCCTTCAAATGTCGAAGTTACATGCCAAATTATTGCCTTTGTATGGATCGAACCAATCACATTACAGTTTAATCAAACAGTTTTGGTTCACATCATGAATCTGGTCCGGACAGGTGCAGTTTCTACACATGAATCTGATTGTTAATAAGCTTGTTTTGAGCATTAATTGATGATTATACAATGGATGTAATTAAAGAAGCTTGTTTTGAGCATTAATTGATGATTATACTTATGCAGATAGAAAAATACACAAAAGAGGTTGAAGAGATGCAAAAGGTGACCAAAGAGGAGTATTTGGCATCTCTTAGAAGGCAAAGCAGTGGATTTTCTAGAGGGGTCTCTAAATACCGTGGGGTGGCTAGGTAAATGCCACTGTTCTTTGTAATTTTTTTTTTCCACAAATAGTTGAACTTTTGGATTATTTTTTTGGCATTGGCCATAATTATTTTGGCTTGAATTTTGTTAGGCATCATCATAATGGTCGATGGGAAGCTAGAATTGGACGAGTTTATGGCAATAAGTACCTCTACCTCGGAACTTACAGTATGCTCTCTCTCTCTCTCTCTCATTTAATCAACTCCTAAATTTTATTGTGACTATTAATTAGTCAAACTATGCCTCTTCGATTTTGAACTTTTGGTAGAAAACATTACAAACTGAATTTTTTTTTTTTTCGAATAATGCCAATTTGAGGGAGAGGGTTTTAGTTTAAAAAATTACATCCATTTTTGAATGAGTGGATCCCACAAATCCAGTGGTTGAAATCTTTTGGAAAGGTAGGTCCATATTATTCGGTATGAACAATAAATATTTTTTTATTGAATATATATAGAAAATGAGCTTATTTATGAACAACAATAATCTGGCCTTTGGACTTTGCTTGATTTTCCAGATTTTACCCAAACTGACAAAATTTGATGACAAAAATCTTTTTTTTTTTTTGATATCTTAACTCAAATTCTAGGGTTTATTGAGAAACTTTTAGAAAGGCAGATTTGTGTTTGGAAGTGTCTAATAGGTGAGCACCATTTTGGATTTGCATAAGAAGCGGTGTAGGACCAACTTTGATGCTGGCTAGACGCCAAATTCAAAACTGTCAGTGTGAGCCCACAAAAGCTAACGTGGCACAAACCCTTTTCTGATGCTACCAAAAGGGCAGTTTTGTAATAAAAAGATTTGATTGGAGACTAAATTGGAAATAAACTTTAAGGCTGTGTGTCTTCATAGCGCTTTACTGTTTTTAACCATATGCATCAACCTGGTCCAGGATTAGATTTGCATATCAGATCCTAAAAAAGGATTAGATATCTAGATTAGTATATCTCTCTAAATCACTAAATTAGTAAAAAAACGTGACACCCACAAATTCAATGACCATTTCACGTGACACACCACTGCAAATGACAGAAAAGGGCATGTGTCATTTTTGTCAAAAGAGCCCTTGATCTTTAATCTTTTTGCTTTCATAAGCCTAGTGTTGATGCAAGGACTAATGCTAGGTATTATTACCAAAAGTTTTTGAATGTCAAGAACATAGCTAATTTTCATCATCATTAGGCATGAATATCTACCGCAAGTTGAGGTTTATATGCCTAACCGGGCATCAATTTGCCACCCTAGTAGAACTTGTTATCGGTGTCGTCGGCTCGTGGTCACCCCCTTAGCAGCACTAGGTTATTGCTTATTAACCAGCAATAATGGCAGTTGAAGGCAGATAGATGATGGTAGCCTAAAGTCAAAACATGTTCAGTTTGCCTCTTTTCAATAGATGAGAATACCTAACACATGGGTGAGCTAGCTATGAATCAGATTCGCCACAATTTTTTTTCATGTTTCTTGCCCTTATAGATTCAATAACATTTCACTTCAGTCCATGTAGTTTAAAGTTACTAAATGCTACTCTTGGAGTTTCCAAAAAGTTCGAATCTTGTCTGTGGAAGCTAAATAGATAATGGAAGCTAACGATGAGCCCTCCTTGTGAATTCCTTTTTTGAGATTTAGTAATTTTGTGGGATAGTAACATGTATATGAGTCTGGGGGAAAAGAGGAGGGAAAATTATGAAGAAAATAAAAAAAAAAACTAAGAGAAAAGGAAGGAAAAAACGGACGATTTGTCGGGTTCAATTAGCTTCTTAACGGCTATAATCTAGATTTTAATATTTTCAAACCTAGTTTAATTAATACCAGGAAATTTAAACTTTAGGGGCTGAAATGGAATGTTGATAAATCTATAGGGCTAAAATATGTTTCCCCTCATTTTTAGCTTAAAAAAATTGCCAGCAAAACCAGGTTTGGTCACCAAGAAGAATCCCAACAAAGAATTTTCAAAAATAAAAAAGAGAAAAGGCAAGGTGGAGTGGAGCTTTTACATGCTTGGAAATGGGCAATCTTTTTGGTTGGAAAAACTTGAAAGTACGGCTGATTCTTGATCCTGTACTTGCCCAAGTAAAAAAAACAGCTAGGGCACAATTAAGGAAACTTACTTGGTTAGTTGGGTTTCAAAAAAGTAAGATTTGAATGCAATTATTGAACAAAGAAGGATGTAGCTAGGGCATGCACGTGAATTCCCAATCTAGCTTTTATTATTTAAAGCAATCAACCTCAATTTATTCTGTAAAATAAAGCTACTTTTCTTACATGATCTTTAATTAATTGATTGCTTGATTAATAATTAATTTACTAATCAGATTTTGTTTGTCTACTTGTTGTTAAAGATACACAAGAAGAGGCAGCGGCAGCATATGATATGGCAGCAATAGAGTATAGAGGAGCAAATGCGGTGACCAATTTCGACGTTAGTAATTACGTAGAACGGTTGAGGGAGAAAGGCATCCCTATAGACCGAATACTCCAAGAACAACAACTTCGTAACGACTCAAATGAATCGGGTGTAGAAGTAGAAGCAGAAGTCGAACAACCAACACCACCGCCACCACAGCAACAAGAGGAACAAGAACGAAAAGTAATTTCGTCGTCGTCATCATCGCAACCTCAATGTGCACAGATAAATCCTTGCTTGGATGGCACATCCCCTATGGTTATCATGGACCCTATCGAAGAGCACGAGCTAGCATGGAGCTTTTGTTTGGATTCGGGATTGAACCTCACAATGCCTGATCTTCCTCTCGAAAATTCTTGCGAATTACCGGACTTGTTCAATCACACCGGTTTCGAAGACAACATTGACTTGATATTTGATGCTTGTTGCTATGGAAACGAGGCCAACCCGGCTGCATTCATATTAGACAATAATAAAACAGGAGGGATTGAAGCGGTTGTTGGTCTTAGAGGGAGCATTGACGAGGAAAGTGAAGATGGGAAGGAGAGGTTGTCCGATTCTGTTTCAAATTCTCCAACTTGCTCAACAACCACCTCGGTTTCTTGTAACTATTCTGTTTGAATGTTTTTTGGACTTTGAGTATTGTTGAGGTTTGTTTAGGTTTTGTTTTGTCGGGTACTGTTGTGGGTGGATGGGAAAAAAAATAATAATCAAAATATCCTTAGTTTTTTTTTTTAAAAAAAATGTTTGCTTTCTTTTAGAAGAAAATATGAGATAAAAAGTAAAAAAAAAAAAAGGGTTTTATAAATTTTTTTCTTTTTTTAATTGCCTTAGTTGGTTTCTCTTTGTTGACTCATGGAGGAAATTTGTTGGGCTCCCTGCAAACCTATTACAAGAAATAAGAGTAAATTATAAATTACCATCCCAAAAGAATGCATTAAATAGTCCCTTAGTTTTTCAAAATGAATTAAATAGTCCCTTTAATTTTAAAAACTAAAATTCAAAAGAATGCATCACCATCCCAAAGAAAATATAACAGCATGTAATTATCTGTATCAATTAAAATTCAACAATTTTTTTTTTTTTAACCTTTTGGTAAGTCACTTTCACAACTTTATGTGCATCTAAACTCCTAGATTTAGCCTAATGAAAAGTGCAAGGTGAGATTAAAAAAAGGTTTTTAATTTTAGATCCTCATCTAAATGACTTGAATTTTATCAATATGCCTAGTTTAGAATTTTAGTCTGGCGGATATTTATAAACAAAACTCTTATTGGGTTAAATTGTAAAATATCCTTGCGAACTTGAACTTGAGCGAAAAAAAAACAAATACTTTATGAACTAAAAAAAATCTCTAATAATATCTTTTAAATAATATGATTTTTTGAAAGTGTTCTTTTTATTAGGATTCCATTGAAAATTAACTGAAAAATCCATAAAAATCCTCCCAATTCCTATTCTTTTCTGTACTAACTTAGAAAAATATGTTTACTAAAAGAGAAAAGCGATATTGAGAGGATTTTTAAGCTTCTTTTTTCAATAAAATCCTATTAAACTGGATAAATTTTTAAAATATTTTTTTTTAGGGTATAAAATTAAATATTTTTGTTTTTTTAATTCGGAAAGATATATATATATATATATATTTTTTAAATGTATTTTACAATTTGGATTTTCATTAAGTAAAACTTTGAAAGGAAGAAATGAAAAAGCCCATGGGCCTGGCTTGGACTGTAGACACAAACCCAAATCCATATTTCTAACCATCTCAATTTTTTTTTTAAATAATAATAAATAAATTCCATATTTGTAATTGTAACGGTCTGAGTAAGGAAATGTGCAAATAGTAAAGAAGGAAAGGGTGAAAATGTGAAACTGATAAACCAAAAAGGCATTCGGTAAAATTTAACAGGAAGAAGAATTCAAGGGTTACTAATTCTCCAAAAAATCAGAAACAATAATTCTTTCACGCGGAAAAAACTCAAAAGGGAGAATTTTTATGGAAAAACCCTAACAAAAGAGAGAGATAAAGAAGATTGAGAAAGTGGATTTTTGTTAGAAAGAGGTTTTATTAGCTTAATTCAGTCTATCAACTCTTTCAAAGGTCAGCTTCATTTTGTTTCTGTTATTTTTATGGAGACCCCATTTTTTATGTTAAAGTTTGTGGCTTGAAATTTTGATAAAATTTGAAACTTTATTGGTTTTAGACATTGATTTTGTGGTTTTTGTTGTTAAAATGAGAACTGAATTTAGTGCAGTTATTGGGTTTTTGTTTACTTGAATTTTGATATGTAACACAAAACTCACTATACACACTGGGGTGGTTTTGCTTTTATGATTCTGCTGTTTTCTTTGTTTCTTTGATGGGTTTGTTAATCTGTGCTGTTAGTCTTGATAAAGCTGTGCTGTGCTGGGATAGTAATTTGGCAGTGCCTGGTAATGTGTTAGTAACAGTGTCAGTGACAGAATGAAGAAGAAACATAAAAGCAGCTATATGTTCTGTTTTCTCATAGTAATTTTTGCTTGGAGTGCCAGTACAGGCAAAATCTTTAGTTTTACAATAGCCACCTTTTGTTTCTGTTATAATTCTTTTATAATTCGATATGTGCAGTAATCTTCAGGTATTAGTGTTTTGAGTTGGGTAATTTGAGTGATTCTGAGAAGGGAGATTGTACAGGCTGTTTTTACTTGTGATCAGGTTGGGATAAACATGAAGAATTGGTTGTAGTCGTGCAGAGAAAACGATCTGTGTTCACATTTTATACCTATGGATGGTGAGGTGGTAGATGTGGAAGTTAGGGGAGGGGATAATGACTCGGCAGTGAATGCTGAGCCCAATGAGACTGAGAAACAGAGTATAACCGGGAATTGTACAGAAGCAGGAGTCAGAAATCAGGATGAAGATGGAATTGCTTTACCACATGTTGGCATGAAATTTGAATCAGAAGATGCTGCGAAGACATTTTATGATTCCTATGCTAAGCGTATGGGATTTAGCACTCATGTTGGTCAGTTTACACGTAGTAGGCCTGATGGGCCAATTGTGACTTGGGAGTTTGCATGTTCCAGAGAGGTTTTTAAAAGGAAGAATATTGAGAGCTGCAATGCTGTGCTTAGGATAGTGAGAAAGGATTCACATTCAGACAATTGGGTTGTGAAAAAGTTTGTTGAGGATCATAACCACTCTCTGGGGACTCCTGGCAAGGTCCTTCGACCTCGTAGGCATGTTGCTGGTGCTACAAAAAACGTGGTGGAAACACTGGATGCCACTAATGATGTTTATGTTTCCACTGACGGAAGCTATGTGCCTTATGAACCAAACCGTGCTAGGAATGCCTCCCCTGTAGAACCTAATAATCCTGTCAGAAATGTTGTACCTTTGCCTGCGACCTATTTCAGACCACCTGGCGGAAAGAGAACTCTTGGAAGAGATGCTCACAATCTCCTGAACTATTTCAAGAAGATGCAAGCTGAGAGTCCTGGCTTCTATTATGCAATACAACTTGATGATGAGAACCGCATGACTAATGTCTTCTGGGCTGATGCAAGATCAAGGATTGCTTATAATCACTTTGGCGATGCAGTTGTTTTTGACACAATGTATAGACCGAATCAATATCAAGTGCCTTTTGCTCCTTTTACAGGTGTTAATCATCACGGTCAGATGGTACTATTTGGTTGTGCATTGCTTCTAGATGAGTCCGAGTGTTCCTTTACGTGGCTATTTAGGACATGGTTATCTGCAATGAATGACCAGCCTCCTGTTTCTTTCACCACAGATCAAGATAGAGCCATAAAAATGGCTGTTGCACAGGTATTTCCAGAAACTCGTCACTGTATTTGCAAGTGGCACATCTTGAGAGAAGGCCAAGATAGGTTGGCTCATATATATCTTGCTCATCCTTCCTTCTATGGAGAGCTTTATAGCTGCATTAACTTTTCTGAGACAATTGAGGATTTTGAATCATCATGGACCTCTCTCCTTGAAAAATATGACCTCCAAAGGAATGAGTGGCTTCAAGCTGTGTATAATGCTCGCCAACAGTGGGCACCAGTTTATTTTCGTAACACTTTCTTTGCTGCCCTTTCTTCAAATCATGGTGTCAGCTCCTTCTTTGACGGGCATGTGAATCAACAGACCACAATACCTCTGTTCTTTAAGCAGTATGAAGTTGCCTTTGAACATTCTCTGGAAAAGGAAATAGAAGCAGACTGTGATACAATTTGCACCACTCCTGTACTTAAGACGCCATCACCAATGGAACAACAAGCTGCAGACTTTTATACCAAGAAAGTGTTTGCAAAGTTTCAGGAAGAACTAGTTGAAACTTTTGTGTATACAGCAAACAAAATTGAGGGAGATGGGATGGCCACTAAATTCAGGGTTGCCAAATACGAGCACGATGACAAGGCTTACATAGTGATGTTGAATATATCTGAGATGCAAGCAAGTTGTAGCTGCCAGATGTTTGAATATTGTGGCATTCTCTGTAGACATATACTAACTGTTTTCACTGTAACAAATGTTCTTACCCTTCCGTCCCATTACATATTGAAGCGATGGACAAGGAATGCAAAATCTTTGATTGGATCAGAAGAACAGAGTGCAGATTCACGAGGTCTTGAAACTTTGACCTCCCGCTTTAACAATCTGTGCCTTGAAGCTATTAAATATGCAGTAGAAGGTGCAATTGCCATTGAGACTTATAATGCAGCAATCAGTACTTTAAGAGAGGGTGGAAAAAAGATTACGTCTGTGAAGAGAAGTGTTGCTAAAGTTGCACCTCCTAGTTCGCATTGTAGTGGAAATAGTCAAGAAGAAAATAACAAGAAAACCTCTCCATCAGCTTCTGAAATGATCCCGTCACTGTGGCCTTGGCAGGATGCTATGCCACCTAGGTTTAATCTTAATGATGGTGGAGTACCTTGTGCAGATTTGAATCAGACAACCATGGGCCCTGTATCTATTCACCAGGATGGTGGCCCAACTGATAACACAGTATGCAGCAGAACTTTAGTTTTTAACTTCTTGTAATTGTCATTTAATTATAACATTTGAGGTCATAGAAATTTTTTATACTGAGCATCTGAATGTAGCTTGTGATTTTTTCATTGAAATGATGCAGGTGGTTCTCACTTATTTTAAGTCCATGACTTGGGTCATTGAAAATAAGACTTTGACACCAGCTGGTAAAGTAGCTGTCATCAACTTGAAAGTAGGTTCTTTTCTTTCTATGAGCTGTTGTCTATGTAAAATCAACTGTAAACTGTTTTTCAGAATTTTACATTGGTCAGTTATGCTTCATTTGCTGGAAATTGATGTCAATTGTGTTATTTGGAAGCACTGACTTCTGCTGAACAAAGCCTGCTTATTATTTTACAGTTGTAGCTATGTCCAATGAAATTTCATATGTTATTTCGATCATTTTGTACCCTCATATGCTCTCAAATAAATTAAGCATGGATGCTAGCCATATAGCATGATTGTGATACATTTGTTTATGATTCTAGCGTTGTCTGTTTTATCTGTGCATGCTATACCTGATCAATTATTTCTCTTGTCCCTGCTCTAGCTGCAAGATTATGGCAAAAATCCATCAGGGGAGACAGAAGTACAGTTTAGGTTAACCAAGGTCACACTGGAGCCTATGTTGAGATCCATGGCGTACATTAGCCAGCAGCTCTCAACTCCAGCCAATCGAGTTGCTGTCATCAACCTGAAGGTACAAAATCAGATTCTATTATTCTTGTTTGCGAAAACTTGGTAAAACACCAAGGCTTAATACTATTTGTCAGATTGGATTTAGTCATTTTTATTAGAGTGTATGCAGACAACTTTGACATGGGTGTGAGATCTGAGCACAAGATATCCCACTACCGTTCTGGAATCTTGGTTCTTATGAATCCACAAAACCTAACCACAATATTCCATAACATCCTTTTACCTTTCCACATGCCAATTAAACACAGAAATTCATTTCTCTTTTCTTGCTCCTCCTTTCCAGAAAATTTCTATCTTTTGTTAGTCCTATAAACCACTAGGAAAAGCCTCCATAGACAGTTATGTTTGCAAGGCTTTATTTTTCAACTCATTCTTTTTTTGTTTTTTGTTTCCAGCTCCAAGATACCAAGACAACAACTGGAGAAACAGAGGTAAAATTTCAGGTTTCTAGAGATACACTGGGTTCCATGTTGAGATCAATGGCATACATCCGTGAGCAACTATGAGAGCTGTAAGTATGCTCATTTGGATTTTAAAATGTTGTTCTTCATTGAATAATTAGGGAGCTATGGTCCAACTCCCATTTCTTTAGCAGAATTCAGTTTGCTTGTCGCAAAAGACGTATTCTATGTTGCTTTGAGTTGGCTATAAAACATAAATCTGGATAGTTGATTTAGATGGGGCCTGGGTTGGCATGGTTGTTGGAAACAGATTGCTATGTTGCTTAAAGTCCTATTGTGCGAACTAAAGTAGAAAATAATTTTTATGAAGATGATGTGCCAACATTGTCAGGCCACGCCAACACTAGTTCTGCAGTGTTACCACACATTAGGCATTGGTTATATAACACATGCACACACACAGAAGATATTTGGAGAATAGGGGGTTCTTATAGTGATTGATGTAGTTATTAGAGTTTTAATATGGCAGTTGTTGTATTAGATGTCTGTGTCAGAATTTTATGTTCTTGGGTTCACATATATAATGACTGAAATTGAGGAGCTTGTTCTTGCGGTTGAGCCAGGAGCACCTTCATATTAGAATGTGATTTGATTGATTCACTCTTTAATCTGTTTTGGATCAAGTGTATTTTCAAAGTGGCACACAATGAATAATGCGCACTGACATGCATGTGTACAATACCTGTAGGTTTTTCTGCAGCAGCTTCATTTTACCAATTCTGTAAGCAAGAGTAATCTGTCAAAATCCCTTTGGGTGAGCTGAGCCTGAGATAGATCCAGCTATGTCACAAAACCTAGAAGGAGTCGGGGTGTGCTCTTTCTGGTTTTGTAACCATCTGTGTTCAGGTTTGCTCGCTCATGCTTGCTCATACAGCATGACAGAATGACTCCAATGGTATGCTTGTTTCAATGACGTAAAATGCGTGGCCTTAGTCGTAGTTTAGGTATGGGGTATTGCTATTCTATTTGACCAAAGTTTGGATTAGCTGTAGTTAGGCATGGTCATTCTTATTCCTAACGTCTTGATAATACATAGTTTCCTTGTTACAATGGGCTGGAAACTTAATTTGTAAATGCAAGTAATTGTGAACAATCAAATAATTGGTTATAAATATCCCGTGCTTGTTGCACACGGGAATGTTCAAAAGTTTCCTGGTTATATGTTGGATGTATATGATCTTCTTTTTTCCCACTTCGGCGAGCCCTCGATAGTGTAAATTACTGCAAAAATTACGGATTAAGCAAGCAACTCTGCTGTCAGAAGAGTGAAGAAGGAAGAATCATTTTCTATTTCTGTTTTCTCTCTATGAAATGGATCCATCTGCACATGATGTGATAAATCTATCTGTTTAGCGATATTTCTTGGAGGAGGATAGATTGGTTTATGTATGAATAGCTGTCTCTGATAAAATTTAGTGAAGACGATCTTAATTGTTGTCTACTTGTCTTGTTATCTTCCAATTAAAAACATGCGTTTTTTTTTTTCTCGTTTGAGTATATTGGCTCTTTCAGAACTCTAATCGAGTAGTTTTTGTCAAAATTCTATCAGTTGCTATCTTAACGTGTTCTTTGTACTAAACAATTAAATTATAATTTTGATATTTCATTCTTGGATCAAACTTTTCCTCTTAAATCATTTTTTCATTTTCTACTTTTTGCATAATAAATGTATAAGGGGTGTTTTCCTCTCAAAATTATGGTTATAAATGACACTAGACTAAGACAAGCTCAAGAACTTAAAATATTAACGGTGATATATAGTTATTGGGACAAAGGCATTAAAACAAAAAAAATCCGAAAGATATGTTCAGTAAGGACAATAAAATGAAGAACTGACAAATTAATCTAAGAGCTCAAAACATAAATTTAACAAGCATTACTCATTCTTCTTCTTTGTCCCTTTCTTCTTGTCTGCATTGGAACCAGAAGAAGGCAGATCCTTTGCTGCTTTATGAGCTTCCTTTTCAGCAGTGTCTGCACTGGCACTAAAATTATTCTTCCCAGGCAATTCATCAGCACTCTCCATGTTCATCCCATTCTTCTTCTTCTTCTCCTTCTCCTCTTTCCTGTTTTTTGCACCGAAATCATGCATGAAGTAGTACTAGAACTAGAACCATCTCCATCCAAAACTATATTTTCTTCATCAACTATTTCAGGACTCTCCATAATCTTCTTCTTGTTGTCTAGATCAGGAACATGAGAAGAATGCTTCTTTGAAACTCTATTCGCTTCATTACCTGGAGAAGGATTGTCAGCTGAGATCCAACTTGCTTCATTCAACAAAACTAGACTCTCTACGTACGAGTCCAAATAAAACGGCTCAATTCTAGAAATTTTAGTGCCCCGAAGTCTACAACTCCCATTTTTGGTCTTGGAGTAAGAAGTTAGCTCTCCACCAACATCTAAAAACAGCTCACCATTTTTCTTAAATCCAACAAAACTGTCTCCATATCTGATCGGCTGTTCAATATTGAAAAGTTTGGTCCAAGATTTGGCATCACCATACTCTTTCATTTGCCAAATTGAATAACTTACATCGCTATAGTATGGTCTCCATGAGGCAGCCAACGAAAGCAATCCACCAAAAACAGTAACAGTCAAGTCCATATCGTCCCTAAAAACTACACAATCTGGAACAGTCATTTCCCCAAATTTTCGTATGCTAAATCGAAAAACAGAATCACATTCATTGCAGTATGTCTGCTTCTGTGTTGGGAACTTACAGTAGTCCAATGACATGCTCCATTCAAGAAAGCAGACCTTGAACCCCTCTTAATCACATATTTCAGATCATTTTCCAACATTTTCCAGCATCCACTCTTCAACGAGTAAACCTCAGCCAATGGCGGCAATTTTGCCTCCTGAATAGCGTAACAACTACAAACAGACTATTCTCACCAATTTATAGTCATGGTTGATGGAATCAAAACCAAATCCACCTAGCCCAAAGTGTTCATGAGACTGGAAACTAACCTTTGGATGAGGAACAGGGACAGTCTTTCTAATACTAGGATTCCAAAGAAAAGCCCAATATTTGGACCTATCATCATCATAACGGTCATCAATTTGACAAGATACACCATTACATGAACCCACAAGGGAGACCATATCGAACAAGACGTCAGATTCATAATCTTTTCCCTCATGAGGAGGGAAATCAAGTTTCTCTCCATTGCATGTAGGAAAATCCTTATCTGGGTACAAAAAGTAACGATTTTCGTTCTTAAAGAAAATCAAGTCGTTGTTTTTGGAGGTAGCTTTTTTGTTGAGATGGCGGGTTATGAAAGAAGGAGATGTGATTAAAGAACACCATGCTTTGGAGACACACCTGAATTGCAGTAATGGCTTCACTGGCAATCTTGCTAGGATATTTGTCAAGATGTCTTCTGGGAGATAATCTGACATCTTTCTCCTCCTCCTCTCCCTCCTCTTGCGTCTCTCTTCTCTCCTTCTGCTTCAACGCTACATCTTGAGCACTTTGTTCTTCTTCCTTCATGCACAAAACTTTGACCTTTCTTCTTCTTTTTTTATTCGTTGGTTAAGATGCTTTTTTGAGTAAATTATAAATTGGGCCCTCTAATTACAAAAAAACTAATTTATTAGTCCTCATTTTTTCAAAAAAAATTATTTAGTATATATATATTTTAAAATTTTCTTGCAATGTAATCCTTTTCTTTCTTTTCTGATTTATTTTGATTTTTTGTTTTGAAAAATAGAAAAAGAGAAAAAAAGTAAAAGAATATGAAATAATTGTTGAGAAAAGATGTTAGTTTTTGAAATAAAATAATGTTAAATTAAATATGACTAATTAATTAGTTTTTTTTTTTTTTTTGAAAAAAAGATTAATTAATTATTTTCTCAAAGGTAAAAGGACTAATTTATAAACTAATCTGCTTTTTTTTTTTTGGTTTCTTGATTAATTAAGATGTGTTGGGGCTTAATTTCTAGGTTTGACTTTTCTTAAGCCCATTATTTCCTTCTTCATTTTCAATGAATTTCATAATTTTTTAGGTCTATTTCTTTTATTATGGAATTGGATTAGTCCATTTATTTAACTTGTTCAGCCTTTAATTGCCTGGTTTCGTATCTTTGGAGAATATTAAACTATAAAAATTTAATTGAGCTTAGAATATCTTTCTTCTGTTCATGTGATTTGAATATATATATATATATATGTAATTGTAAGCAACAAATAAAAAAATTTAAAAAGTTATTTTCATGAATTTAATGACTGATTTGATGAGATTGTGTCGATCATGAAAGATGTAAAACCATAATTGCTGGTGTCTGATTTATCCTTAATATTTGTAATACTATTATTCTTGGTGTCTGATTTATCCTTAACATTTATAACGTCATTAGCACATATATTTTTCAAGCTTTTTAGCTGTCATTCCTCTCGGATAATCAGATATGATTGATTAAAAAAGAAAGAAAGAAAGATTAAGTGTTCAAAATGTTAATAACGTAATTTGCAATAACGTCGACTTCTCTGGGAATCTTGCTAGGATTTCCAAGAACATGTCTTCTGGGAGATGATCGGACATCTTTCTCCTCCTCCTCTTGCGTCTGTCTGTCTTCTCTCCTTCTGCGTCAACTCGACATCTTGAGCGATTTCTTCTTCTTCCTTAGTGATTAACTAAGATGTGTTTGGGCTTAATTTATTGGTATGACTTTTCTTAAGCCCATTATTTCCTCTTTCCTTTTTAATGAATTTCATAATTATGCAGGCCCATTTATCTTATTATGGATTTGGATTGGCCCATTTGTGGGTATTCTAGTATTTTGGAGAATATTAAATAATCAGTACTATTAGCTTTTATGACCCTATTAGTATATATACTTTTCCAGCTTTTTAGCTTTCATCCCTCTCAAGCCACCAATCTTTTAATATTGCTATAAATCATGCTTAATTTATATGATTTTAATTATATACAATGATATGATTGATTGATTAACTTCATTCGAGGAAAAAAATGAAAGATTAAGAATTGAAAAATATTAATGCAACAATGAGATTTTTCAAATATTTCTATAAACTACACTTAATTTATATGATCTTAAGGTAAAATAAAAAAATTAAAAAATTAAGGATTGAAACATTTTAAAATTTTGAATTTTAAATCATTTGAGATACTAAACCAGATTGTATTATTCTTGTTTGTGAAAACTCGATCGGTAAAATACCAAGGCTAAATACTATTTGTCAGATTGGATTTAGTCATTTTTATTAATTAGAGTGCATGCTTCTATTTTCTCCAACCTCATTCATTGCTGTTAGATATGAGTCCTCAACTGGAAGAATGGTCACGATTTGATTTCTTTGTATAAAAATTTAAAAAGGTTTCCAACTCAAAATAATAATGACGCGACGATGATAAATAAATGAAAACATGATGTTTCAAACATAAACGTGTATGTAAAAGTAAAAATAATGTTAATTTTACTGACAAAATCATCTGAAAATCACTTTTCAAATATCTCATCTATGGACGAGTGAGTTTGATACACTATAAATCAAAACTATTGAAATTCTTTCACAAGGTTTCTTGATGAATCTATCTCTTATTTCTCACAAAATATGAGAGTTTCTCGTAATCTATGGTTCCAGTTTCTTCAAAAACCAGTGTGATTCTTGAAAAATGACACAACTTGATTGTACACAACATCTTTAGCATTTACTCCAAAAATGAAATCCATATGAGCATACTCCTTGATGTATTGAGTAGTGAGCTTGTCAGCATCATGATGGGGCTTGAGAATGTCAAGCAAGAGGTTAACATCTTGAACATCAGATAGTCCATCTCGCAGTCCATAGCTGAGGAAGAGAGGCAAGTCACTGGGGATATTAGAAAGATTATAAACAGGTGGTTTCGCTTTTCCATAGCGCTGCATATTAGCCTCAGAAGATCCATAGTCGTATTTTGCCAGGAACCCGTTGCGAATGGCTGCAATTCATTTGAAGGAATCAAGCAACTCTACTTAGTGAGTTAATTGAAAAAAGTATAGCTAAGAAAGTTTAGCAGAGACTAAGATTGGGTGGCACAGTTACTTTGTCCAAAGTGCCGGACGTTCTTCATTGCTGTAGGTTGAGGCTGATTGTTTGCAAAGAGATGATAAGTGGAGCCATTGAGGCAGCAGTTGGGGCCTTGAATTGGAAGAAATTAATTAAGCATAAATATAGTAATTAATAATATTATTGCAAAGGAAATAGTTACTATAATATACATAGCTGCATCAACAAGGCAAAAATTAATGTATACCAGTTATTGGAGTCAACAATTCGTAGCAATTCGCTCTGGAAGCAGCACATAGAGTGTTGCCCAAGTTTAAAAATGGAAGGAGTTGTCTATGAAAGAACAAAAAGGAAAGATCCATTAATTACTTGGTCATATATTAATTTATTCTACATTTAAAACAAATTAAAGGGAATTAATTTTCAGCCCTCATTTCTTACGTTTTAGGATCAAATGCAGAATCTCCAAATAAATTAGCAATCTGTTGGAAGTAAAGAGGATATATTAAAATATAACATATATGATTAAGGGAATTAAGATAAAGAATTAATCATGTAGAGACATAGAGCAGATTAATTACATACACTTGTTTCTTTACAAATAAGAGTAAGCAATGATATTGTGGTTTTCAAGTAAGCAACAGGGCTCAACAAAGCAGCTGATTTAATCTTCTCCACCAATAATCCTTCCGATAATGCTGCCATAGCTGTCAAAGTTCCCTATAGAAATAGAATACACTTTTAGACAGTCAAGAATTATTATAATTGAGATGATAGAATGATTTTCTGGTCGGGTTACAAAAAATTTAAGGCAAGATCGTGAATCATACCTGAGAATGACCTACGTAATGTATCTTCTGTCTTGTTTCATTGTACACGTAATCAAAGAGTGCTGGAAGGTCGAATTTTGCCAATTCATCCCATGACCAATTCCAAAATTCCTGCATAATTGAAATTGGAATTAAAAAAAAAAATTCCCAATATCAGCCTTCTAGTTTCTAAAAACTGTACTCCAAATTCCTTTTAAATTTACATATACGGTAAGATTATGTTAGTCTCTGTTGCCAAAAGATGAGACAAGTGCTATTAAAACCTGTTGATTGGGGTGAAGAGAGGTGTGTCGACTGCTAAATTTGGTGCCTCTAGTGTTAGAAATCCAGACATCAAACCCTTGATCAGCTAAAATGGTTGGTAAATTTTGTTCCGGTTGATTCTGAAGCCATGTCATTCCATCCTGCGCGCATCATATAAATACTGATGAAATTAACAAAACTTTATGGAATAAAATTGTTCTTCTTCCATATATTCTCAGTATATAGATATATTTAAGCATTACGTAGGTTCATGCACTTACTACAAGGACCCCATGTTGTATTAGAACTGGCTGCCTCTTTGCATCACCATTGCCACCGGTACCAACACGACCTTCCGGTATTCTTTGCACGCTAAGTATATATCCATCATCGGTTACCACCTGAAAAATCAAACACATAAAACTTCTTAGTCCATTTTCTTTTACTATCTACTTCTAACGCCAACTACTCAATCTACAAATTATCCATTGTTTCAGTACTTGATCATCTTACTTCGAGTTCTTGGCATTTGTATCCATAAATTTTCACCAAATTAGCACATGTCCCATTTGTTGGGGGTTGATCTATGACAACACTGGTTAGGGTCGTAGAACCACCACTTGAGCCATATATCTGATGGATCGTCACCGTCAAGACTACTAGGACACAAAAACTCAACTTAGACATGCCCTTGATCGTAATGTCTAGTTATAACTGTGTAAGAGTGGAAAAGAACAAGACCAACGGTTGCCAAAGAAATATTTTTTTCCCCCTCTTCGTTTCCTTTTTTTGTACAAGTTACAGCACTTAAAAGTAGTATATATACAGTATAAATAAACAGTTTAGGCAGCAAGTCATTTACAACAATTTATTATACCAATTTATTTTCCTTTATTGCAATTTGTTTCAGTTGAATTTGTAACTTTCTTTCAGTTTAATGCAACATTCTGCTTTAGCAGTTAAGAAACTAATAGGCAATATTGGTGGAGCTGAAGTTTTTAAAAGAGAATGCAAAAGTCCAGTACCATCCAAAATTAGAAGCAGGTCATGACCAGCTTTCTTTCCCATATAAATTGAGCAAAGACAGAGTCTGACAAGATATATCAATTGACACTAAAAATTAAACATTTGAAGCAAAACAAAGTTTCCATCTGTCCCATTATGTTACAACAAAAGTCATGAAATAAGTTGAAAAAACGTTAACAGTGCTGCCAGAAAGCTATAAATTTTAATACACAGAAGTTGGTTGTAACTGGAAATTTGCCAGTTTTTTCTTCAACAGTACTGAGGATAGGAAATTCACAGTTCCCCTGCCACAGGGCATTCTTCAAATATTGGAACGTCACTTTTTCCTTGATCTCATTATCTTTAGACTCCACAAGGATATGTTTCAATTATTACCGAAAAAAAAAAAGTAAAAAAAGAAGAAGAAGAAGACATGTTCTGATGTTCAATAAGGACCATAAAATCAAGAACTGACATGCATATTAAAACAATAAAGAGCTCCAAACATAAATTCAACGGGCATTACTCATTCTTTGTATTCTTCCCTTTCTTCTTGGCTGCGTTGGAATTAGATGAAGGCAGCTCCTTTGCTGCTTCCTTCTCAGCAGTGTCTGCACTGGCGCTAGAATTATTCTTCCCTGGAAATTCATCATCACTCTCCATGTTCTTTTTCTTCTTCTTCTTCACCTTTTGTTTCCGGTTTTTTGCACTGAAATCATGCTCTTTTAAGGCTTCGTTTCCTTCACTAGATCCATCTCCCTTCAAAACTCTATTTTCTTCATCCACTGTTTCACGAGGCCTCTCCATGATCTTCTTCCCTTTCTTCTTCTTTTCCTTTTTGTTCTTGTCTAGACCAGCAACATGAGAGGGATGCTCCATTGAGATACCATTTGCTTCATTACCTGCAGGAGAATTCTCAGTTGAGATCCAACTTGCTTCATTCAATAAAACAAGACTCTCCACATAAGAGGCCAAATAAAATTCGTCGGGGCTTCCGAAAATTTTAGTGTCCAGAATTCTACAACTCCCATTTTTGGTCTTTGAGTAAGAAGTTAGCTCTCCCGGAGTTGGCTCTCCCCTCCTTAGCAAGGGAAAAAAGCTCACCATTTTTCTTAAATCCAATAAAATCGTCTACTTGGCCTTTCAAATGTTCAATGTTGAAAAGTTTGGTCCAAGATCTCGCATCACCATACTCTTTCATCTGCCAAATTGAATAACTTCCTCGACTATAGTCCTGTCCAGTTAAGGCAACCAATGAAAGCAATCCATCGAAAACAATAACATTAACGGCCAAATCATCCCTACAAATTACAGGAACTATCATTTCTCCAATCTTCTCTTCTGCTAAATTAAAAAACACAATCACATTCAGTTCACCACCACATTGCTCTTCAAGACACCATTCCTTTGAATCTGCTGCCCAATGACAAGCTCCATTCACAAAAGCCGAGGACTAATACCAATGGATAAAATATTTTAGATCATCGACCGCCTTTCTCCAACATCCACTTTTCATCGAATCAACCTCAACTAATGGCGGCATTATTCTTGGCCGGTACCAGTAACGAGTATAATAAGGTTGAGGACGCAAATAGCCTACTCTCACCACTTTATAGTCATGGTTGATGGAATCAAAACCAAATCCAAATCCAAAACAGTCTTCAAAGTATAAATCAGACCGAATATTCGCAGTTGGCCTAGGAACAGAGACAGTCTTTCTAATACTAGGATTCCACAGAACAGCCGTATGAACATATTGACATTTATAATGATCATAATAAAAATGATACATAAAAAACAATCCATTACATGATCCCACTAGGTGTATCTTACGTTCGTAACTATGTTTGGCTATCAAATGTTGTTTCCCAAGTGGGAAATCAAGTTCCTCTCCATTGCATTCAGGAAAATCCTTTTCTGGGTACAAAAAGTAACTATCTAAATATTCCTCGGACAGACGCTTGAAGAAAAGCAAGTCATTGTTTCTGATGGTGGCTTTATTGAGATGGTGGGCTATGAAAGAAGGACTTGAGATTAAAGAACACCATGTTTTGGAGACGCACCTGAAGCGCAACAATGTCTTCACTGGCAATCTTGCTAGGATATTTCTCAAGATGTCTTCTGAGAGATAATCGGACATATTTTTTATCGTTCTAGATCTCCAACACTTTGTTCTTCTTCTTTTAGTGCACAAAACCTTGATTTCTACGGTTTTTTCTTAAGCCCATCATCTTGTTTCAATAATTTTGATGATTATAAATTAGTCTATCTAGTTTAGGAAAATGAATTAATTAGTTTTTTTTATTTTAGAAATTAATTATTTAGTCCATATATTAGTCTTAATGCACTTAATTCAATCTGATTTATTTTTTTTATTTTAAAAAAGTCTTTTTTTCAATCAATTTTACCGTAATATATAATTTTGAGATAAAAAGGGACCACTTTATTCGTTTCTTAAAACCAAAAGGACTAGTTTATAATTTACTATCTGTAGAGATTTGCTCCTTTGATACACTGCCATATATAATTTTGAATTTGGCAGATAAGAAGATTGGGAAATGATAATCACACACTGTGTGGTTTTGAAGGCAGTTATGATATGGAGATGACTGTTACTGTTTTTTATGTACTGCTTTCGTTAGTTGTCTAATCCAGACATTACTATTTTTTATTTATTTATATATATTTTAAAATTATGGTCAAAGCTATAAATAGTATTCTTTTCTAAAATAATTTTAATTAATATTGATTCTGTGTCAAACATGTTTAAATTTAACGATTAAGGATTCCCAAAAAATTAAAAAGAAGAATCATAATTTAAAAAAGTAAGAATAAAAAGTGTTGAAATGACATAATAATTACTCTTATAATATTAAAAATATTGTTCATTGGACTTTTCATTATTAATTGTCATGCTATATCAATATATTTTATAATATATTTTAATATTTTTTTATTGACTTGATTTTAATTAGAAATATTTTAGAAAATATCATAAGTTTTAACCAAATAAATATTTTAAAAAATATATAAAACCTGTCGGGTAACCGCTATGGTAAAACCCGATTAAAACCCGTTTTGTTAATAATAAAAAAAAATGGTTAAAAATACTTTTTTTTTTAATTTGACCATTTAATAGCATTATGCAAATAAGAGGTAACTTTAGATTTTGTAGTACCAGAAGAGGAAAATCTAAAAGAACTAAGCTACAGTGAGAAACAAGAATTGACAGAGTAGATAAGAATCCAAACTAATGTCTTGACATAATTGCAGACTGTAAATTAAAGACAGCAACTCGATTTCCTGTTCAAATCTGGAGATTCCCTCTCCATCGTAGCTTCCAAACCCATTTTGAATCACACCACTCTCTAAATCTCTCTAGTATGGACAAATGAATTAATTATTATTTGAGAATATTTTTTTTATATTGATAATTATAAATTAGTCTCTCTCGTATGGACAAATGAATTAATCAGTTCTTTTTATCTTGAAAATTAATTATTTATCAAAGGCTACTTACATTACCAAAAAAGACGCATTTCATCCAAGAATATGAAATAAAGAGCAGAGCTAAAACTTTATTTATCGAAGGTTACTTCTGATGCAGGTAATGAAGCAAATGGTGTTTCAAAGGAGCATTCTTCTCATGGTACTGGTACAGACAAGAACAAAATGGAAAAGAAGAAGAAAACGGAAGAAGATTATGGAGAGGCCCAAAATAGGGGATGAAGAAAATTGTGTTTTGAAGGGAGATAATTCTAGTTCTATTGCTACTTCAGGCAATGTTGTAACTAATGAAGGGAATGGAGCCTTAAGAGAGCATAATCTTTCTTCTTCTTCTTCTTCTTCTTCTTTTGAGCAGAGCTAAAACTTAATTTACAGAACTGATAGAACTAAAGAAATCATTCCATATCAAAGGCTGGAAGAAGAAAACTCCAAATTCATTTTCCCTCTCTTTTCCTCACAACCATCAATTGAGTCCCATATTAAATTATTAACTTTCTGGCAATACTGTTAACGCTTTTTCAACTTATTTCATGCCTTTTGTTGTAAACTAAGGGACAGATGGAAAAGTTGTTTTGCTTCAATTGTTTAATTTTTAGTGTCAACTGATATTTCTTGGCAGACTCTGCTTTTGCTCAATTTATATGGGAAAGAAAACTGGTCATGACTTGCTTCTAATTTTGGATGGTACTGGAGTTTTGCCCTTCTCTTTAAAAAACATCAGCTCCACCAACGCCTATTAGTTTCTTAACTCCTAAAGCAGAATGTTGCATTAAACTGAAAGAAAGAAAGAAAGTTACAAATTCAACTAAAACAAATTGCAATAAAGGAAAATAAATTGGTATAGTAAATTGCTGCCTAAACTGTTTTATTTGTGCTGTATATATACTACTTTTAAGTGCTGTAACTTGTACAAACAAAGGAAACGAAGAGTGGGAAAAAAAAATTTCTTTGGCAACCGTTATTGGTCTTGTTCTTTTCCACTCTCACACAGTTATAACTAGACATTACGATCAAGGGCATGTCTAAGTTGAGTTTTTGTGTCCTAGTAGTCTTGACGGTGACGATCCATCAGATATATGGCTCAAGTGGTGGTTCTACAACCCTAACCAGTGGTGTCATAGATCAACCCCCAGCAAATGGGACATGCGCTACTTTGGTGAAAATTTATGGGTACGAATGTCAAGAACTCGAAGTAAGATGATCAAGTACTGAAACAATGAATAATTTGTAGATGGAGTAGTTGGCGTTAGAAGTAGATAGTAAGAGAAAATGGACTAAGAAGTTTTATGTGTTTGATTTTTCAGGTGGTAACCGATGATGGATATATACTTAGCGTGCAAAGAATACCGGAAGGTCGTGTTGGTACCCGTGGCAATGGTGATAAAAAGAGGCAGCCAGTTCTAATACAACATGGGGTCCTTGTAGTAAGTGCATGAAATATATCTGTTGAGAATATATGGAAGAAGAACAATTTTATGCAGGAGGGGATCTAATTAATTTACACCATAACGGTATATGATACTTCTGTTAATTTCATCAGTATTTATATGATGCGCGCAGGATGGAATGACATGGCTTCAGAATCAACCGGAACAAAATTTACCAACCATTTTAGCTGATCAAGGGTTTGATGTCTGGATTTCTAACACCAGAGGCACCAAATTTAGCAGTCGACACGCCTCTCTTCAACCCAGTCAACAGGTTTTAATAGCACTTGCCTCATCTTTTGGCAACAGAGACTAACATAATCTTACTGTATATGTAAATTTAAAAGGAATTTGGAGTACAGTTTTTAGAAACTAGAAGTCTGATATTGGGAATTTTTTTTTTAATTCCAATTTCAATTATGCAGGAATTTTGGAATTGGTCATGGGATGAATTGGCAAAATTCGACCTTCCAGCACTCTTTGATTACGTGTACAATGAAACAAGACAGAAGATACATTACGTAGGTCATTCTCAGGTATGATTCACGATCTTGCCTTAAATTTTTTGTAACCCGACCAGAAAATCATTCTAATCATCTCAATTATAATAATTCTTGACTGTCTAAAATTGTACTCTATTTCTGTAGGGAACTTTGGCAGCTATGGTAGCATTATCGGAAGGATTATTGGTGGAGAAGATTAAATCAGCTGCTTTGTTGAGTCCTGTTGCTTACTTGAAAACCACAAGATCATTACTTACTGTTATTTGCAGAGAAGCAAGTGTATGTAATTAATTTGCTCTATGTCTCAACATGATTAATTCTCTATCTTAATTCCCTTAATTATATATGTTATATTTTAATTAATATATCCTCTTTACTTCCAACAGATTGCTAATTTATTTGGAGATTCTGCATTTGATCCTAAAACGTAAGAAATAAGGGCTGAAAATTAATTCCCTTTAATTTGTTTTAGATGTAGAATAAATTAATATATGACCAAGTAATTAAATTGATCTTTCATTTTTGTTCTTTTATAGACAACTCCTCCCATTTTTAAACTTGGGCAACACTCTATGTGCTGCTTCCGGCACGAATTGCTACGAATTGTTGACTCCAATAACTGGTATACATTAATTTTTGCAGTGTTGGTATAGCTATGTCTATTATAGTAACTATTTCCTTTGCAATCATATTATTAATTACTATATTTCTTCAAATTCAAGGCCCCAACTGCTGCCTCAATGGCTCCACTTATCATCTCTTTGCAAACAATCAGCCTCAACCTACAGCAATGAAGAACGTCCGGCACTTTGGACAAGGTAACTGTGCCACCCAATCTTACTACTGCTAAACTTGCTTAGCTATACTTTTTTCAATTAACTCACTAAGTAGAGTTGCTTGATTCCTTCAAATGAATTGCAGCCATTCGCAACGGGTTCCTGGCAAAATACGACTATGGATCTTCTGAGGCTAATATGCAGCGCTATGGAAAAGCGAAACCACCTGTTTATAATCTTTCTAATATCCCCAGTGACTTGCCTCTCTTCCTCAGCTATGGACTGCGAGATGGACTATCTGATGTTCAAGATGTTAACCTCTTGCTTGACATTCTCAAGCCCCATCATGATGCTGACAAGCTCACTACTCAATACATCAAGGAGTATGCTCATATGGATTTCATTTTTGGAGTAAATGCTAAGGATATTGTGTACAATCAAGTTGTGTCATTTTTCAAGAATCACACTGGTTTTTGAAGAAGCTGGAACCATAGATTACGAGAAACTCTCATATTTTGTGAGAAATAAGAGATAGATCATAGTTTGCAACTTTTCAAACAAGCTCAGTTGTTGCAGGTTCAGTGGACGGGGAATTATAAGAAACCTTGTGAAAGATTTTTAATAGTTTTGATTTATTGTGTATGGAACTCACTCGATCGTCTGATAGATGAGATATTGAAAAGTGATTTCAGGATGATTTTTCAGCAAAATTAGCATTATTTTTGCTTTCACACATACATTCATGTTTGAAACATATTGTTTTCATTTCTTTATCATCATCATCATTTTTATTATTATTTTGAGTTGGAAACGTTTTTAAATTTTTATACAAAGAAATCAAATAATGAACATTCTACCAATTGAGGACTAGTATCTTAGAGCAAATAAATGAAGTTGGAGAAAATAAATCAATTAATTGTTGTATTACTACTGAGAACTTACAATTCATTTCCTTTTGATCTTAAATGTGAGATGCTTTTATTCCTCCAAAAATCGAAATTTGATGTACCTTGGATTACTTGAAATTTCGAAAGTAAGAAAAAAAAAAAAAAAAAAACTTAGAAAGTCGGAGTCTCACAAAATTAGAGGACATGATTTAAGTAGGTTAAATTTTTTTAGGGAAACAAGATATGACAGCCTAACATAGTTACGAACGTAAGATACACCTAGTGGGATCATGTAATGGATTATTTTTTATGTATCATTTTTATTTTGATAATTATAAATAAATGTCAATATGTTCGTATGGCTGCTCTGTGGAATCCTAGTATTAGAAAGACCGACTCTGTTCCAAGTCCAACTGCTAATATTCAGTCTTATTTATACTTTGAAGACTATTTCGGAATTGGTTATTATTCCATCAACCATAACTATAAAGGGATTCAAAGAATATCGAAAATCTGGATAAACTTGAGATATTCTCTCGTAAACTTTTATTAATCAAAGAAAGCTCCCCTTTTCAGCCTTCAAGTCATACATAAATAGAAAAATTACGCTAAAACCCTAAAATAATTCAAAAAGAAAACAAATACAAAAAAAATCTCGAAAAAATATAAATTGTGATTTTGAGGGCCTAAACAATTGTTTTTGCTAAAATCACTCCTATATCATGGGCATAGCTCATGTGTTTTGCTCGTTGGTCCGTTTGTCATCGAATTAAGCTAAAAAAACCTTAGAATTAAGCTAACAATGTTTTTTTTTTAGCTTCTATCGCGCTCATACTATTTTATGAATTTCCAAACCTGTTAATCCCCATCATCATGCGCCGACTCTGTGGAATCCTAGTGTTCGAAAGACTGTCCCTATTCCTAGGCCAACTGCTAATTTTAAGTCTCCTGGATTCATTGGCGACGATTTTGGATTTGGTTTTGATTCCGTCAACCATGACTATAAATTGGTGAGAATAGGATATTAGGAGACTTGGACTAATTACGAGGTTAGGGAGACAAAATTCCCGCCATTGGCTGAGGTTTACTCGTTGAAGAGTAGATGTTGGAGAATGGTGAAAAATGATCTAAAATATTTCAGTCAGAGGGATTCAAGGTTTGCTTTCGTGAATAGAGCTTGTCATTGGACTACTGTAAGTTCCCGAAGCATGTGGACTCGTACTACAACGAATGTGATTGTGTTTTTTGATTTAGCAGATGAGAAGATTGGGGAAATGAAAGTACCAAATTGTGTAGTTTTTAGGGACGATATGGACTTGACTGTTGCTGTTTTTGATGGATTGCTTTCGTTGGTTGCCTCAAGGAGACCCTACCATAGTGAAGTAAGTTATTCAATTTGGCAAATGAAAGAGTATAGCGATGCCAAATCTTGGATCAAACTATTCAATATTGAACCTTCGGGATACTATGTATACGATTTTGTTGGGTTTAAGAAAAATGGTGAGGTATTTTTTGATGTTGATGGAGAGCTAACTTATTACTCCAGGAACAAAAATGGGAGTTGTAGAATTTTGGGCACTGAAATTTTGGGGTGCCCCGAAGAATTTTCTTTGGACTCTTATGTGGAGAGTCTTGTCTTATTGAATGTAGCAAGTTGGATCTCATCAACTGAGAATCCTCCTGCAGATAACGAAGCAAATAGAGGTTCAAATTAAGAAGCATTCTTCTCTTGTTGTTGATCTAGACAATAAGAAGAAGAAGAAGAAGAATATGGAGAGTCCTGAAATAGGGGATGAAGAAAATAGAGTTTTGGAAGGAGATGGTTCCAGAGCTGGTGCTACTTCACGCAATATTGTAACTAATGAAGGAGATGGAGCCTCAAGAGAGCATAGCATGATTTCGGTGCAAAAACAGGAACCAAAAGGAGAAGAAGAAGAAGAAGAAAAAGCATGGAGAGTGATGATGAAATTCCAGGGAAGAATGATTCTAGTGGCAGTGCAGACACTGCTGAAAAGGAAGCACATTAGGAGCTGCCTTCATATGGTACCAACGCAGACAAGAAGAAAGGGAAGAATAAAAAAGATGAGTAATGCCTGTTGAATTTATGTTTTGAGCTCTTTATTGTATTAACATGCATGCATGCTAGTTTTTTATTTTATGTCCTTATTGAACATGTCTTTTTTTTTTTTTTTTTTGGGTAATTATTCAAACAAGTCCTTGTGGAATCTAAAGATAATGAGATCAAGTTCCAACATTTGAAGAAAGTCCTGTGCATGGTGACGCTTTTGGGAACTGTGAATTTCCTCTCCTCAGTACTGTTGAGGAAAAACTGGCAAATTTTGAGTTACAATCAACTTGTGTTTTTTTTTTTTTTAATTTTTAACCTTCTGGCATACTGTTAACGTTTTTTTCCAACTTATTTTATGTCTTTTGTTGTAACATAAGGGACAGATGGAAACTTTGTTTTGCTTCAAATGTTTTGGTGTCAATTGATATATCTTGTCAGACTCTGCCTTTGCTCAATTTATATGGGAAAGAAAACTGGTCATGACCTGCTTCTAATTTTGGATGGTACTGGACTTTTGCATTCTCATTTAAAAACTTCAGCTCCACCAAGGCACCAATGTCTATTAGTTTCTTAACTGCTAAAGCAGAATGTTGCGTTAAACTGAAAGAAAGTTACAAATTCAACTGAAACAAATTGCAATAAAGGAAAATAAATTGGTATAATAAATTGTTGTAAATGACTTGCTGCCTAAACTGTTTTCTTTGTACTGTATATATATATATTAGTTTTAAGTGCAGTAACCTGTACAAAAAAAAGGAAAAGAAGAGTGCCAAAAAAAGCATATTTCTTTGGCAACCGCTGGTCTTGTTCTTTTCCATTCTTACAAAGTTATAACTTGACACTCCTACACGATTATAACTAGACATTACGAACAAGGGCATGTCTAAGTTGAGCTTTTGTGTCCTAATAGTCTTGACGGTGACGATCCATCAAATATATGGCTCAAGTGGTGGTTCTACAACCCTAACCAGTGGTGTCATAGATCAACCCCCAGCAAATGGGATATGTGCTACTTTGGTGACAATTTATGGGTACAAATGCCAAGAACTCGAAGTAAGATGATCAAGTACCTAAACAATTAATAATTTGTAGATCGAGTACGTAGTTGGCGTTAGAAGTAGGTAGTAAAAGAAAATGGACTAATTAAGATGGCCTGCGTTTTATGTGTTTGATGTTTCAGGTGGTAACCGATGATGGATATATACTTAGCGTGCAAAGAATACCAGAAGGTCGTGTTGGTGCCGGTGGCAATGGTGATGCAAAGAGGCAGCCAGTTCTAATACAGCATGGGGTCCTTGTAGTAAGTGCCTGAACCTACGTACTGCTTAAATATATCTGCTGAGAATATATGGAAGAAGAACAATTTTATACCATAATTTCATCACTATTTATATGTATGATGCGCGCAGGATGGAATGACATGGCTTCAGAATCAACCGGAACAAAATCTACCAACCATTTTAGCTGATCAAGGGTTTGATGTCTGGATTTCCAACACTAGAGGCACCAAATTTAGCAGTCGACACACCTCTCTTCAACACAGTCAACAGGTTTTCTCCTCTCTCAATCTCATGAATATGTGTCTATATACAATTTTTTTCTTTTATTGGGTTTTAATAATACTTGTCTCATCTTTTGGTAACAGAGACTAACATAATCTTACCATGTTTGTACATTTAAAAGGAATTTAGAGTACAGTTTTTGGAAACTAGAAGGGTGATATTGGGAATTTTTAAAAAAAAATTTCCAATTTCAATTTGCAGGAATTTTGGAATTGGTCATTTGATGAATTGGCAAAATTCGACCTTCCAGCACTCTTTGATTTCGTGTACAATGAAACAAGACAGAAGATACATTACGTAGGTCATTCTCAGGTATGATTCACGATCTTGCCTTAAAATTTTTGTAACCCGACCAGAAAATCATTCTATCATCTCAATTATAATAATTCTTGACTGTCTAAAAGTGTATTCTATTTCTATAGGGAACTTTGACAGCTATGGCAGCATTATCGGAAGGATTATTGGTGGAGAAGATTAAATCAGCTGCTTTGTTGAGCCCTGTTGCTTACTTGAAAACCACAATATCATTGCTTACTCTTATTTGTAAAGAAACAAGTGTATGTAATTAATCTGCTCTATGTCTCTACATGATTAATTCTTTATCTTAATTCCCTTAATCATATATGTTATATTTTAATATATCCTCTTTACTTCCAACAGATTGCTAATTTATTTGGAGATTCTGCATTTGATCCTAAAACGTAAGAAATAAGGGCTGAAAATTAATTCCCTTTAATTTGTTTTAAATGTAGAATAAATTAATATATGACCAAGTAATTAATGGATCTTTCCTTTTTGTTCTTTCATAGACAACTCCTTCCATTTTTAAACTTGGGCAACACTCTATGTGCTGCTTCCAGAGCGAATTGCTACGAATTGTTGACTCCAATAACTGGTATACATTAATTTTTGCCTTGTTGATGCAGCTATGTATATTATAGTAACTATTTCCTTTGCAATAATATTATTAATTACTATATTTATGCTTAATTAATTTCTTCCAATTCAAGGCCCCAACTGCTGCCTCAATGGCTCCACTTATCATCTCTTTGCAAACAATCAGCCTCAACCTACAGCAATGAAGAACGTCCGGCACTTTGGACAAAGTAACTGTGCCACCCAATCTTAGTCTCTGCTAAACTTTCTTAGCTATACTTTTTTCAATTAACTCACTAAGTAGAGTTGCTTGATTCCTTCAAATGAATTGCAGCCATTCGCAACGGGTTCCTGGCAAAATACGACTATGGATCTTCTGAGGCTAATATGCAGCGCTATGGAAAAGCGAAACCACCTGTTTATAATCTTTCTAATATCCCCAGTGACTTGCCTCTCTTCCTCAGCTATGGACTGCGAGATGGACTATCTGATGTTCAAGATGTTAACCTCTTGCTTGACATTCTCAAGCCCCATCATGATGCTGACAAGCTCACTACTCAATACATCAAGGAGTATGCTCATATGGATTTCATTTTTGGAGTAAATGCTAAGGATATTGTGTACAATCAAGTTGTGTCCTTTTTCAAGAATCACACTGATTTTTGAAGAAGCTGGAACCATATATTACGAGAAACTCTCATACTTTGTGGGAACTAATTAAGAGATAGACCATAGTTTGCAACTTTTCAAACAAGCTCGATCGTTGCTGGTTCATTGGCTAGCGAATAAGAAACCTTATGAAAGAATTTCAATAGTTTTGATTTATAGTGTATCAAACTCACTCGTCTGATGGATGAGATATTTGAAAAGTGATTTGAGGATGATTCTTCAATAAAATTAGCATTATTTTTTCAATTAATTGTTGTATTACAATTGAGAACTTACCTTCATTTCCTTTTGTTCTTAAATGTGAGATGCTTTTATTCCTCCAAAAATCGAAATTTGATGTACCTTGGATTACTTGAAACTTCGAAAAAAAAAAAAACTTAGAAAATCGGAGACTCACAAAATTAGATCGAGAACATGATTTAAGTAGGTTAAATTTTTTATTTCCCACTTGGGAAAACAAGATTTGGCAGCCCAACATAGTTACGAACGTAAGATACATGCCTAGTGGGATTATGTAATGGATTATTTTTTTATGTATCATTTTGATTTTGATAATTATAAATAAATGTCAATATGTTCGTATGGCTGCTCTGTGGAATCCTAGTGTTAGAAAGACTGTCCCTGTTCCTAGGCCAACTGCTAATATTCAGTCTTATTTATACTTTGAAGACTATTTTGGAATTGGTTTTGATTCCATCAACCATGACTATAAAGTGATGAGAGTAGGCTATTTGAATCAGCAACCTGATAATGCCGGCCAAGAATAATGCCACCGTTGGTTGAGTTTAATTTATTCGATAAAAGTGGATGTTGGAGAAAGGTGGGACAGTGATCTAAAATATTTTATCCAGTGGCTTTCTTCGTCGGCTTTTGTGAATGGAGCTTGTCATTGGACAGCAAATACTGAGGAATGGCCGGGGTGGTAAATCCAACGTGAATATGTTTTTTAATCTAGCAGATGAGAAGATTGTCTTATTGAATGAAGCAAGTAGTGTTTCAAAGGAGCATTCCTCTCATGTTACTGGTCTACGCAGGCGCAAAAAGGGAAAGAAGAAGAAAAGGAAGAAGATTATGGAGATGCCTGAAATAGTGGATGAAGAAAATAGAGTTTTGAAGGGAGATGGATCCATTTCTAGTACTACGTCGTGCAATGTTGTAAATGGAAATAGAAAAATGATTTTTCCTTTTTCACTCCTAAAAATATTATTTGACTGCTTGCATTTTTAAATGGGTTAAAGGTTCACATATCACTTTATTGTTTTAAATATTTTAACTACATCACTCTGCTAAATATTTTAACTATCGTGTTCATTTATTTTTAATTATGTCCGTATTTAATTTCTTTAATTATTCTTTTAGATAATCAAAATAATTTTTATTTTTTTATTTTTTTTGTTATTTTTATCTTCACTGTCTAAAAAAGTAATTATAGATATAATTAAAAGAAAAAAATTTAATAGTTAAAAATTTTAATATATTTAGATCCATTAGTACATTTGAAACAGACATGGTGGATAAATAACCCATTTAGAAATTAAGTTCCCAGCCCATTGTTACAAGGAAACCATGTAATTAGATAATTTTAGGCTGAACAAATTGAATAAATGGGCCAATCTAAATCCATGAGAAGAGAAATGGGCCAATATAATTATGACTATATTAAAAAGGAGAAAGGAAAAAATGGGCTTAAGAAAAGTCAAACCTAGAAATTAAGCCCAAACACATCTTAATTTATCACTAAGGAAGAAAACAAAGTGCTTGAGATCTAGAGTTGACGCAGAAGGAGAGAAGAGAGACCGACGCAAAAGTAGGAGGAGAAGATGTCGGATTATCTCCCAGAAGACGTCTTGATAAATATCCTAGTAAGATTGCCAGTCAAGACATTATTGCGATTCAGGTGCGTTTGCAAAACATGGCATTATTTAATCTCAAGTTCTTCTTTCATAGCCCACCATCTCAATAAAGCCACCATTAGAAACAATGACCTGCTTTTCTTCAAGTATCAGTCTAAGGGAGATGGTCTTCGAAACCGCTGTTTTTTATACCCAGATAAGGATTTTCCTGAATGCAATGGACAGGAACTTGGTTTCCCATTTGAGACGCTGAAAGTTCCATATCCTAGTATTTGTTACAACAAGACTCACCTAGTGGGATCGTGTAATGGATTATTTTTTATATATCATGTTTATTATTATAAATCTCAATATGTTCATACCCCTGCTCTGTGGAATCCTAGTATTAGAAAGACTGTCCCTATTCCTACGCCAACTGCTAATTTTAAGTCTCCTGGATTCATTGACGACGATTTTGGATTTGGTTTTGATTCCATCAACCATGACTATAAATTGGTGAGAATAGGATATTTGGAGACTTGGATTAATTACGAGGTTAAGGAGACAAAATTGCCGCCATTGGTTGAGGTTTACTCGTTCAAGAGTGGATGTTGGAGAATGGTGGAAAATGATCTGAAATATTTGATTAAGAGGGATTCAAGGTCTGCTTTCGTGAATGGAGCTTGTCATTGGACTACTGTAAGTTCCCGAAACAGAAAGAGGTTTACTGCACTGAATGTGATTGTGTTTTTTGATTTAGCATATGAGAAGATTGGGGAAATGGTAGTTCCAGATTGTATAGTTTCTAGGGAAGGTATAGTTTCTAGGGAAGCTATGGACTTGACTGCTGCTGTTTTTGATGGATTGCTCTCACTGGTTGCCTCAGGGAGACGGTACTATGGTGAAGGAAGTTGTTCAATTTGGCAAATGAAAGAGTATGGTGACGCCAATTCTTGGATCAAACTTCTCAATATTGAACATTTGATATACAATGTATACAATTTTGTTGGATCTAAGAAAAATGGTGAGGTGTTTTTAGCTGGTGGTGGAGAGCTAACTTCTTACTCCGAGACCAAAAATGGGAGTTGTAGAATTCAGGGCACTAAAATCAGGGGCTCTACAGGCCCATTTTATTTGGAATCTTATGTGGAGAGTCTTGTCTTATTGAATGAAGCAAGTTGGATGTCAATTGAGAATCCTTCTCCAGGTAATGAAGGGAATAGAGTTTCAAAGGAGCATTCTTCTCATGTTGCTGATCTACACAAGAAGGAGAAGGAGAAGAAGAAAGGGAAGAAGAATATGGAGAGTCCAGAAATGGGGGATGAAGAAAATAGAGTTTTGGAGGGAGATGGTTCTAGTTCTAGTACTACTTAATGAAGAAATTGCCCAAAGAACTCCATTCTTTTCCTTTTTCAATAAGCTCTTTTTCCTTTTCATTCCTCATGCACAGAGAAGTAGCAAAGGGCCTCAAGATAGTATGATTTCGGTGCAAAAAACAGGATAGAAAAAGAGGAGAAGAAGAATGGGAAAAGGAAGACGGAGAGTGATGATGAATTGGGAGGGAAGCATAATTGGAGTGCCAGTGCAGACACTGCTAAAAAGGAAGCGCCAAAGGAGCTGCCTTCTTCTGGTTTTGGATTTATGTTTTGAGCTCTTAGATGTTTTAAGCTATTAGATTAATCTGTCAGTTCTTGAGTTTACTGTCCTTACTCAACATAAGTTCTTGAGCTTGTCTTAGTCTATTGTCATTTCTAATAACAACAATAGCGAGTATTGCCTGTTTTTAACATGTTTTGCTCGACATAACACGAGCAACCTCTTACTACAGAACTGTAGGAGGTATTAGTGACTTTTTTATTACGAAATTCATTGAAAAGGTAAAGGAAATGATGGGCTTAAGAAAAGTCATACCTTGAAATTAAGCCCAAACACATCTTAATATGTGGGTATAGCTACATATTTTCTCTTCGTGGAATGCTGGATATTGAGGTCCAAATTTGTTATTTCGTCACAAGTCTTCTAGGTTTTCACTGGTGATTTCAATACCAAACGTTCCTTTAAACTAGAATATAAATGCGGCGAATGGTGTGTGTTGCTTCCATAAGAACAAGAAAACATGAATCGATCATCAAGACACCAGAATTTAAAGATCAAAACGACCCTTAGGAAGAACTGTGATTTGTATTGTCTTTTGCGTTTGCAATGTACATGGTCCATCGGCCGTTGCATAATCTAAATCGAGTGCTCAAAATAAACTAGAAGTACCATAGTTGTAGGTATATTTAAGTCTTATCTTCTTTTTAGTAAGATTTTTAGGTTAATGTCTTGTAGCATGGGGCATCAGCGCCATTAGACAAGATAGAACTTACATCGCAACAAAAAGCACGGCATTAGAAAAGAGAAAGGAAAGGAGCATTCACAATCAAAATAAGAGAAAATCTCAGCAACCATCCATCCATCAATAAAGAGAAAATGTTTTCAGGTAATTATAAGGACTATTGCCCTCCATGTAAAGATGTGGCAAATAACTAATAACTTCTGAGGGTGGGTAAGATGAAAGCAACACTACAGCAAGACCAAAATTTAGTCAGTGGCACCGATCTGTTGCAGCAAACTAAGTACATTTCTCAGAGAGAGATGTTTGTTGCAAGAACATGTTACATTGTCAAGTCAAATGAAAAGACACTTCATTACAAGAATACGTTTTGCATTCATAACCTAATAATGTTTGTTATCCGAAGCTGTTCCACTCAACCTCTTCTTAAAGAACCAGGAATGGCCATTACTTTCCCCTGTTATGTACAGAAATATAATCGTTAGAAATGACTTACTTTCCCCTGTTATGTACAGAAATAAAATCATTAGGAATATGAGAGAGATAAGAGTTTAGATTCAACATACGTGTTCATCATCAGAGTAATGTTGTCTCCTTTAAGGAGAATCCTTCCTGTAAAGCATAAAAGATAGATTTCACGAGCATGCACAAATAAAAAAGAATAGGAAAAGGATTACGAAAGGGAATTGCCTAATGTCTTTCTGCTCTTTTTCTTGACATTGACTTCCTCGGCATCATCCAAAACCAAATTCATATACTCATCGAAGCCCTGCCAACCATAAAAATGCCAGGGTGACTAAATTTTATATTACATAGATTATGCAGCATATCAAAGAGTTGTGAATGTTAAAATTGTAATCAAGAAACTTATAGAATATTATCCACCCATATGAACTCTTTAAATATAAATACCATGCTCCTCAGTATTTGCTTAAGCATATATATATTTGCCAACAGAATATCAAGACTTCCATATATCGAATCAACCCAAATAAACTTTTGTTTGTCAGTACAAAACTTACAATAATTCGGCCTTCAATCCTCAAATCCTTCTGCTCAAAAAGCCAAATCTGAATGCGAGCTTTCTGTACCCACAAAAATAGAAAGAAAAGAAAAATCAGCTTAAAATTCAATACCCATTAACCAACAACACAAATTAAGCATACTCAGAACAGAAAATCAGTAAAACAAGGCAATCAGTCACTTACACTTTGAAGAAACCTGAAAATCAAGTTCTGAAGCAGCAGAAATTCGCAATAAGAACAAAAGAAAAGATTATGTAAGCAAACATTAAAAACCCTAGAAAGGAAAAAAGATAGTGAGAAGTAACAAGACGTACAATGGGTTGGGTCATAATACGCTGGACTTTGGTGCTCGCCATGGCTGTGAAGCTCTCGAGGGATTTTGAGCACAAAAAATTAGACGCAACTAGAAAAAACCAACAAAAAAAAAATGCATAAAGTGACTTGAAATTTCCAAACCATCAGCTGAAAGACAAAACTGAGCACAAAAAGCCGAAAGGATACATCATAAAAATCAAGCGTAACCAAAACATGCTCTTTTTTTTTTTTTTTTGGTCTTAAAGTACATACAAGTAGTTGATATGAGAAACCATTAAATCAAGCTCCAATACTGAGATCAAGTACGATGAGGAAAGAAAATTAAAAAAAGAAATGGCGAAATCATATTACAATGATCGAAGCGAACAAACAATTAATTGAAGTCCGGGAATTATCTAAGTCTTACCGTGAAGAGAAGCAGAAAGCGGAGGCTCCTCCTAGTAAAAACAGCAGCGAGCTAGGGTTTCCAGAGACGGGAGATGATGGATAATACTGGTGTTTTGTTTATATGTGGCTAGGTGCGATTACGGTTTTACCCTCGGGATTTAATTAAAGTTGAGCCTTGCTTTTACATTGTTGCCCGTCTTATTTTGTCTATGAGCAAACTATTATTCTACGCGCAAACCATTGAATATTCCAGACCTATTAAGTTTCGGAATCACTAGTTTGATGTTGGCGCGATATTATAGGTCGGATAGAATTAAATATTTTAATTTAATATCTCACATTATGTTATAGATGTTTTAAAATATATTAAATAAAAAATAAATAAATAACTCAAATATAGTAACTTTTTAATCACAATCTTGCATTTAACTGATTGTGTTTTTCATAAATTTTTAATTAAAAAAAAACATGATTTGTTATTTGGTACATATTAAATAAAAACCTATAACTATATAAATTGAAACTTGAATCCATAATTTAAAAAAAAAACTAAATATTTTTTCCATAAAGTTGTATGGAAAAATAAAGCTACAATTACTAGGAAAAATTTTTTTTTAACAAATAATAAATAAATAAATAATTTTTTCTTATTTATTATTGATAAGAAGATTATATATATATAGATATTCAATCATAAAATAATCAATAATATAGCATTAGAAACTATTTTTTAATAATTGGGTGATTATTTTAATTATTTTATTAAAAAAATTTAAAATATCTAAAAGAAAAAAAATACATTGTTCTATTCAAAACATTCAACGGATAAATTATATTAACATATTTTAAAAAAAGTAATCAAATTTGGAATTTTATTAAAAATTTCATATATTAAGAAAAATAAATCATTTTTTTAACAAATAAAATTATATAAAAATTATAAAAATTAATTGAATCTTTTCATAGAAAAAATAACAAATCCAAAAAATCATCTTAAATTTTGAATGCAAACAAACTTCATAACTATTCGTTATAATCTAAATAAATTGCTTGATGCCTTGGGCTTGCCGATGCAAGCTTGCACCTTTGGGCCTGGAGGCCCAAGGAACAAACCTGTAGAAACAGAATCGGTTGCCCTAGCCCGGCCATATATAAGAGGAAAAGAAAAAAAAAAAAAAAAGGCAACGTGTCATCTGCTTCCACACAGCAGTGAAACTCTTAAGTGAATTTTTTTATTCTTGTTTAAAAATTAATAAATAATTTTTTTATTCTTATTTAATACTTTTTAAAAAATTAAAATTTTAAAAATATGTACAAAAATATGTACATCTGATTTTTATTTATTTATTTATAAAAGAATCAATAATATTAATATAAAAATATAAATTTTATTTTTTAATTATTTATTTATTTTAAAAATTATTCATAAATCTATAAATAGAAAAAAAAATAAATTATATTTATTAAAAAATAAAATTATATAAAATTAATTTAATATAAATTTTTATAAAAAACGACAAATCGAAAAGATCAATTTTAAATAATAAGAATACTATAATTTAATACATATGTTTATTATAAGATCTGAAAATATATCATATATATATATCATAATCATCCATTAGTATGGAAAACTGAAAAAAAAAAAACAATTGATTTTTTATAATTTTACACTAAATTCAATTTTAAATAAAAATTACTGAAAAAAAAAAAAACAAAATTGGAGTTTTTGAAGTGCCCCTCCGGAATCTCCTCTAGCTAGCCTTCCCCCCACTTGAAGTCAATCCCAAGGATAGCTAGCCCAAGAAGATTGACCCATTGGGGAAATGGTCCGAGCCCATTTTCTTTCTTCGCTTTCTCTTTTTTTTTTTTTTTCAGTCTTAAATATTCTAATATCCTATTTTTTGCAACACGAAAAATAAGATTCATACAAATCTTTTAGTTTTAGTATAATTAGTCTATTTTTAGTTAGACTATAAAGATAATTTTTTTATTTTATAAAAAGAAAATTTTAAATTAATTACTGAAAATTAGTTTAAAAATATCACTTTTATCGTAGATGTCTAAAACAAATAAAAATGATGAGGTTAGACATCATAATCGATTTAACTACTATCACAACCTCTATTCTCTCCTTCTCCAATTTCAAGCTTTTTTTCATCATTTTCATTGTCTTTTTCAAGGTATTTAGATAATTTTTTTTATCGTGATTAATAATAGATTATGATAATATATTAATGATTATTGCAATCGATATTATGAATATATTATCAAGTTAATAGTTGTTAATAAATCTATCTATGACAGTTTAATATCATAGGATAATATTTGAATTTTAATAAAAAATAAATTAATAATATTTTAATAGTTCAATATCACATAAAAAATAATAAAATATAAAGAATTATTTTTTTAAACAACGATTGTTATTTACCAAAAAAAACATCATTATATAACAGTAACAATATATAATATGATTATTTATACTAAACCCTATTATATTTTTTAAAAATGCGTATAATGATAACAAATATATCGGAAAGCGTTAAATGTATCTATTATATTAAATAGTTATTTATGGCAATACAGTATCCCACCTTTTATTTTGTTCAAATAAGTCCTCCATCTTTTTAAAATTGAACAACAAAGTGCAAAAGACAACGGATGTTAGTTTTGGTGCCATTTTCTGTTATCTCATTACATTTTAAGGCTTGCGTCATACACGGATCCCTTTCTCTCCGGCTTCCCCCACTAAACGTGAGAAGGCAAGGCAAGATTGCCCTCACCACCACAGGCATCAACACCACTCGCCAGTAGCTGCGGTCAGGTCATCTCAAGCATATTTACAAGCCCAATCGCTTTTCTTGGTATCTATCTATCTTTCTATATTTTCTTCGACTATAGGTTGCGGATTCTGTCATTTGCCAATAATGCCTGTTATGTGTATGATGAAATGCCACTGATAAAAATTTGATGCTTTCTTACCTTTTTTCTAGTGTTCTTGTCATCAATTCCATGTGGGGTCTAAGTATTTAAGTTGGTTTTGTTTAGGAATCTCGGATCAGATACTATCCTCCTCCGTCTTCTTCATTGATTTGTGCTTTAACCAAATGGGGTTGTGCTTTCCTTCAACACCCAAGAAATTAGGCATGACTATAGGATTATTTGCTTCTGGAGCTGCTCTATTTGCTGCTGGCTTGCATCTCTCTTATGTCAACATTGCTCCTCAACAAGCTCGCATCAAAGCTCGAAATGATTTTGTCAGAGACCGATTAAGAAAGAAATATGGCAAAGAATAGAAAGTACTTTCTACTTTTTCTGTCTTAGCAACAAGATCAAACATTGTCAAATTTTTTAATATTGTTGTTATTTTATATTTTTATTTTTTCGTGTGAGGAAAAAAAAAGACACATTTTGAAGAATAATTTGTGCTTGCTAATCTAAGGATAGCTTTCTCAAATAAATATGTGATGTAGTATTAGTATCTATATTGGATTTTTTTGGCTATTCTATTTCTACCTTGTTAATGGTACGAAAATACATCCATTTTCTCTGCATCGAACTAATTATGATACTATAATTAAGAATGATAATAGGTCGGATATAAAATAAATATTTATTTTATCCGATTCAATAAATATTTATTAAAAATATTCAATAAGTAATGATATAGATAAGGATAAAAAAATACATATTTACTAATATGATTTTAGGATATGAGTGTCTACATTTTATCCTATTAATATCCATTAATTTATTTAGATTTTTTTTATAAATATGCAAGGATCTAAGTACATAAAATTTAAAAATTAAGGATCAAAATATTTTTAAAAAAAAACTTTGAGAATAAAAAAAAACTTATAAATTAATGACCAAAAAAAAAAAAAAGAAGAAGAAGAAAGGGTTAAAAAAATTATAGAGACTAGAATGAATATTTGAACAAATCAAATTTAACGGGTATTAATAGGCATTAGATGGGTGGGTTCTTAGTATGGATTAGATAAAGATTTATATGATGATTTATTAATAGATAATACATAAAGTATTCTTTTGACGAGTAGGATAAAAGTTTAAATTAATAGATGGAGTATCTATCTATTGTCATCCCTAACTATAATCGAATAAAAACAACATGTAAAAAGAATGACTGAAGCTAAATTCTATTAATGATAAGTAAATTTAAATATTCAACAAGGTCTGGATATTAATAAAATCCATCTTATTTATAGTATTAGTATTTTTTTTTTAGTATAATATTTTAGTAGATTTTGCCATACATATTGTTCTTATAGTACAATAGTTCTATACCATATTGTGTTTGGAATAATAGTAATTAGTAAAAAAAAAAAAAACCTATAAAAGTAAAACAATTTTTAATAGTCCAAAAATTTTAATTTTTGGATTTTATAAAAAAAATTCTTAAATACTTTGTTTCCATGTATACATAGAAATGAAATTAACTCATATCAAGTGAAGATTAAAGGAATGGATCAATGCATTTCGTAGTACAATGATATTCTTGCAAATTATTAAGTTAAGAAACAGAACTGAATTTTTTATTTTTCATTTTTTTTTACTCACAAAGCAATTATATATATGTGGACTCATAAAGCAATTAGATTTATAAAGAGAAATCACACAATTCTTTTCTCCCATTTTATTAATAATGAATACAAATCACACAATTTCTCTTATTTTTTTCATTAATATTATGCATTTAGATTTGAGATCTTCATTCAGATGTGTCAAATACAAACCTTAAAATGGGTGAGAAAAAAACTACCTTTTTTATGCAACTCAAGACCTATTAAACCGTCTATTTAACCCAAAAATACTAATAAAAAAATAATTATCCATTGAGGAAAATTCCAGTGAGAAAAAAATTCAAAATACATCAAATTATTTGTGAATTTTTTTCTTTGACTTTCACTTTAATTGATAAAAAAAATTATTACCAAAAATAAATAAAAACAAAACGTGGAATGGGAAAGTTACGAAACGGCACAACTTTAGCGAAAGCGAGATTTCCTCCCGTTACCTTATCTTCCTCAAAAAGGAAGAAAATTTTGGTTCTTATGCCTCTCTCACCGATTCACATTCCGCCGATACGTTTCCGATACTCCAAAAGCTTTGGACTCTCGCGTTCCGGATCGGACACCCGAAACCGCCGAATCCCATAACAACTTTTCGGCTCAACTAACCCGGTATTCCGGTTTCGGGCAGTTCCTTCTCAAAGTAAGTACTCCCGTTTTTCCATGATCAGACTAGAAAGTTTGAATCTTTATCAGTTTCGGAAGTTTAATCGAGTGAGTTGATTTAACAGTTCAGCTTGAAAGCAGAAATGGGTTGTGTTGTTTTGGTATTGAAACTGCTAATCATGATTAGTTTAGTAGTAATTGAGCTTAATTATGGTAGATATTGGTGTTATTGCAAAATGTAATTGAAGAAAGTTTCATTTTTTATGATTGCTTGATTCTTGTTTTTAGTTAGTTATTGGGTTATTGATGTTTTCTTTGAAGTCAAGTGTGTTAGGTGGAACTGGAGGCTTAGAAGTTGATAGTTTTTTGGACAGTTTCCGAGGATGCAATTTAAGGATCATAACCATGTAAGGATTTAATATATTTGATTATTTTTTAGCTTAAACATTAAGTAACTGTGGTTTTCTTAGCATTTGAGTTTTCACTTTTGATACATTTTTGAAATCCAGAACTTGGCACCTCCTAGAGCAACTGATCCTGGATGGGCTCATGGGACTATGGTTAATGGGGGTAGGCAAAAAATCAAGTGCAAATACTGTCAAAAGATTTTTCTTGGCGGCGGAATTTCTAGACTAAAGCAGCATTTGGCTGGAGAAAGAGGGAATGTAACTCCATGTGAAGTGGTACCTGAGGATGTTAAAGTTCAGATTCAACAGCATTTGGGTTTTAAAGTTTTGGAGAAGCTTAGAAAGCAGAAAGAAGCAAATAACAGCAAGAATTCGTATTTGTCATACATTCAGGATAAGAAAGGAGATGAAGATGATGATGATGATGATGATGCAGGGCCATTGCAAAAGATGGCTATTAGGAGAAGGGGTAAAGATGTGTTGGAAGTGACATCTAATCGAACCAAGAGACGCAAGAAACAACATGTGCCAATGGCTGTTCCTGTTGTTGCTCAACCTATGCTCCAGAATTTTGCTTCCCAAGAGAGCATTGACCAAGCTGATATTGCTGTTGCAAGATTTATGTACGAAGCTGGCATACCGTTGAGTGCTGCAAATTCGTATTCTTTTCAACAGATGGCTGATAGTATTGCTGCTGTAGGCCCTGGCTATAAGATGCCTTCTTATAATGCTTTAAGGGGAAAATTGCTGAATAGAAGTGTCCAGGATGCAGGAGAACATTGCACTGAACTGAGGAAGTCTTGGGAAGTGACTGGATGCTCGGTTTTAGTTGATAGGTGGATGGATAAAATTAATCGTGCAGTTATAAATTTTTTTGTTTATTGTCCCAAGGGTACCATGTTTTTGAAATCTGAGGATGCGACAGACATTACAAAATCAACAGAGGGACTCCTTAATCTATTTGATAGCATTGTTCAAGAAGTTGGTCCCAATAATGTTGTCAATTTTGTGACAGATACTTCTCCCATTTATAAAGCTGCTGGAAAACTCTTAGCAGAGAAATACAAGACCTTTTTCTGCAGCACCTCTGGAGTACAATGCATTGACTTGATGCTTGAGGAAATTTCAAAGAAGGATGAAGTAAGGGATGTCTTAGCAAAGGCTAAAAGAGTAACTCAATTCATTTATAACAATGCTTGGGTCCTTAATCTGATGAGGAAGAAAACAGGTGGAAGAGATATTATCCAACTTGCAAGAACAAGGTTTGCTTCCATCTTTTTGACACTGCAAACAATTGTATCTTTGAAAGGCCATCTTGAGCAGATGTTTACCAGCAATTCATGGATGAAGTCACCTTTTACTAAGCAAAGAGCGGGAATTGAGGTGGCAGAAATTTTGGTGGATCAACTTTTCTGGTCCAAATGTGACCATGCTTTGAATGTTGCAAAGCCCCTGCTTTCTGTTTTATACCTCATGGACTGTGAAGATAGACCATCCGTGGGATATGTTTATGATGCGATGGAGAAGGCAAAGAAAAGTATTATTGCAGCATTTGACAATATGGAGTCTGACTGTGCATCATACTTGAAGATTATTGATCATATTTGGCAAGAGGAATTCCATAGCCCTCTTCATGCAGCTGCATGCCATCTCAACCCAGCTGTATTCTATAATACCAGTTTCTCCTCCAACAAAGTCATTCAAAAAGGTTTACTTGATTGCATAGAAACCTTAGAGCCTAGTTTATCTGCTCAAGTTACAATCACTAGCCATATAAAATACTATGAGGAAGCTGTGGGGGATTTTGGTCGACCTGTGGCCTTACGTGGACGAGAATCACTAGCCCCAGGTATTTGTCCATTTCAAAATTTGTATAAGTTCTTATATAACCAAGTACTAAATAAGTTTGTCTATTTATACAGCTACTTGGTGGTCGCTCTATGCAGCAGATTACCCTGATCTGCAGCGCTTAGCTGTCAGGATATTAAGTCAGACCTGCAGCATCATCACATCTGAGAGGAGCTGGAGTATGTTTGACTGTATCCAATATAAGAAGAGAAACCGATTGGAGCAGCAAAGGTTAACCGACCTCACATTTGTTCACTATAACTTGTTCCTTAAAGAGAGGTAATTTTCGTTCTCCTCAGCAGTTTCATCACTGCTGTTCTGTTGGATAATAAACCGGAAGCTCTGTCATACTAATCACAACATTTGCTTTCATGGGTCTGAAAAATGAGTGAAAATCTCCACAAATTGATTCTATGTGTTCAATTTTTGTGTTCCTTAGATTAAGCTTTTTGGATTGATTGTTATCCTTTAATGAAGTCATAATGCCAATTTCATTACAACTGATCAACCTTAGTTCCTACACATTTTCATAAGGTCTTTCAAAGCTTTAGTGGCATTGAAGAGAAGGATAATTTATTAAACAACTTTCTTGTGCCATTTATCCGAGTTGATTAGCTTTTCTAAGGACTCTTGTTGTCATCCTGCTATCATAGTACACGACATTTTACGCTCTTGTGATGCCCTAGTCTTGAGTAGTCTTCTCCTTGAAAGTAATATGTCGAATGCATTTTTTTTTCTCTTTTTTCCATGCAAGCAGGCGAGCTGAGGCAACTAAATCCAGGTTTATGAGAAGCAACCTTGATCCTACGTGCTTAGAAGCTATGGATGCCAATATGGGAGACTGGGTGGAGGACTTGGAAGCCACAGAGGCTGAAGACTCAATCTGGCTAGATGTAACAATCACCAGTGAGCAAGTTAATCATGAAGTACAAAATACTGATGATTCTAACGAGAGTACTAATGACAGAAGCAGTGATCTCACAAAAGGTCTTGATGGAGATGATGATTTATAGTGACCACTTACTTTTTCAGAGTATAGCAATTGGAGAGATCATATAATTGTCTGGAATCTATTTGTGAAACTAGGTTCATCCATGTAGCAAGAATTGCTAAATTAAGGGAATTATACCGATTACGTTGAATGGAAATTTGCGAAAAGGTAAGAATTTTTACAAAGCTATACATGGATCTTGTATGTGCCTAAATTCAAATTTTTTTCTGCAAATTCAAAATAACTTAGCTTCCAACTCAGATTATGCCTACTTTCTTTTATGTTAGGTGAGACATTTTTATGTTGGGCTGCGTAGCCCCATGGGAAGGTGTTGCATTGTTTGACTTTGCGCATCTAGATAGTTAGGTTGAAAGAGATGGCATCTTTGTTAGAACTTACTACTTCACCAGTAAGTTCAATATTTCTTTCCAAAAATTGCCAGTGAACTCCCTTTTCCTTGTATCAGCCCCTTTCTTCTTCGATTTTTAGACTCAAACCAAAGGATATTCCATTTTGGGAAAACAAAATTTTGATACGATAAATGCACAATTATTGGAGAACATTAGCAGGCGAATTGAACCTGACCATATGGATACATGATGGAGCACCTAAGGTTGTACCTCAATTAACGTCTGCATCTTGTTTTTTTTTTCGGTCGTGAAGTGAAACCTATTCAAGCATCAAGCATGGTTTAGTTACATTCCCCGATTTCTATAAGCTTCTACTGGTTTTAGTATCCATCAGACTGAGAAAGTTCCTATTTCAATAGCAAATTAAGAGACAAAATTTCTTTTACCTCATTTAGTCACCATGTCCATTGCCTGTATAACATAAGCTAAAAGAAAGACTTGGAAAAAGAAAAAAGCATAACTGGAAAGATGATAGTCGGAAAATTATCGTTGCCGAAGTGATGAGAGGACTACATCTTGAAGGGAACTGTCTCTCTGCATTGCAGCTTTGAACTCATCAAAGGTGACTTTTCCATCACTGTTGGCATCCATCCTATCGAATATTTCGTCTAGTTTCCCTGGTTCTGTAATATCTGCTGGGAGGCAGTCCTCGGGCAAAGCCTGCTCAATTGAACATTCTATATGTCATCTAAATCTTGGAAGCAGTTTAAACTTTTCAAGCTACAAAAACTGTTAGGGAAGCAGCTTACTCTGAGCATCGATGCTACTTCTTCCTTCGTGATGCACCCAGATCGGTCTGTATCATACATCTGTTGGCCAAAAAAGCAAAAAGGAAAATCAGCTTAGCTTGATAGGTTACTTCTTGATGTTGCAAAATGGAAGGATATCAGGGAAGAGAGTGTACCTGGAAGCACAGACGGAGAGCATCATCTCCTTGAGAGTTCCTGAGGCTGGAGAAACCACATAGTATCTCCCTCATGTCAACTGTTCCATCGCGGTTGTTGTCAAATAGATCGAAGATGCGGGGTGCCATTGGGATCAGGGATGACATGTTCATCGCTTTCAGCACCTCCTCGAATTCGGATAGAGTAGCATTATCACCTTTTGCACACCTGCACATATATATTTCTCGATTAGAATATGGAAGATTGATGATAAGGCAACCGAAACTCATGCCAGATTGATTCTAAAGCTTTGTATGCAATTTATCAGCAGTTTGAGCACTTAGCAAATTAAGCACTCACAATTTGGAAAAATGTATCCTGAGTTTCTCAATTTCATCCTCCTTAAGGTCATGTGACCCTAGTAAAGATTTTAACTTCTTGGTTCTTAAGAAAATGGTGCTAGTCCACACACTAGCTATTGCTGCAGCACGGAGTTTGCGGCGCGCATTAAAGCTCTGCAGTCTCGAGACAATCTCCGGGTCCATTTGTTCCTCTTTTGCCGAATCTCCTATCACCCAAGGATGGCTTAGAACCTGTCACCATATGTAGTGTGTTCTGTTAAATTTGCTGAAGTGGAGACTCTGAATAATAATAATAATAACAGTAGTAGTAGCAGCAGCAGCAGCAAGAGATTGATCCGTTTAAGGGTTTAAGAATCATTACATCTTGAGCACTTGGTCTTCTGTCAGGATCAACTTGCAGGAGATCAGTAATCAGTTGTTTTGCTGATGAAGTAATGTTCTTCCAGGTCTTCTCATAGAAACTGAATTCACCCTGCAGAACAAAGCATTTTTCACTTTCAGAACCGTGGAACTTGTACGATAAGCCAGACAATGAAGAAAATGATCTAGCTTTGGTGAAGGCGAAAAGTAGCAACGTACAGCCAGTATCATTTGTTGTTTCTGCTTGTTGGATTGAGCAATGAACGGTGGATACCTGATATATCGAAGAAAAAGAACAAAGAACTTGAACCGAAAATCGGGATCTTGATTTGCTAATTTACAGCAACAATATGATAGGCATACAATCTGAGAGGCACAAGAAAATTAACTTACCCTGAGAGCAGAATATACAAGATTACTCCCAAAGACCACATATCAGTTTTAGAGCTAATTCTGCCTTGAGAAAGAGCTTCTGGTGAGACATAATCAATGGAACCAAACAACCCAACAACCGGATCGGTGAATTCTTCGACAGAACTCAGCCCAAAGTCCATAATCTTCAAAGTAGAATCATTATTTTTACTCAAGAAAAGACAGTTCTCTGGCTTCAAGTCTCTATGAACAATATTAGCCCTGTGAAGAGCTTCCAACCCTTCTGCAATCTGCTTAACTACAGCTGCTGCTTCAACCTCCGAGTACTTGTCTTTAGCCACTATCCTGTCAAACAGCTCTCCACCAGAACAAAGCTCCAACACTAGATGCACCCCATTTTGATCCTCATAAACATCATAGAGGTCGATCACATTCGGATGCGGCGATACATTCTCTACTATCTTTCTCATAACCAATATTTCATTTGCAAGTAAAGCATCAGACACAGAAACCTGCCTCCATGTCGGAAAGTTCAAGGAAGCAATGCTTCGCTCACTGCCTCCACTAGACCTAGGAATTCCTGATGGAATTGATGGGCCTAATCTTTTCAGTGTCTTGATGGCTACCTGCCTTCCATCTTCGCTTGACTTCAGTATCCCTCTCCTGACAACTGAGAATCCACCTCTTCCAAGAATGTCTGAAACTTCATATTCATCTGAAAGTTTTCTTGTTTCCTGTCCCATCAAAACAATTTCCTGGAAACTAACTGCAAAACACACAACAGAAATGGAATCTTGAAGACTTAGAATTTGCAGACAAAAACAAATAAGGGCAAGGACTGGACAGGTTGCATTCAATGATAAGGGAGAGAAGAGACAAAGTTGAAACGCGGGTTCGTGAAGGATTGACATCAGCTTGAGAAGGGTTTTTCCATTAGTTTATGGTATAAAATATGATGAAATTCATATAGAAACAAGAGAATAAATTATAAGAGATAAGAGCTGAAGAAAAACAGACACAAAGACAAGGTCAAATAAACCTTAATTATTATTAGTATAGTGAGCTTCCATATCTATCTTCAAAGTTCTTTTTCTTAAACTCAAATTAAGCTTTGTTCATCTCTCCATACCATGGGCTGTTTGTTATTATAGTTTTGCATAATATGTTTCTTTTTTCTTTTTTTTGGGTTAATGTCTCAATCTGTTATATAATGTAATTTTTCGATCTGTTATTATATTTTTAGTTGAGTCAATTTAGTAATGAACATACATTTAAGTTTTTAATATAGTTTTTTTTTGACAATTTTTGCAAGCAAAATCACCATAATAAAAAACATGATTTGCACATTGTTATTTTTTATTTTCAAAATATCCTTACAAATCAAGCAAATAAAAGATTTTTATTTGCATATCATGTGACTAATTCTAGTAGTTTAGCTTGAAAGCTTTGCCAAAAAGATAGATTAGATACTTAACACTTCGCTCAATTAGAAAAATAAAGATATATTAAAACATTATCCTATGATATAAGAACAGATTGAATCATTAATCCATTTTTTTCTTTCTTTCTTTCTTTGGTTCAAGGCAAGAGTTTAATATGAAATTAGAGTCTTGGTCAATCTAAAATTTAAAGATTGAAGGTTTATGATTCTTGCAAATTGATTTTTTTTTTAAAAAAAAATAACAATTTTTAAATTATGACTAACAAAAAGTCATTTACTATATAAGTAATACCTAACAGAACCTAAGTTTTGACATTTTCATTACCACCTTAATTAATAAATAAATAAAAATCACCTTTTCTACAATTTTAAGAAGAGATTTTCAAATGCTTATATTATCTTTAAGTTATATAATTATATTTTTAATGTTATGGCATTTCACTAAAATATACAATATGTATTGTTTATATATATTATTTATGTTATATTTCTAAATGTTTGGTCACACTCAAGAAAATCAATAAACAAATGAAGTTTGGTCTCATTCATTGTATGCGAACTCAAGTCTTGAATTTGCTTGATTATATAATGTAATCAACCACCACATATTCTTCAATTACTTGTAGGTCGAGTAAATTGTAAATTAGTCCCTCCAATCTTAAGAAACAAATTAATTAGTCGCTCTATTTCATAAACTAATTATTTAATTTTTTTTCATTTTATGCTCTTTTCTATTATTTTTTTTTAAATCGATATTATGGAAATATTGATGAGAAAAAATATTTTTTAAAATAAAATAATATTAAATTAAACTAATTAACCTTAGTCAAAAGATTAGATAATTAGCTTTTAAAATAAAAATAAATAATTTATAATTTACTCATTGTAGGTTTTTTGGTGTTGTGTTTTTGGTTCAGATAGAAAATTAATAAAAAAAAACTTATGAAATGATATTTTTACAATCTAAATTTTTTTCTTCAAATTAAATTAGCTTGGAAATGAATCCACAGTTAAACTTGGAAGCTCGATTTAATTAAAAATTAATTTTCATTGTTTCAAAAACTAATTCTTTAATTCTTTAACAAATAATAACCATAGTTAATTTAATATTATTTTATTCTTAAAAAATATTTTATTTTCTTCTTAATCTTTTCATAATATGAAGCACTAATCGATTCGTTTTCCAAACTAGAGGGAATAATTATAATTTACTCATGGAAACCTCCATTGGCAGCGTCTTAGTGGGCCGGGCTACAATTCTGTACGAAATCTGTCTAGGGAGATATGGACTGTTAGGTTAGATGGGCCACTGCCCAAGCCTATAGGGTCTGGGGATTCACCATACAGTCTACGGAATAAAGAAAGAAGTTTAGCTTCCTTTAATTGGGCTTTTTGTTTTCGGCAATGTATTTGGGCTGGCTTGATAGCTGTGGACATTTTTACCTAAATATGGGCTTTGAGTTAATTTTGTTTCGTAGTAGACCTTTTCTAGGACCGTTCTTTAATTAAGGCTTGGCCCAATGATGAAATAGATTCACCAATCGAGTAATAAATTAGTCCCACTCGTTTCGAAAAACGAATTAATCAGTATTTTTTAAAACTAATTATTTTAGTTTTTTATTTTAATTTTTTTTCATAATTTAGTTTTTTCATCAGCTTTATGTTAGATTAGTGATTTTTTTTTAAATTGTCTTTTTTTTTAATGCCTTATTTCTCATTTTCATCCTATATGTTTTCTCTTCTCAACCAAAAATTAAAAAAAATAAAAATTACTAATCTAACCAAAAAAAATGATGAAAGAACCAAGTTACTGATATAATTAAAATATAAAGAACTAAATGATGAGTTTTTGAAAAAAAATAAATAAATAATTTCTCTAAACGAGAGAAAAAATTAATAATTTACTCCTTCCCAATCACCATCTCTCTCTTCTTTTTTTCTAAGTTTCTAGTGATTTATTCAAGGGCATCCTCATCCTTAGAAATACGAGTATATTATAAATTAGTTTCTCTATTTTTGAAAAATGAATTAATTAGTTCTTGTTTTAAAAATTAATTATTTAATTTCTTGACCAGCACTGTTCATGTTTAATTTAATATTATTTTTTTATTTTTAAAAAGTATCATCTTTTCTCACTAATCCTTCTATATTTTTTACTTGTTTTTTATTTCCTTTGTATATTTATTAAAAAAATAAAAATAGAAAAGAATTAAGTTACAAGAAAATTTAAAAATATAGAGACTAAATAATTAGATTTTCAAAGCTCTCAAAATTAAAGGACTAATTTATAATTTAGTCTGAGTAATTTAGAGAGTGAAAAAAAACAAATTTTTGAGAATTGAATTTTATTGCAAAATTATTGCTCGACTTTCCTTAAGGTGGGTAGGCAAATGGAGGACCCATGATAAGAAGTCACTAGAATCTACATTGAATTTGACCAACTGAATCTTAGAATGGCTGGATGGTGACAAATTGTGGGAATAAGACTAGTTATAACATTTTTCTCCATTAAAAATTCATTTTTTTTATTAAAAAAAAAGATAGTCAAGATTTTGTGGAGTCTATTTTTGCATAAAAATATATGTACACGTATCTTATATGCATAAGTAGACGAACAAATCTGACTCATCACGTAAAGGAACAAAAGTGAAAAATAAAAAAATAAAAAAAAATGGAAAAAGAGGTGCAATGGAATGGAAGATGCGACGAGTGAAAAGGACTTCCTCCAATGGCAAATACCTTCAAAACCTGCCTAACTTTGACTATTCTTTTTGATGTATAGTTATCAGGATTTTCTGTCCTTTCAAACAAGATTCTTGGTCGTTTCCCCCATTTTTCTCCCCATGCCAAACAAAGAACGGGGGACCAAGTTGCCTTCTAGTGAGTTCTCATCCCTTTGTCAATGGTCGTTGATACTCATTTTCTGCCTCCAATCAAACAAACAAGCTTCAGTGCTTCAAATATAGTTGCATACATGAATTTAACTCCTCATGTCATGTCTCCAACAGGAAACCCTAGTTTCAAATCCTGAACAGGGAAGGATGGGGATGCAGGGATGGGAAAAAGCTAGCTCCATGGGAGGCTTGTTGAACCCTCCATAGGAGCTCAGCTATATGTTGGGATTGGAGTCGATCAAAAACTAGGTTGTTTAGTAGTTTTCTTTTTCTGTTTTTGTTTTTGAATGTCGTACGAGTCGAGTTTCTTTAGTAGTTCCCGTTTTCTGTTTTTGATTTCGAATATCAGATAGTCGAGCAAAAACTAGGTTGTATAGCTAGTAGTTTCTGTTCTGTTTTCGAATACCGTAGATAGAAATAGGCTTCGGGTTTTTGTTGGCATGAAATGATGTGATTGTTACCAGCCAAAGAGTGAGCATGTGTTTAATATGCAAATGTCTCTTTCTGCCAAGTTTTTGACACTAAACATAAAGCATGTTAGTGCTTGGAAATCTTGAGATGCGACAAGAGAAGTCCATAATTGATGTAAGATGTTAATGCCAGCTTTTCTAGTGCTAGAATTCCATATCTTTCTAATACCTTGAACTAGATCAAACAACTGTTCCTGTCCTGGACCACCACTGACTCTGTCTATGCCTGTCTGTGTGAGGATGTGTTGTGAACACAGGAAAGAGCATTTCTGTTCAGATACCTTTAGAAATGCTGGTCAAGTGCATTGAACAAGCTGAGAAAGTGGTGGCAATAAGGTCCCTTATAATTCAACTTCCACACAGACAAAAATAAGAAAAAACAAATTCTAATGATAACTAGCACAATAAAGAAAAAAAAGGATCGAGTAGGGAATAAATGGCCTTTTCTCAAACACAAAATGCAGCATAATGTAGCAAACCACCATATATTGATGTGTGTGTACAAATATTTAACTACATGCCAATATAAACTTTTCAACAGCAGTATTGTACATGGATTCGGTCCTTGCCAATTCTTTATTGGCCATTCTTCAATACTGCACTGAAAGCAACCTAGAAACCCTAGACTCAACAAGATAAAGTAGCAGAACAGAAACTCAAAGTTCATAAAGGACTTAAACATCTACAAACACGAACATATTAAGCTAATAAAATTCATAACGAAGAAGTTTCACCAATCTGAAGCAGAAACTGTGTCGATGACGACTTTCTTCCCAGAATGTTAGCTGCTTCCCCTTTTTAGAATTGTCCAGAACCGAGGAGAGCAGCACAGACTTATTTTGCTTCTTTCATTACACGTACCACATCCCACCATCCTGCTTTGACATTGGATCCATGGAATAGTCAACTGGTGGCATGGTGAATGGAGAGCCAAACCTGAAGTCAGCAACATTGTCGTTGACATTGGTATCAAATGCAGAATCAAATGCCTTGCAGTGATCAAACTGAATTTCTGTTGATGGGAAAACGGAGTTGTTCACTGGCATACTGGTTGCTTCGGTTATGTTGTTTCCCATCACAGCCTCTTGGCCATAGAAGCCATCATCCAGCTGAAATTGAAATTTTTGCTGTTGCTGTTGGTGTTGATTTTGACCACCAATAACATTAGCATTCCTGGGATCCAGCTGAAATTGAAATTTCTGCTGTTGTTGTTGCTGTTGCTGATTTTGGTCTCCCATAAAATTGACATTCCTCGGATCCAGCTGAATTTGAAATTTCTGCTCTTGCAGTTGTTGCTGATTTTGATCTCCAATAACATTGGCGGTCCCAGGATTCATGTTCTTGTCTCGCTGAAGATTGGTATCATAACAAGACATAAGATCAGAAATCATTTTTTGCCCATCTTCTGTAAGTCCAAGTCCTGAAACACTAAATGAAGGAGTCTGGTTTTGTGATGGAGCTGCTGGCTTAGTTTGGGGAAAAGGAAGAGAGAACACAGCTGGTTTGTCATTGTTAATTTGGAACTTAGACATTCTGAATCCTTGAGAAGCGTTAGCACGGTATGGGCAATTCATTTGATGATTGTTTCTCGCAGTAATGTCGAGAAACCCAAGTTGGGAATCGTTGTAGGGGCATTGAGGATACTCACACCTATACATCTTTTGATCAACTATCATATGTGGCTCACCAGCAGGCTGCTTCCTTTTCTGAATGAAATCCAAGTTTGTTTCAACAAGCTCTCCCTTAATTTGTGGAGCGACTGGAGGCATCATAAATCTATTTGGTCCAGTTGCGGTTGCCATGTTGAAAAGATTGACATCAAGAGGCTTGCAATCCTCCACTTCAACATTGGATTCATCATCCACTCCTTCAACATCATAATCACTGGAATCGCTGATGATAAAAGAACCACTTCCACCAGCAGACAAAGGAGGGCAGCTATCTGGATATAATTTCCGGGACAGTGCTTCTTCCTGATTAATTATTGCCAGCCAAGTGGCACTCTCCTTGGCAGTCATCTTATCCTGTAAACATTTAGACTGACGAACAAGCTTGCGGATCTTGGCAATATCAGGAGACATGTGCTTAATCACTGCTGTTAGAACACTGACTTTCCAAGCCTTCTTCAGATCATGGGGCTTCTTGTATGGAGGAGGACCCTGATCCTTGGGCAAACCCAGTTGAGGCCACCATTCCTCATTCCCTGCCGGCCACCATGGGGGGCAACACCTTTCTCCAGTGGAAAACGCCTCTGAGGTGGATCACAGTGCTGCATCAGGGCCGACAGAAGAGATCCAAGAGTTGTATCCTGGAGTTCCTGCAAGGTGTGAGGTGTGGATGCTGCTGGACCACTATCTTCACTCTTTCCAGGGATTAAATGGTCTGCCTGATACTTGGAAATAGCAGCAGGCCCATTCCGATCAAACCTGACCTTTTCCTTCCACCATCCCCGGAGATTGTCAGATGCTCCACTCACTGGCTTTCCCTTCTCAGGAATGATCCCATACACAAAACCCTGAGCTTTGCAAACTTCCATCATTTTCAGCATATATTTCAGGATACCGTCTTGTGCTCGTGACATCTTCTTCCTCCGTGCTTGCTCCTGAGACTGACGTTGTTTTGCATTATCAACAACTTCCTTATTCTTACTCTGCTCTTTAAGTCGCCTAAGCAACATTCTGTCTCTCCACATCCTCCTCTCAAGCTCATCAACATCCATCTCTTCGTCGCTGTAATCCTCCTCGATTGTTGCCTCTGGTTCACGTTCTGGAACCACATCCATTTCTCCAGGAGGAGCTGAGAAAAAGTCCAGATTGCTGCAAAATCCCATTTCCTCAAAGATTCCCATTTGAAGCACACTCAAGAGTCAAACCAGTTTTAGAAATACAACAGAAGATTGAGCTCGGTTAAGGTTAGCTCCACCTCTCTTACAATATCAATCTCCACACACAACTATCGCTTAGAAGTTTGCCTATTCTTATCCTTTGCAATTCAGGGTATGTGATGCAGAAAAGGCAACCAAAGCAAACTCCTACAAGCGAAATAAATGCACTTAAATATTAGTGAAAGTTTACACCAGTACTCTTACAGAAAATCATGTACAGTGAATCACTAAACTCTAATTTCATGTAAAACCAATAGAGTACGGAATAGCATAGACGCCATAAATTAGACTAATACCAAATCATCCAACTACAGGAAAAAAGAGTAATTGTTTTTGACGACCGACAAAGCATATATCCACCGACATAGAAATATAATCACTTGTCCACTAAGGCTCTCTTTTGCTAGACATTTGTAAAACAAGCAGATAAATAAATATGCAAACACAACATATAGTAAGCTTTATCATCGAGAGCATCCAAATCAGTTACCATTAAAACAAACAAACTTGCTTTTCTCACGCTAGGTGGAAAAATAAAATTCCAGAGATATTCAAATAAAAACTGAATAATTGTCTCAACCTGGTGTAAACTAACATCACCAAGAAGCAGACAACATAAATTCAAATCCTAAGCGGAAAACCACAGATACCAGCCTCTGCTCGGACACGTCAATAGGGTGTCTAGGCGGTGGGATATGTTTTCATATGCCGACAATTAGTATTAATTACAGCTAAGCACACCTAAATTACCAAAAACAAACCAATAATAATGATAAGAAATTAAATACAATATCTCAAAACCCCATTTTACATGTCAAAATATCTCGAAAACACAATAATTTTTTGAATTAAAACACAGCAATCAGCAACTTAACTATAAGTGTAATTACAAAATCAGTAATAGGGTACCATCTTCACTAATGATCACCATAAAATAAAAGCAAAACTTTTTAGGGCCAAATATATCGTACTATAAACCTCAGATCTGCCTGAAACTGTATTATGTAACACCATTAACAAATAACACTAAAACAGAAAATGATTAGTTATAGCTTATTAAACAAAAAAACTTCCAGCAAAATTGTTTAACATGTAAGCAAAGAAAAAAAGAAACTCACTTTTTAAATAATAATAACACTGCAACAAAATCTGATCTCGGTTCTTTTAAGATAAATTTCAGACCTTTTTTATTACAGAGACAATCATAAGAAGTCTCCTAGACCCATGTTTCCTCAAAAGCTAAGCAGTGAAAGGACACAACGTACCATACTACCATGAAATAGCAGGGAACTAAAAGGGTCGTCATGATTCATGAAAAGACACAATAAAAATAAACAGAATTTCCTTCTTGTGTTTCACATAAATGACGATTAATTACTAACAAGATTAACAATTAATTATGTACAAAATTCCAGATACAGTATCATTAATAAGCACAAAAGATCAAGCAACATAATAGACCTTAATTAATCATGAACGACTTGATTTACTACAAAATTTAAGACATGGGATCCAGTGGATTTATTAATAACTACAGAAATGATGAAAAAGATTGCAACTTTACCAAGTTAATGAGTTATGGCTTTGTAATTAGAGCTACTGCAACCATTGAAGAAAGAAAGTTTCTTCCTTTCTCTCTTCCTATCCTTCTGGGGTTAAGAAGAAGAAGAAGAAGCTATCTTCTCTTGTGTTAAAGAAGATGATTGCTGTTTTGCTTACTGTTTAGAAAGAAAGAGGGAGAGAGAGGAACGAAGTGGAGACATAAAGGTTTGTTTTTTGTGTTAAATTTTTCTACTCTACTGTCCCATGAAAGAAAGAAAAGAAAATTATATAAGGGAGGGAAGGTGAGAGAGAGAAAGGTGGCACTTTGTCTGAAAGAGAGACAGATTGAAACAGTGAATTTTGGGTTTTTTGGGGTGGGTGAATTTATATAACCATGGTTAGGGTGGGTTTTAACCGTGGTTAAACCGTGGTGATGGTTGGAGTTTTGGATAATTTGGAGTTTTTTTTTTATTATTATTATTTTAGTTTGGAAAAGAGTTTACATATGGAGAATTTCTTGGTGTGCGTATTCACACTCAAAGTATGGTGTTCTATGGTTATGTAGTGAGGTGGACAAATATGGAAAAAATAAAGGGGAAAATATGGGCTAGGTGAGGGATCGGGACAAAAAAAAAAAAAAAATTGGGCATTTTTTCTAAATTTGATAATGACAAAACTTCTTCATTTGCTTCTTATATTTTTGCCTTCTTTTTTAAAAAGAAATGGGTGTTATTATTAACAATTTAGAATTTCTAAGAATTATTTTCTTTTTTAACTTACTAAATTGCATACTTAGATTTTATTTTGTTGTTACATATAAAGCATATGTTAGAATCATCTTGATTTGCAAAATCTGTTAATATATAGATAGTTTGAGAAAAAGAGATTTTTATTGAAGAAAAATTAAAAGTGTTTTAACTTTGTGAATTGTATCAAAATCCAAAGTATTTTTTTTTAAGAAAAAAATTTATAAACGGTATAAAATATTTTTGGAAAGTAATAAAAAAACTTTACAAAAAAGGCAAAGAAAAAATTTCTTTTTTTTTAATTTAAATGAGAGAGAACATATTTGAAGGAAAGATTTGTCTTCTTTTTTTTCCACCATTCAATATAAAGCATGGCATTTCCCTCGACATGCACTAGTACTCTAATTATTTTAAAAATTGGTCTTTTTTTAAATTTTCTAATGATAAAACTCTCTTCTTCTTTTTTTTGAATTTTACCTTTTATGTTCGAAATAATTGGGTGTTATTATTGATATTTTAAAATTGATGAATATCTATTTTTTAAAAACTTATTAGATTGTAATAGTAAGATGTTATTTTGTCTTTACATATAAAGTTAGAATCATTTCGATGATTCACAAAGTCTAAACTAGTCAAAAAAAATAATATATATATATATATATATATAGAATAAAAAATTATATTTTTTGAGTGAATAGATGAAACAAACGGTGTGAGTGACCACACAATAAGTTTCCTGGAACAATTAAAAAAAAACATTGCAGTTAGCAGAGTCGGGACGGCGCCCGAACGTGCATAAATGGAAGCCTTGCTTCATGGAATGAGGTCAAATCTCCTTTATTTAATAATTAAATTAATTGATTATATTTACTTTATTTTATTGCACTATTTTTTTCATTATTTTATTAGATTTGAGTTTGCCCATTTTACCCTTCTTGCCATTTTTATTTTTCCAGTTTTTGTAAGTCAGCCACCAAAATCTGAGTGGCTAGATTTTAATGCCAGCTTATTAATTAAATTGATTTTTACACATTCTAAATATGGGTTTTGCTTGTGACCTTGGAGCTACCCTTTTTGGGTTTTGACAGTTTGCTTTTTCATCTTGTTTCCTAAAATTGCAGAGGATATTTTGTAAAATTTACTGTATACTAATTTTGCTAGATGTAATCCCAAGAAAGTTTTTCTTTCTTGTGATTTAAATTAAGAAATTCATAATTATGCCATAAAGTTTTAATTCTTTTTTTCTTCCATTTAATGGGTATGAAAGGATTATCTTCGTACACCTTTCAAATAGTTAACCGACAAATTATTATGTAATAGTAAACGTTTGTTAATATATAAGATTTAAATTTTGAATCACATTTATTGAAAAATGTTAAATTTTATCGTTTTCATTCTGAATATGATTAATATTATTTCTAACGTGGGGTGAAGGTCCTTGATCATTTAAGGAAGTGTATAGAAAATTTATCCGACTAAACTCTCGAAAAAAAAAAAAGTCAGTACAAAAATAATCTCATTACTCTTTTAAATATGGAATATCTATTTAAATCATAAGGAAAAAAATAAAAAACTTGAATCTCATATTAAAACAGAGAAGGAAAAAAGTGAGTAACGAGGCTCGTATGTCAATTTTTGCTTTGGTCGGAAATTTTATAGCTCAAAATTGCTTTAATTCTATAAGCAGATTATTTTTTCCTTTTTAATATTCTCACACCAATTACGCCAGGACAAGGAAATAATTATGGTATTGCTAATAGAGACATCCACATAAAACAAACAATTAATTAAGAATAATATCCAATTACGTGGCTTTTTTCTGAATTTATTCTGCTTAGGTGAGTCTATAAGCACAATGCCCCAGTCCCCATGTGAATAAGAATTAATTAACAATAGCATTATATATATAATCAAAACAATACATTAAATTAAAACTTCAGTAAACTAGAGTATAATTGCACATTATTGCTAAAATGTTGCAATGGTTCATTGTATCTCTTTTTGGTTTTACGGTAAAAATATCTTTGGACTGTTTCATGAATCGATCAAAACTAAATTTTTTTCCAAACAACTTCAGAGGTTTAATATCTGCATCGATATGGTGCATTAAAAGAAATTTAATACCGAGTCCCATGATTTAAATTCAAGAAGTTAGAGAAGAGAAAAAAACCTCCTTGACCACCGGACCAGCCCCTTGAGATTGTTCATTGTATCTACATTTATTTAAAGTGCTTCTTTGCTACTTCAGTTTCAGTTTTATTCCTTTAACTTGTTCATCCAAATGTAATAAAATGTATTTTATTAACGTTGTTGTTGCATTAATAATGCCGTGTCCTATGGCTTTTCAAGCATATATATATATATATATATATTCGAGATTAGGCAGTGTCTCTAGCTTGCATTATGTTAGAATACTATTAAGCAAGATCAAATGGGAGCTTAGTTTTGTGTACCAAGTTAGTCTATTCCTGTGGATGTAAGAGTGCCAAATCATGCAAAATTTCTAAGACACATATTTTTTGTTTGTTGGATCTCGAAAGATATACAATATTAGTATTTCATATTTCACTTCTAATGTTGATGATGCAATCATAGAAAAACTCTATATAATAGTTAAAATTCGAATGTTTTTATGATCGGTTAAAAAATTTAAAATAATTTTAATTAGAATAACTA